CTCCATCACCGTATGTTTACAGTTCTCCACCACCACCATACTATTCACCTTCCCCTAAAGTACATTACAAATCGCCACCACACCCACATGTATGCGTGTGTCCACCACCTCCTCCATGTTATGCTCCTTCGCCTAAGGTTGTATACAAATCTCCTCCACCACCATATGTTTACAGTTCTCCACCCCCACCATACTACTCTCCATCACCTAAGGTATACTACAAGTCGCCCCCACCACCGTATGTTTACAGTTCTCCACCACCACCATACTACTCGCCTTCCCCTAAGGTACACTACAAGTCTCCTCCACCACCATATGTCTACAGTTCTCCACCACCACCACCATACTACGCACCTACCCCTAAGGTAGAGTACAAGTCTCCTCCACCACCGTATGTCTACAGTTCTCCACCACCACCGTACTACTCACCTTCTCCTAAGGTACACTACAAGTCTCCTCCACCACCATATGTGTACAGCTCTCCACCACCACCACCATACTACTCACCATCCCCTAAGGTTGACTACAAATCTCCTCCACCACCATATGTCTACAGCTCTCCACCACCACCATACTATTCTCCATCCCCTAAGGTTGATTACAAATCTCCACCACCACCATATGTCTACAGTTCTCCACCACCACCATACTACTCTCCATCTCCTAAGGTTGACTACAAGTCTCCTCCACCACCATATGTTTACAGCTCTCCACCACCACCACCTTATTACTCTCCTTCCCCAAAGACTGAGTACAAATCTCCACCACCACCTTCATATTACTGAAAGCAGTAAATGTAATTCTTGAAAGGCTACTAAGTTTTATTTGATTTCATCTTTGTTTTGTTCTTGATACAATATGTATCCAATCAATTTCAATTTTCTTGGGAATGTCGATTAATAATTTGGGTATACTGCCATCATATGGTTTCATGTATTGTCTTTTATTTGTGTTAAGATTGCTTGCAGTCTATTTGTAGTCCTTTGCAAATCGCGATTATTATTGCCTATTCTTGACATGGTAGCTTTGGATAACGTAACTATGTAATCCTCTTAAGCATGAGTTTTGTATATGGACTGCATACCTAAATTGCCTGGATCATTTAAAATTTTATTGTAGTGTTATTCGGAAACATGATTGTGCGACAAACATTGGTTTTCTCTCTCCATTCAGTAAGTAGCGTCATGGGATTCTTAACTTCAACGTGAAGCTGGCGACATGCTCCCCACACCATGATTTTTGAAAAATTCAGTGGAACTATATAGAAAGATGTACGTAGACAATAACCGAGAGGCATTGGTAATTCTGGAGGTTCAGTGTTCGTGTCTACACCTTGACTTTTATTTGATATAAGAGAATAAACGCACTCGAGATGAAAAGCGACTACTGTCCTCAAAAGTGTTGTTCATCAAGCACTACGTACTCTCTTAACAATCGGTTTACTTGATAGAAGCACAAATCACAAGCGCTTGCAAATCCAAAACAATCCAGTTAACATTTCCTGAATTAGCAAAGACAACATTTGCTCTTGCTCAAACGAGAAGCCTAAGGAGTTCAAATAAACTAATGTACACCTGAGGATGTCCAGAAGAGAAAAGAAAAGCAGTCCAAAACACAAACACCAAATGCTACTAGCTAAGCAGATCACATAACCTCAGTGCCTAAGAAACAAATCACTCCTTGATGGTTTTGTTGATGAGAGACTTGTGGATGTGAGGGATCACACCTCCTCCTGCAATGGTTCCTTTGATGAGCGTGTCAAGCTCCTCGTCTCCTCTGATTGCCAACTGCAGATGCCTCGGAGTTATCCTCTTCACTTTCAGGTCTTTGCTTGCGTTTCCTGCTAACTCAAGAACTTCTGCAGTTAGGTACTCGAGAATTGAAGCCGTGTAAACGGCAGCAGTTGCACCAACTCTCCCATGTGCTGAAACTCTCGTCTTGAGCTGCCTATGAATACGACCCACTGGAAACTGGAATTAAACACACACAAAAAAAAACACAAGGAAACAGCATCCGGTTAAGATTTCAGAAAATTATAATACAAAGCCTCCACTTTGTAATTAAGACCGAACTTTCTACTTGTATGGCAATGCACAACATCATGAATATCAAACAGTCCATGAACGATGGTTTCTTATGAGGTAGATAAAAGTAAACGTAAACAAAATCAAACATCACTTTATTTGCTAAATTAACATCATTTATCTACTTGTCCTAGAGGTATCACAGGCTATTATATGTCGTTTTCATCACAAGGGCACTTCCATGACTTCAATAATATCAAGCAACACACACTCGCATGAAAAAAGTCCAAGATTAGAGCTGATGAAATCTTTTGAATTTGGAATCGCTTCATTGAAACAGTATAACCTGGCTCTAGTCCCAAACAAAACCTTTAAGGACTCATGGCACCAAAATCAAGTTACATAGCTAAACAAAGTGGAAACTCCTAACATATGACAAGAACAAAACGATATGTATACAGAGATATCCAAAAATTCAATGCAACCAGCAACCAAAGAGTCCAAAGAATGAAAAATTAGATTCACAAAACACCACTCCAATAATTCACGCAAACAATAGGAACACATCAACACAAATAGGGCGTGGTTTAGAGTAAAAGGAAACATGTTTACTTTCAAATCACAAGAGAAAGTAACTTTACTTCCTCGCTTTTACATAGAACACACCCGCAGATCTAATCTCGAAGATCTCAATTTGTACAGTTAATTATCAATTTCCCACGGAATAACACACTCTTCTTGACCCGCAATTACAGTTGAGCAACAAGAATCAGAGTCAAAGAAGTCGAATTTCAACATACCCAAGAAGCTAGGGTTTGAGGGAATTACCTGAATACCAGCACGAGCAGAGCGAGAAATGGGTTTCTTCTTGTCCTTGTCTTTGTCCTTGTTACTAGCCATCGTCTTTCCAGCTACGAGCCCTTTCCCTCCCTTTCCTGCCATGTTCGCTGAAACCGATGCTTCCTTCTTCTAGATCCAACCATACATAGTCAAACAAAAACAAGAGAAACCCTCAGAAAAACAAGAGAATGTACCAGATCTATTGTAGAAGCATGAAGAATCGGAGAATTTACAAAGAAGACTACACCAAACAAGGCAAGATCTAAAGGCGTTTGGTCGATTGACACAAACGGATCCCGATTCGTGAAGAGAGAAGTACCTGAGACGACGAGACGGAGAGGAGAGAATGAAAGTATCGAAGAAGCGAAATCTGGTTTAGATAGAATGGGATGGGGAGTTTAAAAAAACTCGAAAGTTTTGGTGGGAGTTTTTAAATATTTTAAAAATATTGGGGGGAACCTTTCACGTGGCGGTTAAAATTTTTTGCTTGGGACTTTCAAAATGTTTTCCATATTTTTCCATTATACCCTCCATTTCTTAGCAAATGTTTTTTATGGGCTGTTACTTTTAAGAAACTATAATTACACCCCAGTAACCGACTACTAATGAACGGGGAAATGGGAAACTCTTGGTAGTAGGCGATAACATTTTATGAATGTGTATAAGGTTTAATATGTAGTCATAAAAACAAAAATAAAAGAGACATTACACCTTGTTCTTCATCTAATCTCTATGAATTTAATTGTCTTTCTCTTATCCAATGGAGACTATTGAGAATCCAAAAGATAACATATTGGGTTTCAAGTTTACAAACATCACAAAATATCCATGTTTAGCAGGAATGTAAAATATTTTATTGGTGATTTTCGTCTTCACTCTCTCATCCGAGTATGCATTTAGTATTGGAAATGTATCTTTAACATATATGAAGTTATGTAACTACTTTTTTGTAAACTATACAGTATATGTAAATTAATTATGTAGTAACAATGCTGATTTTCATAACTGATTATGATATTTACCTCATATGATTCAAAAGTAAGTTTTAAATGATTAATAGAGAAAAAACTTTGTGATCAATGAGTTGTTAAAAGACTTTGTGATTTATGGTTGTTTTGTCTTAAATAGGCTAGGATTGTTATGATATATGTTCTATTTGTTTTTAGGCAATTATCCACTAGATGAAGCTCATAAATTGTTTTTGACTATGCTATTTATGTTCAAAGTTGTATTTTCAGGTATGGATTTTATTATTGTCATTTTTAGATTTGAAATTTATGAACATTACATATGAAATTTAGTAAAACAGATTTATGTTCAACTTTTAATAATGTTTAAAAAATAGCGTTGACGCGTATAAATTACCATAAAGATAATTTGACACACTAATTTACTTTCTAAAATATAGTTTTTATGATATACACATATCGTAGACTAGCTTTTTAGTAGGAATAAGTTACGCGTCAACTTGTTATTGATGTTTTCATCAATAATAAGCTGACTTGTAACTCGTTATTAATAAGGAAACTAATTTATTTAATATATATGACAAAAACGCGTTTTCGGCTTTTTTATAAGAAGGATGAGAATTTGACCAAAACCATATATCTCTCAAACATTACTCTTCTTTCCTAAGGTTCTAGCCATTTCTCTTTTGCTTAATCAAGATTTTAATTTCCAATTCCGTATGCATAAGGCAAAGTCTAACTAGATACCATCATCCACATTGTGATTTGCATCCCTTTCATATAGTAATTTCAAAAGCATTAAAACCTTAATGTTATCGTAGCTTCTAGTATAAATCAGTTATCTAAAAGCTTCTCGGTTCAAGTGACATTTCCTTTTTGCTTCTTTTTGTTGTTGTTTGGTTCTATAATTTATGTCTATAAGTTTTGAAGCGAAATTTCAAATATATATTGATCATAACCGTTTGTTTTTTTCTAAAAAAAATATTGTTCTTTGTTTCTCTTAATTTTGAATTTTATTTCATCTCATTTTGCATTCCTTTCTCCTCCATAATTTTTTTTTTTATTGGAAGTGAAGATCTGTTTGAATTTTGTTACACTTACGAGAAATTATTTTTCATTTTGAAGGTTTCGTTTGAAAGAAATTTTGAAAAAAAATGCCTTTCCGTACGAAAATCCAACCAATCGTAGGCGATGGCGTAACAAAGGAGCCAGCTTTCCCGCCGGCGATGAAGCAGATGCCGAAATCGCGATTGAAGCAGCTTTTGGAACGTCCACTCGGCCTGAAATACATATACATTGGAGACAAATCGTTTTCGAAAGGCGATGCAAAAGAATTCGAACCAACCTCCTTGTGTTTAGGTAAGTTGGTTCAAAACTACATGGAGGATCCCGACAGTGGGAAACAACGGTGCGGTGGCCCCGACAGCTGCGACACTTGTTTCGATGAAGAATTTTACTCTACTCGCAGAATTTTACGAAGGCTCAAGGTATGTTATATTTTCGCTAATGATTAATATGTAGATATACTATAGTATATATTAAGAAAACGCTAATTGTATACACAACAATTTTTAATACTTTTTTTTTTTTTTTTTTTTTGTAGAATCTGCTTCTTTGTACTCACATCCCTGAGGGAGAGAGGGACCTGATGATAAAGACAAGAGAGATCGTCGAGAAGGAAAACAATGAGGATTCACAAATGCGAGTTGTCCTCGATGAACTGGTGGCTTTAGGCTACAATGCAGCAATATGCAAATACCGCTGGAAGCGATCGAGAAAGCTCATGTGTCCTGGTTTGTATATGTTTCTTCAAAAAAAAGTTTCATATGATCCTCTTAAAATATTAAGGTATAATAACTATTTGCGAAAAAAATGGTAAACAGGAGAGTACGACTATTTGGATGTGATTGTCGGAAAAAAAAGAGTTGTGATCGACTTTGATTTTAAGTCGAAATTCAAGATTGCTCCTCCCACCGATACCTATAAGTCGTTATTAGAAACACTTCCTAACGTTTACGTGGGACGTGTGGGTCGACTTAAGAAGATTGTGGATGTGTTAGCTAAAGCTGCCAAGACAAGTTTTGAGAAGAATGAGCGTGAGGTGCCGCCATGGAGGAGAGCAGATCATGTCTTCCCCAGATGGTTGGTTCCATATGTTCGTACTAAGCCATCTCAGAGAAAAACCAATGAAATTACTAAGAAATAAGCTTTTGATTCTCTTTTATGGTTGGTTCCCTATGTGTTCTGAAACTTGGAATATTAAGTTTTTAATATCTAAGAAATAAGCTTTGAATCTCTTTTATTGTTTTTCCTTATTGTAATGGGTGTGATTTCAAGTAATCTAATTAATATCCTTTGCTTTTTTTAATGACTTTTTTTTTCCGGTAAGAATGGTTTTTTTTTCTTCCAAGATCTTCATAACAGACAATTCTAGTTGACTTTGACCTCTCTGATCACTCCAACATCAACAATCAGACAAAAACTTTAAACACTTAACAGACTAGTTTTATGGATAATGATTAGAGGCTATTAAGACGTCACAATTTTCAGACAACGATATTAAAGGAATCTTTGTTGTTTATTATGCTCTAATGAAACACACTCATATAATATAAAATGAAACACATCTTCTCATTTCTTCCCCAAAAACACAATACGACACACGGATATGTAAACATAGGAGAAGACGAGTATGGTGCCATGTCATTAACGGACGTATGATGAAAACACACAATGTCTAAAATGAAATTTGTCCAAAACTTTTCAAGTCTGTTTTGAATATAAAAGGAGTTTGAGTTTTACCTTTAGAACACAACAACAAAACTTCACTCATCAACCTCTGCTCTGATTTCTCTCTGGAGATCTTCTTTGTACTCTTCAAATGTGCCGTCGAAGAAAGACACTGTTCCGTCTTCTACAACCCAAATTTGACTCTTCTCCTCATCCTCACAGACACGTGATATGAGTCTCGAGTCGTGACTCACCAGCACAACTCCTCCACTGAACTCATCTAGTGCATCTGCCAACGCATCTATACTCTGCATGTCTAAGTGATTCGTAGGCTCGTCAAGAAGCAAAATGTGTGGCTTCGACATTGAGATTGAGGTGAACACAACCCTAGCCTTTTGTCCACCAGACAGTTTCGCAATTGGAGCTACGTGGTTGTGACTTATGAGCCCGAACTTGCCTAGCTTCGCACGCACTGCCTCTTGCTTGCTAAATCCCTCTTGGTCAGGATGAAGGCGAAGAAGATACTGAACAGGTGTTTCCCCCATTGTTAGCAGGTCAACAAAGTGCTGAGAATATCTGCCAATCCTTAGCTTTTGGCTTCTTCTCATTTCACCCTCTGTTGGAACTAAATCTCCCGCAAGAAGATTCAAAAGAGTGGACTTTCCAGCTCCATTAGGCCCAACTATGGCGACCCGAGTACCCATATCAATACCCACATCAACATCTGAAAGCCTGAAATCTGGCCTATTCGGATAGCAGAAGCTAACATCAATCAACTGCAGAAGAGGAGGAGTGAGCTCGGTTGGTTCTGGGAAGTGGAACTCCACGCTATAATCTTTCCACTTTCTAGGAGCTTCCGGTGCTGGGCCCTCCTCATCCACCGCCTTACCCTTGCCCTTACTCTTGGATGCTTCTTTCGCCGCAGCAAACTTGGCTTTCTCCTTTACCTTCTCCTGTTGAGCACGGTTTCCAGATCTCCTAGCTGCTTTATCCTGTTTCTGGAAATTCTCAAACTTTTTGTTCACTTCTTTGCGTCGCTGATCATATCCAGATTCGAAAGCATCGAAATTACCACGATAGAAGTGGAGCTTCAGGTCATGCAAATGTATTATATCCGTGCAGACAGAGTTGAGGAAGTCCCGGTCATGCGAAACAACAACCAACGTCTTCTTCCAGCGACACAAATACTCTTCTAACCAGAGAACAGCTCTCAGGTCGAGATGGTTGGTGGGTTCATCTAACAACAAAAGCGTAGGCTGCACAAAGAGAGCTCTAGCTAAGGATATTCGCATCCTCCAGCCACCACTGAATGAGTTAGTTGCACGGGTTTGCATATCTTTTGTGAAACCTAGCCCTGCAAGAATTTTCGCCGCCTGTCCTTCAGCAGCATCTGACCCCAAGATCTGTAGCCTCTCATATAACTCAGAAAGCTTTTCTCCAGAATCAGCATCTTCGCCTTCACCGTTTTCTCCGTCAGCTCCAGAAGACGAATTCTGCTGAGCTGCAGCTTCCAGAGCTCTAACTTCTTCCCTTAATTTAACCAACTCCTCATTGGCAGAAACAACTGCGTCCAGAGCACGCTTTTCATCGGCGACCACCTCTTGCTCGACAAGAAGAACATCAATGTTCTTCGGAACTGGAATCTTCCTCCATGCTAAAAGTTTCAACAGTGTAGACTTCCCCATTCCATTCGGCCCGACCAATCCATACCTTTTCCCATGTGATATCCTGACAGATGTGTTCTGCAAAAGTTCTTTACCTCGAACAGAGACGGAAAAAGAATCTATCGTTATATCTTTAACATTCGCATCAGCGGTGTCTTCTCCTTCAAGCACCGAAGTCTTGCTTCCAATAACAACCGTGAATGCATCATGGTCGTCCCTCAAGGCCTCCCTCTTGGCAAGCTCTAAAGCCTGCTCAGCTGCTCTTTCTTTCATCGCTCGCTTCTTTTGCTCCTTATCGGTCACAGAGATATCAAGATGCCTTTGTTCGCTCTTCTGCTTTCTCCTTTCCTCCGCCTGCCGCTGTTCCTCATCAGAAGCGCCCTCGTCTTCTTCTTCAGAGGAAGGAAGATCTATGCCATCAGTGTAGGAGGAAGCGCTCCTTGGAACAGCCCTGGATCTGGATGATGAACCCTTCTTGGGTTTATCATCTTTCTGATCCATGCCTGCAAGCATCGCTGAGACTGATAGTTTCTCCTTTTTCGGTTCTTTAGAAGAATCTTTTCCACTTGGCTTCGCCTTCGAGGTAGCAGCACTCTCTTCTGACTTCTTCTTACCCATTTAAAGCTGTATCTAACATAAGACATCAATAAAAAAAAAAAAACAGATGAGTAATCAAAACCATGTAAAAATTGGGTTTTTTTGTTTCCCTAGCTTCAATTACATATTTATAAACGAGAATTTCCAAACATCAAGAGCTGATTCTAAAGCCCACGAACTAAAGGATTCAAATTCATCCAGATCAACTCGAACGAAAGGATTCAATTACTGGGTTTCGTGTACCTAAACCATCAAGAGAAAACTTTGGACTCCAATCTCTATACTCTTAGAGATTTATATATCCCCGACAAATCTAGGTTTAGTTTCTATGAGCTGTGAATTGCGAACAAAGCGGGAACAATAAGAGTCATCAGTCATTACTTAATTTAATTTTAAGATTGAAGACAAACCTGATTACGGAAGGAAAACTGGATTAAGATTGAATATGGAGAAAAAGCTTGCTCTGGAGGAATCGATGGAGAGGTCGAGGGAGATGGTCCTGAAGAGACAACGCGGCGCAGAAGTAAAATGAAGAAGATTGTATGAAGAAGAAATCACAATCAAAAAGTAAAGTTGAAGAGATTTGGGTTTTTGTAACCCTTTTCTAATTTCTAAAGCAATTCGGCCCAAATTCGCATAAAACAATCCTTTTGTAACTTAACCGGATCCTCACAAATAGAAAATTTAAGGAGAGAATTACTGAACCGAACCGAACCAGATATACACTGTCAAAATTTAGTTTCCTTGGGTGTAAAGTTTTTGAGATATTGTTCGTTTATTTCCCAATTAAAAGATGCAATTGAATGTACACCAAATTGCATCTAAAATGACAAAATCACAACTTAGTATAATATTTCATTTCTTCATCAAATAATAAAAAAACGAATTTGCAACAAAACTTTTTGAGTAATATAAATGAGTTTTTGAGTTTTGTCTTAGAAGCCAACAGCAAATCAACCTCTCTGCATTGATTTAACTCTGCAGGTTTTCGATGTACTCTTCGTATGTGCCTAAAGTCACGGTTCCGTCTTTTACAACCCAAATTTGACCCTTTTCCTCGTCATCACAGACACGCGACACGACTCGACTCGTGTCGTGACTCACCAACACAACTCCTCCTGTGAACTTATCCAGTGTATTGGCCAACGCGTCTATAGTCTCCTCGTCTAAGTGATTGGTAGGCTCGTCAAGAAGCAAAATGTGTGGCTTCGACATGGAGATTGAGGTGAAGACAACCCGAGCCTTTTGTCCACCAGACAGATCCGTGATCCGAGTTTCGTGGTTGTTACTTGGTAGCCCAAACTTGCCTAGCTTCGCACGCACGGCCTCTTGCTTGCTAAACCCCTCTTGGTCGGGATGAAGGCGGAGAAGATACTTAACCGGTGTCTCCTCCATTGTTAACAGGTCAACAAAGTGCTGAGAATACCTACCAATCCTCAGCTTTTGGCATCTCCTCACTTCACCCTCCGTTGGAACTAAATCTCCCGCAAGAAGATTCAAAAGAGTGGACTTCCCAGCTCCGTTAGGACCAACTATAGCAACCCGTGTCCCCATATCGATACTTACATCAACATTCGAGAGCCTGAAATCTGGCTTCTCCGGGTAGCAGAAGCTAACCTCGATTAGTCTCAGAAGAGAAGAAGCAGAGAAGGTCGGTTCTGAAAAATCCAACACAACCTTCTTCGACTTCCTTGGAGCTGGGCCCTCTTCACCTTTTGTCTTACTCTTGTCCTTTGCCTTCTTCTGCTGAGCCACGTCTCCAGACCTCTTAGCTGCTTCATCCTGTTTCTTTCGAATCTCAAGCTTTTTATTCACCTCGTTGCATTGCTTCTCGTACGCGCTTTTATAGTCATCGTGATTACCACGAAAGGAGTGGAGACCCTTGTCATGCAGAGCTATCATGTTCGTGCAGACCGTGTTGAGGAAGTCCTGTGTGAAACAACAACTAGCGTTTTCTTCCAACTACACAAATACTCTTGTAGCCACTGAACAGCCTCTAGGTCAAGATGGTTCGTGGGTTCATCTAGTAACAAAAGAGTAGGTTGCATAAAGAGCGTTCTAGCTAACGATATTCGCATCCTCCAGCCACCGCTGAATGATCCCGTTGGACGCTTTTGATCATCTTCTGTGAAACCTAACCCCGCAAGAATCTTGGCCGCTTGTGCTTTAGCAGAATCTGAATCCAATTCCTTTAGCCTCTTATACACTTCAGTAAGCTTCTGTCCAGAATCACCATCTTCTCCATCGCCGCTTTTCTCCAGAGCTTCAGCTTCTTCCTTTAACTTAACCAACTCTTCATTGGCAGAAACAACTGCTTCCAGAGCAGTCGTCTCGTCATCCGCGACCACTTCTTGCTTAACAAGAAGCATATCGATATTCTTGGGAACTGGAATCTTCCTGCTTGCTAAAAGCTTTAACAATGTCGACTTCCCCGTTCCATTCGGACCGACCAAGCCGTATCTTTTTCCGTGTGATAGCTTGACAGATACATTCTTCAGAAGGTCTTTCCCACAAACAGATACAGAGAAAGAATCGATGGATATATCTTTAACATTCGCATTCGCGGTGTCTTGTCCCTCAAGCACCGAAGCCTTGCTTCCGATAACAACCGTGAATGCATCAAGGTTCTCCTTCGAGGCCTCACTCTTTGCAATCTCTGCATTCTCGAAAGCTGATCTTTCTTTCTTTGCTCGCCTCTTTAGTTCCTTATCAGATATATGGATATCAAGCTCAGGCTTGTGATTCCTCCTTGCAACAGTCTGTTCCTGTTTCTCATCAGAGGCGTCTTCGACATAAGGAGGAGGAAAATCTATGCCATAAGTGTAGGAAGAAGGGTTTGGAGCAGCGTTGGAACTGGATGATGATGAACTCTTGTCGTGTTTCTGATCCATGCGTGCAAGCAAAGCTGTGACTGAAAGTCTCTCCGTTTTCGAACCTTTTCCGTTTGGCTTCGACTTCATCGTAGAAGCACTCTTGTCTGACTTCTTCTGAACCATCTAAGCCTCTAGTATCTGACATGAGACAGCAGCCAACAAGAGTGATTCTCTGTTAATGTGTAGAACACCAATTCAAACAGACATAAATCATATAATCTAGCAAGCCAAATTTTTATAATTTCCAAATGCAGGGATGGTTTTGATCACTACAAACAAAGAAACAAAAATGATTCTTATAATCATACAAGGTTATATCCCGACATATGATCTAAAGAGAGTTTCTATATATGAGTCGTGCAAAACAAAACAGAACGGGATCAGTAAGATGTATCAAGCTTAACTTAATATAATATGAGGTTGGAGACAAACCTGAGAGACGCCAAAAATCCGAAAGTGGATATAAGATAGAATATGGAGAAAAGAGCATGCTTGGGAGGTTAATGGAGTTTGAGAGAAACTGATAAACTCCGCGGCTGGTAAAGCCGCAAAAAAAGATTAATTAGGGTTTGATTTCGTAACACTTTCCCTTTTTATAACAGCAATGTCGGTTCGAGTTATTCGGTTTTCTTTCATAAACGTACCGATATTTCGGTTATCTTATTAATATGCCTCAGAAAGATGATCTTTATATAAGCTTTAAAGAAGAGACAGATGGCCAAAACTAGTATTAACCAGAAATTAAGAAGAAAGAATAAACAAAAGAAGAATCTTTTGGAGGGGAGCAGTTGAGTTTCTTGGAGTGGGGTGCAAGGGTTTAAGGATAATCAGTTGTGTGTGAAGCTGTTTTTATCTTAACAATTGGCTTTTGTCTTTATATAACAACACAAGAAACCAAGGCTTTCATACAGAAAAGACATTGCTTGCTAAAATACATATAACAATCAGGAGAAGCTATGGAAAATCCAGAAGATTCTACTTTCAAAACAGTATCTAACTTTGTTAGTAACTATAATGAAAAGGGTTCCAAGAAACTTTCCTGCAACATGGTGTCACCATGCCCTGTCCACGTTAGGCGTTCGTCATTTGCAGAAGCAAAGGAGCGATTGAAAAAGCTCGAGCGAGATTATCAACACGCCTACAAGATGTACACAGAACTACAAGTAAACATCGATAAATAACAAATTGATACAGACTGTTTTGTAGTGTGGTTAGAAACTTATTTGGACCAGTTTTGTAAGATAATGAGCTTTACATATGAACAGTCAGAGTGGTATAGACACTGCACTGAATTACGACGTTCAGAACATCACAGTCGCTGGGCTAGAAGCTGTATCTATCACACCGAGAATGTGGTGGAGCAACTGCAGAATGTTCTTGACCAGCTGAATACAGAAGAAGCACCACAAAGAGGAAGAGACACACCTAGTAACGTATATGTAATTCCTCAAATCCAATTCAGTGTCATTTTAGGATAAGTTTGTTTCTCGTAACCTAGTAACTAAAGTTGAAGCACAGATCATAGTTCAGTATGATCATAATATGTATTTTTCTTCCTTGGTCAACGATACCTGTTTTAGGGCAAGCAATTCTTCTTGATGCACGGTTGTAAAAGCTTGGCGCAAGAAAAGATGATACTGCAGCTGAAAACAGTAAACAAAGAGGAGCACGATGATGGCCTGAGTCAAAAAACAATCGATGTCAAAAGAATGAATGAGGAGGTACTCTTACTAAAAGCCTCTTAGTTTATTATTATCATCATAAAATGAGCTTTTGAATATTAACGTCTCGATCTTGCAAATTAATCAGTTCAGCCGCATGCAAAGAACAATTCCAAAGAGTAGCAGCAAGAAACCTATACACGATCTGTTGAGGAGAGTTAAAGAGATAAAGAAGTTGAGGGAGAAGGATATTGCAAACGGTGCACTGGTTGGAAACAGCACAAGTCATGACAATATGAAAAATTCTACGAGAATCGAAATAAAGGTAATGAAGATTCACGACGCTTTTCGCCTTTTATTTTTTTTTTATTTTTACTCATGGACTTGTTTCTTAAAACTAACAAATGGGTATGGGATGATGTTTGTTTGCCACTAGCTTCTGAACAAGATAATGAGAGCTTTTGAGAAAGACAGAGGGGAGACAGAGAATATTTTGGAAGATCAAAGAATAATTGAAGAAGGATACAAAGAAAAGGTGTGGCATCTACGAGAAAAATGTGAATGCATAGGTGAGAAACAAGATGCAGAAAAGAAATACATTCTCGGCTTGAAGAACAATTTCAGGTCGAGGCACAAAACTACTTCACAAAGAAAAAAGCTGCCCAAAAGGGTAACTTCAGAGATCTATTCCGAGGAATAGAAGAAGACGCCTATGTATAAGATATTATGTTGTAAATCACATCACATTCATGAATCAAATTAATCAATCCTTGTATCTGGTGCATCTATGGACTGTCTTACAAGTTACAAGTAAAGTGGCTTTAATTCAAAACCCTTTGACCAAAAGCCATTGACTTAGGTGGTGGGGCTTTTGGTCAAACGTTGACTTCTTCTCTTTGATATCACCTCATTGAAATTCAATATCATGCCAAGCATTTCTTTATACTTTATGCCACAAGGGAGAAGGAGTTTATTCTTTCCAATACTTTTTATGTACTAAGGACATCATCTTATCGCTAGAAAGCAGAAATAGATGCCAAAAATATTATTAAACAAAAATAAATTGTAAAGAAGGTTTGTTTCTAAGAGAGGAGCCATTGACTTCCTTGGCGTGGGGTGCAAGAAGTTGCATAATCAATTCTGACAAGGTTGCTTCATTTTCCAGCAATATGATTTTTCTCTTCATATAAAAAAGAAGAATGCTTTCAAATAATACTTAAAAGAGAAACAATGGAAATTCTTGAAATCAGTGGCATGGAAGCTTCTCCTCTGCTCAACGATATCAACAAAATATCCAACTCTATTGCTATTGAAGGCAACTATAATGAAAAGGGTTTAGATGAACTTAAGGTGTCACCATGCGCAGACCAAGTTGTGTGCATGTCAGTTTCCAAGGCTGAGAAGCGACTGAAAAAGCTCGAAAGGGATTATCAACACACCTACGAGAATTACATAGAAACCCGAGTAAGCATCTACAGATAGCAGAAGAATGATTACTTCTACTACTGTTTTTACTAAGCTTGTAAGATCAGTACTTATACAAGATGATGTAACTTTTTGGGCAGTCAAACAGGTATAGGTTCTACATTATAGGAAAGCATTCTAATTATCGCAGTCGCCAAGCTGGAAACTGTATCAAATACTACAAGAATCTGCAGGACCAACTGCAGAATAATCTTGCAAATCTGAATAAAGCAGAAGCAACGCAAAGAAGAACAGAAAAGCCTGATTACGTAAGTCCTCACAACTAATCAATATATATCATTTGATGTTCTCATTGTACAAACAAGATTACTAGAAATAAGAAAAGAGAAGAATTAGCCTCCTGCCTTAAAAGAGTGATAGAACAATAAGTTTCTTCTCTTCACTATATGGTAATCATGATATTATATATAATGTCTCATGTGTTTAGGCACCATACCGGTTTAGTGCAAGCAATTCTCGATGTTGCACGGTTGTAAAAGCTTGGCTCAAGAAAAGAGGATACTACAACAGATAGGAGAAACACAACAACAACACCTGCAAAACAATGACCTGCAACGTCAAGAAATAAAACATTTCAAAGACAGAAACTGGGAGGTGCTACTGCTGTTACTTTATAATAGTCAAAAAGTTACATCACAAATTTGGCTTTTGTACTTACTTTATCATTTTACAAATCAATATCAGTTCAGATACAATCAAAGGATAATTCCAAAAAGTAGCAGCAGAAAAGTAATACATGATCTGCTGAGGAGATTTAAAGACACAGAGAAGTTGAGGGATAAATCTATCGCCAATGGTGAAGTTGTTTACAACGCAACAAGTCAGGACAGTTTGATAATTTCTATAAAAGTAATCAAAATCAAGACCCTTTCCCCATTTTTACTCCTTTCTTAAAAAAGTTAAAACTAATCAGCGAAACGATATTTGTTTTCCAACAGATTCTGACAAAGGTAATACAAAAGCTTTAAAAAAGAAAGAGACAGAGAGATAATGATTGATAATGGTTACGAGGAAAAGATCAGGCATCTGGAGAATAAATGTGAATGGATTTGCGGGAAATGGGATGAAGAAAAGAAGTATATCCTCGGGTTGAAGCAAAATACATAAAGATGAGTTGTGTAAGCTTGTAATATATATGTCCGCCAAGAATTGCATAGATGATAAACTTCAGATTTGGAGGAAGATAAATCCATAAATCAAAATATCTCCTCTGTGCTGATTAAAACAGCAAATTGTATCATTTGTCCACTAGCGTTTGCTTGTTTTTAGATCATCTTTACATGTCTCCATTCTAAAAAAAACACAAAAATATCATTCATAATTCTTATGCTCTCTCAACTTTTATAATGAAGCATACATTGTATAGTGTTACTACGTTTGGCCATTTACATGAGGCAGCCTTCACTGTTCTATGTAGCTTTTAACCATTGAATCCCAAAGTGGCAACACATGAGGATGTACGTGGAGAAAGCTTCAAAATCCCAGACATCCATCCATGATCTAATATATTTTAGAATACTAAAAAGACAAAAGTACCAAACCAGCTCATCACCTCTTTTTGTCTCAAATGGAGTCTGTCCCAAGCAAGGGTTGGCTCAAGTTTGTTGGTGATTCCGCTAAGCTTACACTCTCTAAGCAAGGCTGATTCTGGTTATACGCCGTTGCAGCATCAACATAATGCGATTCCATCTCCCCGTTCTTTTCATCTACTTCATCTATTTCAACTGCTGTCTGCACCACAAAAACAATGTACAAGATTCTTTAAATTCATTCAATCGTCTCAACTCTCAAAAGAACTGAATCTAATCCAACATTCTATCAAAATACCTGTATAGGGAAATGTTTAAATGATGGGAGGAAGCGGATCTTGCAGTACTCGTTATAAGCTATAGTGATCAAAATAAGAGGCACAGTAGCAATTGCTGCAGATGGCTTTGACTTAAGCCCAAAGAGACCCACCATGGTGACTTGCATAAGTATGATTGACACGAAGATGTAGTGATGAATGAATGGCCAGAAACGACCGCAAGTATCATATGTCATCTCGTACACATCTTCCATCTGAGGAAAGCCAGAGTTAATAAAAATGCCTATTGTGTGAAGAAAACAATCACAGATCTTAAAAGAAGGTTTTAGAAAAGCTGGACCTGGTTGAAGTAGACGATGTATCCAAGGCAGAAATAGCCAACGAGGAAAGGGAGCATTAATGGTGCGACCACGGCATATATCATACCGATCATAATCGATAAGGACACTGTAGGGATAACCCTAAAATATGGAAACGAAAAGAGGTAAGGGTTTTTCTCTTTTCCTCTTCCGTAAGCGCAGGATCTTATGATATCAAATGTTACAAGCCCCAGTTGAAGAATCTCCAAAGAAAAACCAGACAGCCCATCTGTCAAGATGTATGTCATAAAAAACTCTCCCTATAACAAAAACAAAAAGTTACTGTTTTGAAGAAAATGTGATTTCGAAATTGAAGTGTTCTTGAAGAGACTATATAGGCTTTACCTGAGCTGAAACAGCAGCAGCAAGGTGACTAGGTATGTCTCTAGGGTGAGTGAAATACTCTCCAATTTCATCTAGCAAGGAACCAGAGATGAGACTCAAAAAGAAAACATTCCCCATTAGAAAATAGAAGACCATATTGCAAGCTTTAATCTCCTCTTTGCTCTTGGAAATAGAGCCGCCGAGATAAGCCATTCCAAGCATAGCGTAAGGGATAATGTACAAGAAACCTTTTAGTATTGCGCTTGGGAGGTACCCTGTCACAACTGAGCTGAGCCCTGGTCTGTTTCCAAATCAAGAAAACAAGAACAATCTTGTTAACTTTTATGAGAACAAGATAACAGTGAAGGAAAAGAGAAACCTTACATGAACTCAATAACCATGGCTGGAGGAAACCACTTCTTGAGCTTCTCATACTTTGCAATTCCCTGGACAGCTGTGACAGGAATAGCAAAGAAAATGGTGAGAAGTGCTGATGCAAGGATGGCTCCGATCTTGTTGAGAGGCAATATCTTTTGAGGAATAGCAAGGTTTCTCCATGATACATCTCTTGGTTCAGGAGCCATCTCAGTGATCAGTTCTAGAGGATTTGAGTGCTGCTGCGTTTGAGCCACCAGAGCGGCACTTCTTCGGGATTTGAAGGTGACAAACGCAACAGGCAATTCCTAAAATTGAAAATTTGATCAAGGTGTAAAAATCTTAACAGGTTCCAAATTCAACAGACTACTCTGTTTTGTGTCAAGCTGTCTCATACAGTCTCTTGCTATAGTTTTTGTTTTGGAAGTTCAGTAAGACCATTTAGATGTTACTATCATCATCATATAACTTTGTTAACAATCAACTCTGACCATAAAGAAAGTACCTTCTCTCTCAGCATAGTTTCACTCTGAAGGTGTAAAATCTTATGGGTTATTTCTTGAAGCTTTTCTTCAGATGTGGATATCTGCTTATGTGCTTCTGTGTGTCTCTTGTCTTCTAGCTCTCTCTTAAGCTTCTTCTGCTTTCCCTACATGAAGGATCCTACCGTCATTATATAAACTAGAAAGAACTGTTAGATTATGGGCACCACCAGTGTCAAAACTTACCAAAAGGTATTCAAGATCTTTCCCGTTGTACAACATCTGATGCGAATGATAACTGAAAGGATGATGTTTAGAGAAGAAGTGATCAACACCGCAGCCACGAGTCTTATGCTCAGGACAGAGAGGAACTTGCCGGACAAGAACAGTGAACTGGTCAGCACGATGCCTAAGTTCTCTCATCTGTTGAAGCCTTTTCACAAGAATCTCTTTATATTCCTAGATGGGAGGATCCAGTCAATAACTTGCCGGATATAGATGATAAATAGTCAGAAATCGAAACAAGATTGTTGGACTAAAAATCTTACCTTATACAACAAAAACAATGCATAGAATGATATGAACCACAAGCATGAGAAATGCACCCACAACCTAAGAGAAATTGTAAGACAGATGAGAAATCTCAAGAAAACAACTTCTTGAGACTATGCAAACAAATTAAAAAAAAAGGGCTTACTTGTTAGAACCTCGTGTGATATTTGATATTGTGAAAGCATCCATCGAATACTCCCTTCGACTTGGTAAATCTGACTCACTGTAGTAATCAACCGGAAGAAGCAGTGACACTCCAAGTACCGAGCACAAGAGAAAGAATCTGATTCTGCAAAACATTTGAAGACCACACCTATTCATACTACAAATCTCACGCGGTTTTTTATTCTTCCAAATTTTACATAACCGGTTTGCTATATTCTTAACCGGGAAATCAGAGGATGATAAAAGCGAAAATCCTCACCCGAATTTGAAGAGTCTAATGAGGACGAGGGCGTCGAGGCCATGGCGGCGGAGGATGTCGTCCTCGGGGACACGGAAGGCGCGTGGGATCCATGCGACGGAAGGAAGGAAGCGAGGGAGGGAGAAGGAAGAGTGGAGAGGCAGATCAGGGCGGTGGTGATCGGAGAGGAGGCGAGCGTAGTAGATGACGGCGTTGCGGGGCTGCTTCTTCAGCACGGAGAAGAGCCAGAGTGCGAGGACGGCGAGTCCTATGTTGATCGACGCCGATGCTATCAAGCTCTCCGGCGTCATCTTTCCCTCTTTTCTCTTCTTCTCTCACTGTTATCTGAAAACAGAGTCACATGACGTGGCCTTTCTGCATGTAAAGAAAATTCCTCCACGCCGCTTTTGTCTCGGTTTCTAATTTACACATCGACCAAAATAGTATATGTTGTATTATTGGCTAATAATGTTGAGCAAAACCATCGTCAAACTTGACCGTCACATGAGTAAAAACATAACATCAATAAGCTCCATTAATATTTTTGTTCTTTTCTTTTCTTCATAATCACATAATCTACAGGATTTTGATTCCAATATTATGTTCCAGTTTCTTTGATGTCGTAATGGTGAAGAGTTAATCGAATTCTCTCATATTAGTAATCTTAACTCCAACAGACTGCAAAAGTGCAAAGTCGAATTGAAACCTTACCAGAATATACCAAATTATGCAAATGTAAAACAGTAAAAGAACGTGGTCGGTTTATTAAATTTTCTTTTATTTTCTTTAACAAACTAATCCAGGTATTTCGATTTTTTTGAAAACATTAACGTGGATATCATTCAAAAGAAATAAAAAAGCTAAATTAGTGGTCTCTGTGAACATCTACCCCACCAAATCTAAAATTTGAACCCTGGTTCCAGCCTTTCAAATAAAAAGTTCCGAGACATTTATTATTAATTTACATACTAAAAAAATAAATATAAAACCAGATAATATAATTTCGTGTGACTCTTCTTTCCTCGAACACTAAAATAAAAAACATTTATATAAAAAAAAAAAAGGTCAAATAACATAGACCTCGGCAAGCAAGTGAAAGTCATCGAATTGAGTTATTGGTATTAGCTGTGACTCCCTCTCAGCCACATCTTTAGATACGCCTCTCGTCTGACGTGGCATCCTAACGACGCCCATTCTCTCTCCACCACAAGTTAGGCACGTGACAATTCCAATATGGGACCCACTCTCCCCCGAAAACTCTTTCTTTTCCACTGTAACTCCTTTCTTTTCCTCATATCCCCCCCAAATGACTTGAGGTAGCATGAAGGATTCTGCTGAATCAAGGTTTTTGAAGGCTTTGCTGTTTTTCCGTTTAATATCAACTTTATTTATTTCTATTATCGGTTTTTTTCACTCTTGAGTATTACGTTAAGCTACTTGTTAATCTTATTGTTTTTTTTTTTTTTTTCATTTTTTTTGGGTTTTCTCTTTCGTGGTGGAGTCGGCGATGTGTGGAGCAATCTGGGAGCGCGATTTTGGGTCTGTGATTCGATTCTTATCCTCGAGTCATGTTTGATTGGGACGAAGAAGAGGTAAATGTTCATTTGTGCTATACATCGGACTTTCTGTAGAATCAGCATAATTCTGTATTTTTATGTTTATGATTTAACGATCGGTTTTTAATCACTCATCCTGTGATGATTTATGAGTTTTCTGATTGTTTGCTTCTTTTCTGAATACATTTCTTACTTTTGGCTTCGTGAATCGTTATCCCATTCTGGGTATGAAGTTTTCTGATTGTTTACTTCCTGGGTTTTTTTCCTTGACACAGTCTCTTACATGGATCAATAACTCTCTGTTATCTAGTTTTATTAGTCAAAATTTCACTTTTCAATGATCAATTAATTTTATCTTGTGGGGAAATGTGCCTATATTTTAATGCTTTATAGGCTTCTCCTGTATCATGTTCATATATATTTTACTTTCCTTGAGGTTTGGTCAATACTTGCTTGTGGCTGATCCCTATTGTTCATGGTCTTAACCTATTTGTTCAGCTTACTAGTATGATATGGGGTGATGACGGTGAGACAGGCGACCATATTGTGCCTTTTAAAGTAAGAAGGGAACAACTTAGCAAGAAAGAACGGAGCGAAGAGTCTAAGACACTTAAGCCAGCTGAGCAAACTGGGACTAAAGTTAACCTCAACGATGATAGTAAATTTGGGAGCAGTTCGGGCATTGATGTCGATAAAGGGACTCCTCCTCAGCCAGATTTTTGTATGAGTTCATGGCCTGACTCATCTCTATCTAATGCCAGAGAAGCTGGACCAGATTCGAGTGCCACCGAACTTTCTAAATGCTTAGCTGAGCCAGCCGGATATATATCTACGAGAGGTGGTGCGTTTCGTTACTTCAAACAGTGATGTTTTGCTTGGGTACGTTCTTTCGAATTTTTGTCATCTCAAAGTTGTGTGGTCTCACCCTGTTTTACCAGAGAAAACGTCTGAACTTGGGAAAGGCCCTGATATTTTTCATAGCACTGATGAGGAGCAAGGTGGTTTTGATGAGTACGGGTGGGCTAACATTGGTAGTTTTGATGATCTTGATCGAATGTTCAGGTAAAGCTCCTTCTCATCCTGACTTTAGCTATTCGGTAACTTTTCAATGACGTTACTCCTTTTGTTCCATCTCCCTACTTTCGCAACACACTCAAACGATCTCCATCTTAGTCTTATTATGACGACTAGTTACCTTTTGATTGTAGTTTGAATAACTTTTTAATGAATAGACTGTTTAATGTGTTGTCTGACTCGAAAAAAATGTCACAGAATTAGGTGGATATATGACAGAAGTACTAGGTTACATATTTCAGTGTGCAGGTTATTTGAAAAATTTGTGAAGTTGCATCATTTGTAGAATAGTAATTTGTTGAAGCGCCACTTTTCCCGTGTTTTGATAAATTTCCCTTCAAGTGGGATACATATTTTGCAAACGTCAAAACAAATTACTGACTTCAGGATTACTACTAATGGTTACTTCACGCATATCGGTCTCTATCTAACACAATATCCTCACAAGTGATGATTTTGCAGCAATGATGTCCCTATATTTGGTGATGGCAGTCTCAACGATCCTGATGAGTTATGGTCTTCTTCTAAAGATGTATCCAATAGTCCATCAAAATCATTACCATCAATTTTGGACTCTCAAGATTTAGAATTGGATATTCAAGCTAAGTTTGAGCGACAAGAGAACCAGCAATTTCCAGTGACTGGAAACGCAAACGCCAATGGTCCGTCATCCCAAAATGTGCTGAGTGTACATGTTACCCCAAAGGCTGAGCAATATCGCGAGCATACGGGTCAACCCTCAGTTGAGGACCAGGTACTATGCGTAGCAGACTGCTCATACGTTTATGATATAGTGAATGAATGTATGTTACAAAGTTTCTGCCAATGCGGATTGGTAGCATGATTTATGTTTTCAAATTCTTATGCATTCTAATTTGTCACCTCCACTTAGCCTTCTTTGTTTCATTTCCTCTTTCTGTGTAGCCATATCAACAAAATAAAATGATGAAGTTTTCGAAAATGTCTGGGACTTCTGAGACGGGAGCATTTCAAGATCTGTACGGTCAGAGGACTTCATCCAGGAATTCACCTGGAAAATTTGTAAATCAGTTGGCACCGTCACGATCCTCTTTGATGGCTGTTAATATGCAGAGAGAGTCTCAAGGGTCTGGGACATCACACTATCCACATATGCCAAACCAATACATGGCTACTTCTGGTTTTGGTAATCTTACAAATCCATATTCTACTGTGCCTGTACTTTCGGCCGTCCAATGTCCTGATGCTAAGAATCAGTTGTTGCATCCTCCCTACAATCCTGCAACTGCTGTCACAGATGCCTCTGTACGACCTTCAACAATGACGCCACAGGAAAAACTTGAAAAACTTAGACGCAGACAGCAAATGCAGGCAATGCTTGCTATTCAGAGACAACAGCAGCAATTTCGCCATCAGGTGCCTGTAGCAGATCAATCCATTTCTCAGAACTGTAGCCAAGATAATCTACTCCAGCTTGCCGACAAAACTAATCTCCAAAGGCTAACTGCAATGCCTTCCTTCGATCCTAATTCCTCTTTGGAACTAGATGATATTCGCAGCGCCGCTGCTGTTGATGATTCGGCAGAATTCTCGGTTCTTTATAGGCTTCAGGATGTTGTGGCAAAGGTACTAAAATGGTTGATTGGTTTGTTATGTTAAAAAGGGCGAAGTCGCAATCCTAAAGTACTTTATAGGTGACCTTAACTAATACTCTTTATTGACCTGCAGTTGGATATGGGAACACGGACTTGTATACGGGATAGCTTATTCCGGTTAGCTGGTAGCGCAGGTCAGAGACATCACCCTTCTAAGAAGACTAGCCAGGATGACCAGGAAGTTACTGCCAAAGAAGAATCCAGATATAGGTAATCAAATTTATGAATTGTCAACAACATGGTATACTTCGTATTTAGACAATGTAAACTACATGCATACACTTTTGTTAATTTGGTGTAACCTTTTATATATGATACCAAGTTCATATCTCAACGAGAAGTAAGTACGAGATTGGAGGTCCTTGTGCACCAGGAAAAAGTAATGAATTTATCCGTCTTAGCAGATTTCCCTTCTTCTGAATGAATTAATTACGCACCTGGATGCTGCAAGCATATGCATTAACTTCATCATCAAAAATCAATGTGATTTACATAGCTAGCTCTTTGTTTTTTATTGTTACAGATATGCTGGGATCCCAGACACAGAAACAGTGACGAATCCCACAGACAGAACTGTGGCACATTTGCTCTTTCATAGGCCTTTTGATATGTCGGCGGCAAGGCATATGGAAGGACCAGAATCACCCGCTTCTTCGAAGATGGGAACTGGAGGAAAAGGGAGTTTTCCTAAACGAGAGAATCGCATAGATAAGCAGAAAGCAAAAGAGGAAGACATATCTGCAGGTTCACTTGCTTTAGGAAATGCACCAAACTCTGGATCCAGTAGTACTGTTGGTGAGAAGGTTGTTGAAGCATCGCAAGGAAACAAAAGAAAGTTGTGAAATATAGAAGGGTAAATAATTCGTCACTATGTATTGCATCACATGCCATCTTATATACGTTCATAGAGCCCCCATATATGGATTTATCGTTAACTGATACTCAGGTATTACTCTTGCTGTCAGTCAGTTTAGGTTGCCGTGTTAGAGAGGAGCTTGAGGAATTCAGCAGAGTAGACAACATCTCTCTGCATCTCTTGAAACAATCTCCTCTTTACTCCTTTCACGTGAATCTCTTGTTCTTGTAATTAGATGTTTTTGCTTTTTTGGTTCACTTGTTGAAAACCTCTTTTACACGTGAGGAACAACATTTTGGAAAACTCATGTGGTTTGCTCTTACGTTTTACCTTCTTCGAAACCAGAATCAATCTCTTATAACAATTGAAAGCAATCATGAAGGACACATAAACATCTACAGTCATAACAATCAGAGTCTATTTTCAGGAGAAAAAGTAGAAATGTCTCAAGCTGCAATGAATTTGCCTTTCTTCAGTCGATGCATCGGTATGTGACGAAAGAATCAACAGGTTCTTTACTGTATGTGATCTTCACAACCTGTTTTTTCTTTAACCCATAGTATCTCACAAAGCTGTCCTTCTCCTGCAAAAAAGGAATCTGAAAACGCAAACAAAAAAAAGCATCCATTAAAACATAGAAAACAAAAGGTGAAGAAGCTTTGTGCAGAGTAGTTGAACCAGACCTGTTTGTCCTCAATCCCATGCTTACTCAGCAGCTCCTGTTTCTCCTCTTTGGTTAATATCTCAATCTTTGGCTGCGCAGTGTGCTTTGTGATGTTGACCAACAAATCTCCTATCTGTTGTTGACACAGATAGAAATATAAACATGGAAGTGTTCAGTAAGTATGAAACAAATATTTCAATCGCATTGCTTTTGACTGTGTATCAGTTTCATGACCCATCTAAAACGAACCAAATCTTGATAATTCGCACTTTCCTATACTATAGAACATATTTTCATCATGTAGCCAAACGAAAAACGGCTTACCGGGAAAGTTTCAACAGTAAAAGGAAAGGTTGCCAATTCCTTCTGAGCAAAGTGGTTCATTTTGCTCTGTGAAACGAGAATCAGCACTTGCAAGCCTTGAGTGCTCGAAATCTCACTGTGAAGAGCATGGATTGATTTCACGGTGATTGGTTCAGACCCCATGAACACAACAAGTATCTGCAAAAAACCATTTCAATTTCAAAACTGAGATAAGCTTAATTGAAAAAAGTCAAAAAAGGTAAAGCATTAAAAGATCATTGTTGACACTTCTCATCTCAACTAGCTGTTGAAACCTAATTTTATAATGACACCCAAACCTTTCCCATATAAAGTTATAGCAATCTGCCATTGGATACAAACACAAGACTGAAACGCAAAAGCACAAATCAACTGAAAGTAAAAGAAACCCAACTCCATTTTCTGTGCAATAAGAACAGGTAAAAAGATCTTTGATCCTCAGGCGTTTAAATGAGCCTTAAAACGAAAAAGTCGATGCCTTTTACAAAAATTCCTCTGTTTGAAGACAAACCCAAACCAAAAGTAAACTTAAATCGAAGAAAGTCGATGCCTTTTGCAATATTTCCTCTGTTTCAAGGCAAACCCAAAACCAAGTAAACCCTAAATCGAAGAAAGTTGATGCCTTTTTCAAGTTTTCATCCATTTCAGGCCAAAAAAATAACACCCAGCTCGAAAATAGAGGTAAAAAAGAAAAGATGAAACCTTTTTCCTGAAATCCGAGCGAAGAGACACACAGATACGGAGGCGTTCGAGGTCTGGCTTCTCACCAAAAGCAGAACGAAACTCAGAGAGAGAGCAAGAGAGTTCGGCGTCGGAAACTTGGTAGCCTCTGTCGCGAAGCATCTCAAAGGCTGTCGTGCGAGCCAAGTAAAACCTCTTGCTGTCGACTCCACCATCGTCAACAGTCTTCGCAATGCAGTGGCTGTGGGTCCCATCGTCAAACGTCGACACGCCATTTTCACAGTGCCATTCTACGTCCCTTGTCTCCTCCATTTTTCCCTCACCTTGCTTTTGCCGATTGAGTTTTGGGAGTGGAAGAGAGAAAGAAAGGTTTATGAAATGTCTACTGCTTGCACAAGACGAGAGTTTTTGCTTTAAGGCCAATAAAAAAAATCAAGAGTTTGCTTTAAGGCCTAAAATTGGAGAGATCTGGACAGTCCACTGCATCAAACAACTGACGGTTAGGATGTTTTGAGCCAAACTTAATTTTCTTCACCAAAAATAAAATATTTTTCTTACAATTAAAGGCCAAACCGGGCTTATTACAAAAAGAGAAAGCTCAGAAACATATAAAAATGTCGACATGACGTCAGAGGATAATTGAGACGGTTGATTTGAACGACGGCGAGGACTTTAGGGTTCCTGCTTCCATGGAGATTACAAAGATCTTAAATCATGACGAAGGAATTGCCGAACCGAGGATGAAGAAGAGAATGAAACCTGGATCTCTCACATCTCTTAACAGTCTTGACGATGGTTGCCTCATGCACATCCTCAGCTTCCTATCTCCAATTCCAGGTAAATTGGTTTCTTCTGCGCATTTGTTCATTGGTTTTACTGATAATTTTGTACTTCTCTATTCAATTTTGCTCTTAATGAATCCATTGTCGATTTTGTTGGTTATTAGACCTCAATTAGAATTTCACCTAAGTGTTCTGCATCTTCTCAATTACGGTTCTGTGGCTCATAATTGCAAAATTTTAGACTTTTAAATCATATTCAAATCATAATTGAATTCTATTCATGTGTGTTTTCCCACTCAATTTGACTTGGTGTGATACAGCTTTGTAGTAATGTAGCACTATTAGCAAGACAGCTTTTTTGTGTGTATTGAGTTCGTATGTTTTGATCTTTATTGTGGTGTGTTAAAGCTTCAAAAATTTCATATTTTTTGTTTGCGTGCGACTTGATTGAGTGTTGTTTGTGTATCTCTTGTGAGTTTGCAGATAGGTATAACACAGCACTCGTGTGCCACAGATGGAGATATCTGGCGTGTCACCCTCGCTTGTGGCTACGTGTTGACCGTTTTGTGAAGGATCTATCTCAGCCTGGAGTTTTCCACAACATTGAGTCAGCCGTATCTGCAGCGAGGTTTGTGATATCTATCATCTTTTATTATCTTCACTTACTTCATTGCTAGTCGTAGAAAGTCCCACAAGTTACACTGACCAAAATTGTCACCTCTAGACCCGGAGATACCATTTTAATAGGAGCTGGTGGGAATCATCTTGTTTCTAATATTCAGATTAATAAGCCTCTTTGCCTGGTATGTCTATCATATCATCTAGTTTTATTGCTTTGATATTTTTCATGGAAGTTTTTGCATTTCCATGTTATACCACTTTCGTTTCCATAAACTTTCTCTAGAAGTACCGATGTGAATTGGTCTACTTTCAGACGTTTCTTCCATGGAGAAGAAATTCTGTTTTACACGCAAAAAGTAATAAATAACTTATCTTAACTTGATCCAGAGTATTTTTACCAACATCTGTATAGTAACTGCTTTTAATATCAAAAAAAAAAATGTGAACAAATAGCCCACTTATCTATTCTTATGAGAGGATGGAGATCCATTTCATGATGTAGCTCTGGATGCACTGAAGAGATCCAAAACAGAACAAACCCACATCTTTAGGTACCAAAATAAATTTGAAAAGGTACAAAACTAATTTCAATCTCACTACTGGAAACCATGCACGCGCTTTTTGTGAGTTTGTCAATTCTTCTCAGTGGATTTTTAAAAGAACTAAAACTTGAGAACTAAAATTCCTTGACCGTGGTGTGAACTCGGAAAAAAAGAATTCAGTTCGACTTCAAAGTCTGAGAAGATTTTGGAACTCTTTTGAGTCACAGTCCACTCATAATGGGATTCTCCGCTACCTGCGTCTTAGTAATCCTCATTTTCTCATATTGAGCAAGACATGGAAAGATGGTAAGGTATTGAAAGTATAACATGATTTAGGATGAATAGATGGAGTGGCAGAATATGGATTGTTGTTATTTAATCAGTACTGTATTGATGCACGCATCTTAGAATCACTTCAGTGTCCTCTTTAGTTACAGTTATGTGGAAGACTCAGTGTCTTGAGCCTTAAAATAGTATTTAAATTTTTCCTCTCTGAGGAATGGGTGGTACTGGTATGATACTGAGGCTAAGTACACAAATGTTCAATGAATGAAAATAGTATTTCAGTTATATCTCATCTTTGCTTTGTTCAGATTGGTGGAGGCGAGATTCCTGATGAAACCACCCTCGTCTGTTCTCGAAGTTCAGACAGGTTTGCAGCTCATATTCCCTTCATTTAATGCTTTATGGGAGGTTTTAGATTGCTAAAAGTTGGTGCTTAACGCATTTTCCATTGCGGCTTAAAGAAAATGAAAGATGTGACTTCATGTTCTATGTCGCGATGCTAGTGTTTCTTTATTTATTGCGAAAGGAAAATGCTTTGGTATACGGCTTTTTTGTTGTTGGGTTTCTTGTGCAGTGCCCTGGAGTTGCTATCAACCTGCAAGCTTGCGAATTTAACAGTGAAAGCGGAGCTTGGTTGCTGCTTGCTTCATAGGAGTGGAAGGCTAACCATTGATGGGTGTGTGCTTCAGTGCGAAACAAACCCTTTGGATCATCTCTCATGCCCAATCGTGAGCACTGCTGGAGAAGATGATGAAGAAGATATCTTGAGCCACGTGGAAGTGAAGGAAACTGTTGCTGAAAAGATGAAAGGAAACAGCGTGAGCGTTTTGCAGACAAGGATCGAGGGAGGTGCGAAGGCTGTTTCGACGAGCGGAGATTTGGTCCTGCAGCGTGTTCGAGTCATGTATTCGAAGGCTTATCTCTATTTCTGGTTTGATGTAGATCACGAGTGAAAGTGATCTTTGTTGTATGTTAGATTACTACACCCTTTCTTCAACCTGTAACATTTGTAATTTGTGGGATGGGTGGTCATTATCATCATCATCTCCCTTTGTATTTTATGTTTACACAGAACTCTCTTTTTCTTTGTGTATGATTACTTTATTAAGAAATAAAAAGTTCTTTTAGGGCGAATTTAGTTATGGGAAAATTCCATATTAATACACCAAGTTAATTTCTATTACCATTTTAATACATAAACTATTTTAGTGTCCAGAAAAATACACCAATTATTTTTTTTTTCCATTTTAATACATTAAGACTTGGTCAATGTCCATTTTTGACATGCTGTTAACAGCTAATAACGGTATAGTAAACGATGTTCAACATCTCTAAACCATGAGTTAAAACTTACTATACAACACGTGTTCAAAATCTTTTTTTAGTTTTAAAACAAATTCTTAAATACAAATTTGAACATAGATTGAGAGAAACACAATTTATTATGTCAAATAAATGTAGAGAGTCTGGAGAAATGATGAATCGAAACCAAAATGCAATAAAAGTCATACACAAACCAAAAGTCTACAAAATAGCAAGAGTAGTAGAATTTGAGAGTTTAAAACAAATAAAAAAATAAGAATACACACTACTTGCGACCCCGAGAGCCTCGTATTGAAGAACCTCCTACATCTCGTGCTCTGTCTCCCCAAACTTCAAATACCCTATTACTGAATGGGCTAATGTAAACGCCATGACCTCTTGGAACTGTCTCCTTGCGAGCTTGTCCTCGCCCAGGCGGACGGCCACGCCCACGGCCACGTAAAGGTGCACTAGATGAAGCTTCTGGTGCACTTGGTAAGGATGGGATAGAAGATTGTGACTGGTCTGTAGCAACAGGTGCAGGGATGGAAGATTGTGACTGAGCTGCACTCACGGGTGTCTTCCTACGTCGTTTTGGTGGATTTGGGTTACTTTGTCCTTCGACCTGAATTATAAAAAAAAATCAAAGATAAGCATACATCAATGTTATATTGAAAACAGAATATGGTGAGAAGTTGCACTGACAGATGTCTTCCGAGGTCTACCACGTTTGCGTTTTGAACCTTCAACCACATAAGATGCATTCTTACATGTGGTTCGATTATGTCCAACTTGTTTGCAATTACCACATATGACTGTTCTACCATCACGGGTAGTTCTGTTGGGTTTTGAAGGTGACTCATGTGCTGCTTTTATTCTCTTTTTTTTAGGACGGCCTGGCATCTTTCGAAATCCCGGCACTCCAATAGGTTCTTTTCCAGTTTTCTCCCAATAAATTTCTCCATTAACTGGTTTTATGTTACTCCCGTAAGTTTCTTTCCAAACCGAAGTCTTGTAATAGTAATCAACATGGCTGCAAATAGAGATCAACCAAGTAAACTCAATAAGCCATTCAAAATTTCAGTATCAAAAACCAATTAATTAAAAAGTGACTTATTTATCTGGTTCTTGGTGACAATCGTTGATAACACGAATTGCATGTGAACAAGGGATACCTGTGAGGTCCCACTCCCTACAAACACAATGTTTCAGTCGAAGACTGACTTCATAGCTACAACCGTACAAAACCACTTCAAACAAGTTGTCACAACTCGTTATGACTGAGCAATGGCTGCTGTCTTCTCGGTTAGCTTCTAATATATCTGCTATCCTTCTTGGAAATGGCAGTATACACGTATTTTCCCTCTTTAACCTGCGAGCAATGCGCATCATAGCTTGTCTTCTAATCATTTCGAGCATATTAATCAAAGGCAATTCTCTGGCTTTTTTTATAGTTCTGTTGAAGCTCTCCGATAAGTTGTTACAAACATTGGCAGATCTGGCAGTCGTGGAGAAGAAAGCAAGACACCAAGTTTCCGGTTCAGCCGCTTCCAAAGCGTCATATGCCTCTCTATCAAATGCAAGCAGCTCCTTCATATGCAAACCATACTCTCCAACTGATTTACTGTAAGCCACATTCCAGAAGAAGGGTTTGTAGTCATCATTACCGTAGGTCTTCTTCCAGTTACTATACACATGCCTTGCACAATTTCTATGCTCTGCATTTGGGAGAACACTTGCTAAAGCAATTTTTAAACCCTTTTGTCTGTCTGAAATGAAGGAAACCCCATCTCCTAAACCCAATGATAAGTCAAACTGCAATTTTTTAATAAACCACTCCCAAGAATTCTTGTTCTCACCTCTAACTACAGCCCAAGCTATTGGATAAATTCTATTTTCTGCATCTCTACCAACCGCTGCTAGTATTTCTCCCTTCAAATCCCATTTCAAAAAAGCTCCATCTACACCTATAATAGGCCGGCAATATTTCTTCCAGGTTCTCCTAAGGGGTTCAAAGCAGACGTAAAAGCTTTCAAATACCTGTTTGCCGTCTTTCTCAACAGTGACAATTTCAGTGCTACTCTCCTTGTTAGATCGTCGCAACTCAGCCTCATAATCTCATAATTTTGCAAACTGTTCTTTTTGTGTTTCTAACACCATATCCAAGGCAATCCTTCTAGCTTTTCTGCATTTGAATATTGAAACTGAGACATTATACATATGCATCAACTCATCCTTAATATCTGTACTCCTTATATCAGGCCGTCTTCTTGCTTCTTCTTTGAACAGCTTTGCAATGGTCCCTTGTTTCAGCATCCTAGCTCTTCCCGTAGGCAAATGATTGTGGATGTCTTCGTATACCTTAACCATCCACTTGCGTATTGGTCTCTCAAATGAGCAATAAATTCGCCACTTACACTTTTCCTTGGTGCAAACAGCAGCATGCTTTGTCGCCTCCCATCTATTGAGCTTCACATCATATTGTGTCTTCAAAACATACCTCAGCAATTGATCTTTGAACTCATCACTATTATTGAATGTCTGCATAAGCCACAAGTATGGAGGCTTGTCATACTCACCACGACTTCTTCCTTTCTTTCTTCTAACTTTTTTGTCTTCCTTGTTAAAATTTGCCCACTCTTCATCAGTATCAACCGGAGAATCAGGATACTCACCAGCTCCAAGCGGCCTCTCATCTTCACTTTCACTGTCAGATTCAACTCCATCATTTAAATTAAGTTGTGTAACCACAACATGTTCACCATGTTCAATCAAGTTTGTGAATCGAGGATCACTGGCTCCTACATCTAGAATCTGTTCTTCACCCTCAGATTGAGGACCATCACCATCTGGCTTCTCTTGTTCCTCTCTGTTTTCATCATCGTTAATTTCTCCATCATCACTCTTAGCTTCATCATCACTGTTTTTATCTTCGCTCTTCTCTTCATCATCTACCTCATTATCCTCAACATCAGCTTCTCCATCAACATACACGCTGAAATCTACGTCAGCCCTCTCACCACTAGCAATATATAAATCAACCTCATTTACTCCTTTTGCTTCTTCAGCCATCTTCATAATCTCAGCATCTTTGTTTTTGTAGATCGATCTTGCCACTGAAATATCTTCACTCTTTAGTTTATACCAAACCTGCTCTGCTTTATTTTCAATTTCTCTTTCTTTGATGAAATCCTCAAAAATTGACCAAGTTAAAAGATCTGGATCAATTAACACATCACGTACAATACTTCCACCTGAATAAGAGAATTTATTCTCTCTATATGACATTAAACCCCCATACGAAATGTGCATCTTCAAAACATCATCTCTGTTACTGTAAAAGTGAGAACAACATCACTGTAAAATAGATATATATAGAGAGGGAGAAACAAGAGAGAGAGAGAGATATAGAGAGAGAGAGAGAGAATCGCACCTCATCTTCTCCAAAAAACCTTAACACACTGATTAGGAGAAATTGAGATTCTTAATACTTCTATGGTTCAGTCAGAACTCATTCTCGATTACAACAGCAATAAATCTTTCGATGAAGATGGATTTAACGATTCTAAGATGTAATGGATTGGGATTTTAGGGTTCTACTCAATTTGGGGATTTTTTATGATACTGATCAAATTAATTGAGTTTAGTCGGACTAGTTTGTGTGTAGTTAAGTTTTAACCAAGGTTAGTTTTTAAACAGAATTTAAACACCGTATAGAGTGCTGTTAACGTCCGTTTTGTTTGCTTTATAAAGTGGATATACTATCAATACTTTGTGTATTAAAATGGAAAAGAAAAGTAATTGACGTATTTTTCTGGGTAGTGAAATAGTTTGTGTATTAAAATGGTAATAGAAATTAACTTGGTGTATTAATATGGAATTTTCCCTTTAGTTATTGGTAAAAAAAATTATGTGCCAGTGACGGCATTGGATCCCAACATTTTTAACATAGATCGTATCGTAGTTTTAGTGGCTGCTTTAGAATATGAAATGTAGAAGAAAAAAAAAAGGACATTATTGTCGAAACTCCTCCTCATTATTTTATGAAATATATGTAGATTTTTATTTGTTTTTGGTGACAATTTATAGGTTTTTTCCTTCTTTTGGGTAAAACTTTATGAACTATCTATTTTGTCATTTTCTTTTTCTTCTAAATAAGTTTTTTAGAATCAATCTACTGTTTTCAGCCTATTAAAATCTTATGGGTTTAGATTTGTGCATTTTCTGTCCTTCTTAACAAAGTATTCTTTCCAAATTTTATATTTATGATTTTGACGTGAATATAATTGTTTGTATCTTTGCGAATTCAAGCAAATAAATATCATATGTTGATAAAAAAAAACTTCATATTGATTTTCTTTAAAAACTAAATATCAAAGTTTTTTTTTTCTTGCAGCATCTTAGTAAAATAGTAGAGTTCTCCTTTAGCATTCTTCGGCTTATTCTCTAGTCGGTGTCTGTTTTTTAGATATAACGATCTTAGATTTCTAGTTTTTTGGCCGAAGTTGCGGTGTAAAATTTCCTTTTAGGATTTCTTATTCTTTGTTTATATCTTTTAGGCTTTTCTACTATAATCCAGTTTCTAATAAGATTCATTAAAGATTATTTTTTTGGTGAGTTTTAAAGTTTAGTTTCCCCAGATTTTTTAGATTATTTTAAAATGTTCTGTTTTTAATTTGTAAAATCAACTATATCTATTTTTTTAAGTACCAAAAATATTATAATATGAAGACTCTTTAACACAAAATAACTAAAATATTATTCGATCTCGTACTAATATGTTTAGCATGCTTTTCTTTTGTAACATTGATGAATATGTAATAAGCATAAATTTAAAATTTCTTATATTATAAAAGAAAAACATGTTGAATATTGAAAATATTACTTTATTTTATTACATTTATATAAATTTGTAGATACAATGAAAACCAAAATCATCACCATTGAAATCATTAACACTAGTAAGATCATCATCATCGAAAACATTAACGATATTACTAATAGATTTGAGAATCCAAACAAAATTCAGTGTTATTGGTTTTTATATTTTAAATTTTATATTGAATTACAGTGTTATTGGTTATATGATTTTCAAATATATAATGAAATATAATATTATTGATTCTATAATTTGAAAATCTTAATATAATAAGGATTTAAGTTTTAGTTGAATTTGAATAAATTTGAAAGAATTTTCATAACTAAAATACAAAGACTCAAATACAAGATATAACCTTAGTATTTGAGTGGATTTGATTTTTTTCTATTTTACTAATTTTAAAATCAATAGATTTACCAAGTTCAAAGAAAATTTTCTAAATCCATCCACCACCATTGAAATTAACACTTTTTCTTTTAAAATTGACTAGCTTATCCAACTTAATGATACATATCACATTTCGAAAAAAAGAAAACATATTATGAGTTGATACAATAAAAATAAGTTAGTGGATCGAACTTTTGTTAACACAACAAATATTTCTTTTTCACTTCTATTTTAAAAAAATTATTATATATATATATATTTTTTTTTGGTACGAAAATTATTATATATATAAACAATAAAGTTAAGAGATAAATTGAACTATCCAATTCTTTCGCCAAGTTTTTAAATTCAAATTTAAATATTTGATAAGAAATTTCAACTGAAAATAACTTTTACGCAGGAGCATAATATATTAATAGTATTTTAGTATTTACGTTTGTAATTGTTAACCGAAACCAAAAATAAAATAAAACCTAAGGTATATAAAAGCCCCACACACACTCTGAAGTGTGCAGTCATTGCTGAGTCCCCTCAATTCTCAAACCATCCAAAAACCTCAGAGGCAGCGAATCCGATACCGCAAAGAATGTCAGGCATGGAGTCACTGATTCTTCAGCTCCACGAAATCGGCGCCGTGAAGTTCGGCAATTTCAAGCTCAAATCCGGAATCTACTCTCCGGTTTACATCGACCTCCGCCTCATCGTCTCTTATCCTTCCCTCCTCACGCAGATCTCCCAGACTCTCATCTCTTCTCTTCCTCCTTCCGCCACCTTCGACGTCGTCTGCGGCGTCCCTTACACTGCTCTCCCCATCGCCACCGTCGTCTCTGTCTCCAACGGCATCCCGATGCTCATGCGCCGTAAGGAGATCAAAGACTACGGCACATCCAAAGCCATCGAAGGAGTCTTCGAGAAGGACCAAACTTGCCTCATCATCGAAGATCTCGTGACAAGCGGCGCCTCTGTTCTCGAGACGGCGGCGCCTCTTCGTTCGGTTGGTCTCAAGGTTAGCGACGCGGTGGTTCTCATCGACAGGCAGCAAGGCGGCCGGGAGAATCTGGCGGAAAACGGGATTAAGCTCCACTCGATGATTATGTTGACGGACATGGTTAGGGTTTTGAAGGAGAAGGGGAAAATTGAAGAGGGTGTGGAAGCGAATTTGCTCAAGTTCCTGGAGGAGAACCGTAGGGTTAGTGTCCCGAGTGTGGAGAAACCGAAGCCTAAACCTTTAGGGTTCAAGGAGAGGTCAGAGATCTCCAGGAATCCGATGGGGAAGAAGCTGTTTGAGGTTATGATGAAGAAAGAAACCAATCTCTGCTTAGCCGCCGATGTTGGAACTGCCGCCGAATTGCTCGACATCGCCGATAAGGTAAAAAAAGAATCACTTCATATTCAAATTCCTGGAGAATTTCACATGATTATATAACTCAGTGATCATCTCTTTCAAATGTTTGTGTTTATGAAGGTGGGACCAGAGATTTGTCTCTTGAAGACGCATGTTGATATTCTGCCTGATTTCACCTCTGACTTTGGCTCTACACTCCGAGCGGTAATTACTACTTCCATTAATTTGCTCACACCATTCTTACACATATTATTTGATAGGTTTGGTTACTCAAAGAAAGTGATAGATTATATAATTCTACAGCTGTATAATAGAAATGTTACCACAATTTGGCTGTTCTTGATAACCCTTTTCGATACTCAATGATCTTATATTGTTACGGTTATACTTTCAGATCGCAGACAAGCACAATTTTCTCATATTTGAGGATCGCAAGTTTGCAGACATTGGTAACACCGTCACAATGCAGTATGAAGGGTAAATGTTATCTACGCTATATCCCTTAAGCCTTCATTAATGTTTTTTCATGTTTTTCACAAAACTTATCTCTTGTGAGGTTTTGTTTGCAGAGGCGTCTTTAAAATATTGGAGTGGGCTGATATTATAAACGCTCATATCATATCGGGGCCAGGAATCGTGGATGGCCTCAAGTTGAAGGTATGTATATATTTCTTTTTATTTGTCTTTTGAGTTGAATCATAATTGATTTTTTTTTGGTTACACTGATAGTTTGGGGATAACTATGATTGTAGGGTTTGCCTCGAGGTAAGGGTCTGCTTTTGCTAGCTGAAATGAGCTCTGCGGGCAACCTTGCTACCGGAGAGTACACTGCGGCGGCTGTGAAAATCGCAGAGGCTCATTCCGATTTCGTGATGGGATTCATCTCGGTGAATCCGGCGTCTTGGAAGTGCGGGCCTGTGTATCCGTCTATGATTCATGCAACCCCTGGTGTTCAAATGGTGAAAGGTGGTGATGCACTTGGTCAACAGTACAACACTCCACACTCTGTGAGTCGTCTCTCTCTCTCCCAAACCCTACTTTCATCTTCCATCATTCATAGTTTGTATTTTTGGGCAGGGATATGAAGTCGATTGCTCTTTTTCTTGTTTTCAGGTGATTACTGAGAGGGGAAGTGATATTATAATCGTGGGACGGGGAATCATCAAGGCGGAGAATCCAGCAGCGACTGCTCACGAGTATCGAGTTGAAGGCTGGAAAGCGTACTTGGAGAAATGCTCTCAGTAGAATCCTTCCTGAGAATTTTCTGATGCGAAAGTTTGTGCAAGTTTTTGTTTGATTTATGGGAGGATGGGTTTAGGACTTTATCACTTGATCTCAATAAGAATAAGGCGAAACATGGAGATTGGATCTCATATCATTATGTATTTTGTATCTTTGATCACAAAATTTGATGGTTTCACATTTTTATGAATGATGAAGCTTTAATCTACTATTCCTCTGTATTTGACTGAGGATTGCCCAAATTTTAAAATTGTCTAAAAATCTGTTAGCTATAATGTTTGATTGCATACGTACCGAAATCTGTATGTCGATTACCAGAAAGAAAGGACTGCAAATCGATATCGGTTGTAATTTACACGTGTGATTAAAGAGACACACGTGGAGCTGTCTTAATGGTTAAAGAGACACACGTGAAACTTCCGCTTGATTGTTTTGCTGAGATGGATGAGAGAGAACCAAGGGATGTGAGATTTTATCCTTTTTCAAAAACGCATAGAAGCCTAATTTCTTTCGCCTCTGGTAATTTTTTTCCGCTTAGGTCGAAAAGAGAGAAACCAGATTACCAGAAGATGAGATTTTACCCAAATAAATCAAATAGGAATCTATAAAGCCTCTAAATTGGTCGGTTCCGTTGTCGATTAGATTACGCCGATGGATGTTCCCGGAGAAGCCGATCACAAACTCTGCGGTTTTCTCTGTACTGTTCTTTCCGTCGATTCGCCTGGTCTTCCGCAGGAACTTTCATTGGGTTCCTCTTGTTTCATCTTCAATGATGGTTCCGTCACCGGTTTCAAATCCGAAAATGGATTGGTCTTATCCCTCCTCAATCATAGCTCTAATCCCAATTCCCTAATTGCCGAAATCGGCGCCGTCGAAGGAGATCATGATGCTGAGAATTGTGGAACACTGGATGACTGTGGATTGGAGAGTACACCGAAACGACGCAGGCGCGTTGAGGGAGAGAGCAAACGAAAATCTCCGAAGTCGAAGAGACGTGGTTCCTCCGGGAGCAAAAGCTTTCTTCCGGAGAAGAGCAGTGGACAGGGAAGGAAGAGGGTGAGGAGTATAGGCATGGTGAACGGGAGCATAAGCGTGGTGCAGCAACTTCACGCTTTGGTCGCCAACAAATGTTTGAAGATCATGTGTCGAGTCGTGAAGGCTGATCAAGGTGAGAATGGACAAGACAGAGCTGTGGTGTTAGTGGATGTTTATCTGCCTGTTGCATTGTGGTCGGGATGGCAATTTCCTAAATGTCAAACTACTGCCGTTGCGTTTTTTAAGCACTTGAGGTAAATTCGTGAGTCTCCTTCTCTTAACCCTAGTTTTTTTAGGTTTAGGAAGAATAAATGCTGATGCTTTAGTGTAGAATTAAGCTTTTCTGTGTGACTCTTATGCGTCTGTCTACAGTTACCTATGTAGATTAGGTTTTAAGTTTTCCATTAGCAATGCTGTTTGATACTTCTCCTATCTCTCTCTTCATGTTAGTCACGAATGCAAACTTTTCTCGCATTTTTTTTTAATGTATTCCACTTTTTTTGCAGCTGTGACTGGGCACTGAGAAGCTCAATCCTTAGGGGGGAAAGTATTTGGGAAGAGGCCAATGGAAGAATAAAGGCCATCTGGGATCTATCTGACTGCCATGTGTTGGGTTGCAAATTACACTGCAGTGCCCCAGATTCTCCAGATAGAAGATTATTTAAACTACATGAAATCTTCAAGAACTTGCCCAGTCCAGGAAACAGTGGCGTGTTTGATTCTTCTAGAGTATCACCATCCACTGACTCTTGTGCATCTGGCATTTGGGATCTATCAGATGACGTATTGATTACCATACTGATGAAACTCAACCCGAAGGATCTTGTTAGCATTGCAGGAGTGTGCCGTCTCTTAAGATCATTGGCCTTTCTGATTGTGCCATGTATGAATCTTAAGCTTTTTCCTCATCAGCAGGCAGCGGTTGGCTGGATGTTGGAGCGTGAGAGGAAGGCCAAAGTTTTCTCACATCCTTTATACCTGAACTTTGATACTGAGGATGGCTTTGGTTTCTCTATGAATGTTGTGTCTGGTAATATAATCACTGAGGCAGCTCCCATGGTCAAGGATTTTCGTGGGGGAATGATTTGCGATGAGCCAGGTCTAGGTAAGACAATAACAGCACTGTCCCTTATTCTAAAGACGCAGGGAACAATGGCTGATCCGCCTGAGGGACTTCCTGTCATTTGGTGTACACATAAAAGTGACAAAAAATGCGGTTATTATGAGTACACGAGTGACCACTTCACTTCTAGCAGCGTGTTTACTGCAAAGAGGTTTCTAAGTCCAAGTAGTTGTCGAAGACAGGTGTCTCTTGACGCCTTTAGTCCGCTGCTGGAATCAAAATCTTTGCCACCTAAGCAAGCGGATCCAGATGGTCAAACTTTTGAGTTTAAGAACTCAAACTTTGAAAACGAATTTGAAACTCCCATCCCTGCTTCCACTGATTTAGAAGCTCGGCGTAGAAAGAGCTTTGGTAATGCCAGAAGAAATCTCTTGGATGCATATAATGGCGCATCTGAGAACTCTGAAGCTAAAAGAAATAGGAGTTGGAAGAAATGTGGCATGATAACCGGTTGTAAGAGAAAGGGTCCTACTGATTCGGGTGAGGAAAGCGATATCTGGATACAGTGTGATTCTTGCTCAAAGTGGCGGAGAATAGTAGATGAAGGTGTCTCTGTTACTGGTTCTGCATGGTTTTGTAGCAACAATAGTGACCCTGCATATCAGAGTTGTAAGGATCCTGAAGAATCATGGGATAGATCTCAACCGATAAATCACTTGCAAGGGTTTTATACTAAGGGAGCTTTTGGTGAAGAAAATGATAATATCTCTTTCTTCACCAGTGTCCTTAGGAAACACAAGTCTGCAGTAAATTTGACCGCAAAGAAAGCCTTAATTTGGCTTGCAAAACTCCCTCTTGAGAAGCTCTCACTGATGGAAACAGTTGGCTTACAAGGTCCACCGTTAAATGTCCGTGGGTTTCAGATAATATTTCGAGCACTTGGTCTAACGAGTAGAGTTGAAAAGGGTGTCACTAGGTGGTATTATCCAAAGTTTCTTGAGAACTTGGTATTTGATTCACCTGCCCTCAAGGTTGCTCTCTGCCAGCCGTTGGATGCGTTTAGATTGTATTTGTCGAAAGCAACTCTAATTGTCGTGCCAGCGAATCTAGTTGATCACTGGAAAACACAAATCCAAAAACATGTCAGCCCTGATCAGCTACGTATCCTTGTCTGGACTGACCAGAAGAAGCTTTCTCCGCACAGCCTGGCTTGGGACTATGATGTTGTGATCACTACTTTTAGTCGCTTAAGTGCAGAATGGAATCCTCGGAAGAAAAGCCCAATGATCCAAGTGCATTGGCTGAGGGTCATGCTAGATGAAGGACACACTCTTGGTTCTAGTGTCAGTTTGACAAATAAATTTCAGATGGCTGTTTCGCTGACAGCTTGTAGCCGTTGGTTACTGACAGGAACACCAACCCCTAACACGCCAAATAGCCAGCTTTCGCATCTCCAATCTCTTTTGAAGTTTCTTCACGAGGAAGTATATGGAGAAAATGTCAAGTTTTGGGAAGCTGGCATCCTTAAACCATTTGAAGCAGAAATGGAGGAGGGTCGTTCGCGTTTACTTCAGCTGCTTCAGAGATGCATGATATGCTCTAGAAAGAAAGATCTGCGGATGATTCCTCCGTGTATCAAGAAGTTGACATACCTTAATTTCGTTCCAGGGCATGCAAGAAGCTACAATGAACTTGTGGAGACAGTGAGGCGTAATATCTTATTAGCTGATTGGAATGACCCGTCTCATGTGGAAAGTCTGCTCAACTCTAAACAGTGGAAATCTCGAAGCACTACCATTAATAATGTCAGGCTGTCTTGCTGTGTGGCTGGGCATATTAAAATGACTGACGCTGGTCATGATATTAAAGAGACAATGGATGCTTTAGTTGAAAGTGGTCTGGACTTTTCGACCGAGGAGTATTCTTCTATTCAAGATAGCCTTATTGGTGGCTGTAACTGTATAAGGTATGTCTTTAATCCAGTGTTGTCATTTGTTTAGGGCATATGACACAAGTATCTAACTTTGCTTTTGCTTTTGTTACTCAATCTTATAAATAGATGCGGGGAATGGTGCCGACTTCCTGTAGTCACTCCATGTAGACACTTACTGTGCCTTGATTGCGTTGCTCTTGATAGCGAAAGGTGTACTTTTCCTGGCTGTGGATACTTATATGAGATGCAAACTCCTGAAATGTTGGCTCGACCAGAAAATCCAAACCCGAAATGGCCTGTGCCAAAGGATCTTATTGAGTTACAGCCTTCGTATAATCAGGTACATATGCGTATAATTAAACCATCTTATAAGTTGACGACTTGGTTCCTGGAGGGTAATGCTGAAATACTTTCTCTTTAACATTCAGGATGACTGGAATCCTGATTGGCAATCTACGTCTAGCAGTAAAGTCAGTTATCTCGTGGACAAGCTGACGAAGTTACAAGATGGTAACAGAAAAAGCATTTTGTCTTTCAACAATAGTAACTTTGACAACGTGAAAGAAAATCCCGCCTTTTGGAGGCAAGGATTCCATGAACAGGGTTTTGGATCTCAGATGGTACTTGTTGATAAAGTTTTGATTTTCTCTCAATTCCTTGAGCATATTCACGTGATTGAACAGCAGGTATGAATTGCTGTATTTTGCAAGTTTTTTTTTTCTTTTTTTCTTTGCAATCGTGTTTTAAGCTTTGAGCAATTGTTATATCATGGTTTTGTAGTTGACAATTGCTGGCATCAAGTTTGCTGGAATGTACAGTCCAATGCATTCGGCTAAGAAGGTACTTTGTCTGTTAATGCATGTTTTTTTTTCCTTCTTTAGTCTTGCTTTCAGCTGAAGTTTAACAACTTTGGATTTCAACTTTTCAGATGAAATCTCTGGCCATGTTCAAGGACGACGCTAATTGCATGGCACTTTTGATGGATGGAAGTGCTGCGCTAGGTCTTGATTTGAGCTTTGTAACACATGTGTTCCTGATGGAACCAATCTGGGATAAAAGGTATGATCACTCTGAACTGTTTTTTCATTCAGCAAACACAGACGAGACATCAGTAACAAAATTTAAAACTTGATGTTGTTCTATCATTCATCTTAGAATTCCTTAAACCTTAGTCAGTTGTTTTTCAATTCTATGATGTTGCTAACTCCCACAAAATGTTGAAAAATGAGCAGCATGGAAGAGCAAGTTATCAGTCGTGCTCATCGGATGGGCGCAAAGCGCCCTGTTTATGTAGAAACCTTAACCATGCGTGGCACAATTGAAGAGCAAATGATGAGATTCCTGGAGGTACGGTTGCTTTCTTTCTTATTGTTCTGTAATTATTTAGTCATCAGATAAGAAAAGCTTAGATATATGCATTTGATGGAAGTCTTGAGTATTAATATAGGATATTATATTCAATAATTCCCCTCATGTGTGTTGTTATAAGCAGGATGCTGAAAAGAGAGAGAGATTATCGAGTGGAGATTACATGAAAGTGGAGCAGGAGACGACACGAAGCAGCAGGCGCACGCTACACGATTTGGCAGAAAGCAATTACTTGTCTCATCTTAGCTTTGTCCGATCAGATGGCAACACATAGTTTTGTCTGTTTATTATTTATAGCTAGCTTCAAAATAGGACTTTGTAGCTTTGCTGCTTGGTGGTCTTAAAAATATCACCATTTTGCTTGTATATGTATCAGTAACAAGTAGATTTGAAACAACACTCAGAAAAAGTATAAAGTTTTTTTTTTTTAAATAACCACAGCAATTAATTGTTTACACATTTGAGTTTGTACTATAAATTAAGATAAACATAACCCTGATATGGAACCATTTCAAAAGGTTTTGATCAAACTTCTCTTTCTCCTTCAACATCACTATCATCATCTTTGTCTTGAAGTTTCTTGTAGACGAAATGGTTAGCTACAAACAAATAGAAGCAGAGGCTCACAGCGTTAAGCGATGCGATCACCCAATAGTAGTAGTCGAGGTGTGCTCTGTTAAGGTTGTTGACGAGCCATTCTTCGCCGTGGCTTTTGCTAATCGTTTGAACAGCCGATATAATCCCGGTACTAACAAAACTCCCGACTCCAACGACGCTAATAAAGATGGCTGCACCGATACTTCTCATGTTTTCAGGCATTTGATCATAGAAAAGCTCTTGCATCCCAACAATAGTGAATACATCTCCAATACCCACTAGTATGTATTGTGGAAGTAACCACAAGCTACTCATTGGAACAACTTCTTTTGGAGAGTCAATTAATCCATGATCTCTCGCAACCTTAAGTCTCCTTGCTTCCACAAGCCCACATATCATCTGTTATATATAAAACACACAACTTCATAAAGTAGTGTTTCTGTCTACAAGAGAACAACAATATGTTTTATTCACGTTAGACGAAAAAACATGTTAAGTCTACTACTATAGCACTATTTAAAACCATGTAATGATGGTAATATATGTTATAATTTGATTATAATAGTTCAGAAATCAGTTTACCATGTTGAAAGTAGCGACAAATAAGCCAACGCCTATTCTCTGGAGTGAAGTGATACCAGAATGGTGATTTGTGAATTTACGAACGGTAGGGACAAAAACGCGGTCGTAGAGAGGAATGAGAATGAGGATGGTGACACCAACAATGCTTTGGAAAGCAGCAGGAGGGATGGTAAAGTGATCTCCAATGGTTCTATTCATCATGCTTCCTTGCTTTAGGAAGAATGTGTTGAGCTGCGTAAGTGTGGCACAAAACATTATCAAGCTTATCCAAATTGGAATTAGCCTCAATATTAGCTTTACTTCTTCCACTTGGTTCACTGGACATAATCTCCATGGGTTTCTACTTTTGTTCGACGTATTATCATTCTCATCGATAATTGTAGCTTTATCCAAAAACCTGCATTATGTAAAATGATATCATATAGTTAGTAGTAGTAACTAACACATTATGTGGGTTTAGTGTTCAGTAGATGCAATGGTAAGGGAGGAGGAGGAAGAGGAGAAAACAGTAAGGGAAAGTGAAAGGGAAGAGGAGAGAAAATAGGAGGGAAAGAAAAAAAACTAAAAGGATAAATTTGTATATATTGTAGAATATATACAAAATATCATAGCCATTATTTTTTATGGTTAGTTTGTATATTTTTAAAATTTATATGGTTACTTGACCCAATTTCTCTTTGTCTTTAATTGGTGACCATCTAAGTAATAATAGGAATGAATAGGAAAAGGAATAAAAGGAACAAGATAATAGGAATTATTGTTCCTTCTCATTTTTTATAAGTAACTAGGTTTTTAATTCGCGCTACGCGCGAATCTGAATTAATAATTTGATTTAGTTCTTTTTTGGCTACTATCTTTTAAATTATCCAAGCTATAATATATTTATAGAAATTTAATTTACATATAAAAAAATTAAAACATAATATGTATTTTTACCTAATTTTTTATTATAAAATTATAAATGTTATTAAGTAAAATCATAGTAATAACATCTAACAAATTATCCAACTTCGATGTGTATACGTTTGATTTAGAAAATAATTCTCTTACTAATTTTTTGATGTTTTGTTTTGTGTCCTTAGGATATCTGTAGTTCTTCTTTTTAAGGTTTATATGTTCAAATATTTAGTTTTGGATTAAATGTCTCACTCATGTTATGTACCTATGTATATATAATATATGATTCATGTTGATTTGAATTTACTTTTGTTAGGATGCTACAATAGTCATGTAAAGCTGCTTCTTGCTTCTCTACCAGATCTTCTATTAATTTTATGTTATATCTCTATTCAGTTTATAAGATCTGTTTTATTTGCAATCAACTATTTGATAGTTTTTGTTTTTAAACATGTAAGATGGTGTGAAGTCTTCACATTATCACTGTTTTTATATTTTGTGTGGCTTATTCATGTTTTGATTCGAATAGTTTATCTAGATATATTTCAATTTGAATTTGATTCATAACTTTCTCATACTTTATTATTTAAAGAAAATTTTAGAAGATGTTACTTATGTGCTGTTCATGTTGGTTAAGTTATAAGTAGTAACTATGTCTAAATTAGTTGTTATATTTCGAATGTAAACTTACTTGTGTAGTATTTTTTGTTAGTTATTAAACTAGACGCAGCCAAGGTATTAGTCATTGTAAATTTAAATAATATGTTTGCTTTAGAAACTTGTATAATCTACTGTAACTTTATATGATTATTCATATTCAATATGAATTTTTAGAACTAAATTTTAAACTAATTTTCTTCGTAGATTTTGTTTAATTGTTATTTTACATATTTTTCGATGGTAATTTTATATTTTATTTTTATTTATCTAGTTTTGTGCATGATTGTTATATTTAAAACATATATATTTTCTATTATTCTCTTTGTTATTGATTTTCCAAATAGGTAGCATATATCAATTTAATCTCTTTAAAAAAAAATTTACATTAATTTTTATTTTAATTATAATGCTATTTTGACCTGCTATAACTGGGCATTCTAAATTTTGTGTGGACTTCTTTCAAAATCTTATACAATCATTTGTTTTTTTAGTTAATTTGTTTATTATAATTTTCCAAAATATTAGTCCAAATATCAAGCTAGGTTTTATTTATACAATTTTTTCCTTTAATAATTTACCTTTCTTGATATTTATTTATATTTTATTTTAATACATAATTATTTTAAAAATATTGATATTTTTGAAGAAATAAATTCATTTTTTTGTTTTTTTGTTAGTTAAATATTTTTATATTGATTTCGTAAGTAGTTAGTTTGATATCAAGTCAATTTCTTCTTATGTGATTTTTTAAAAATTTAGCATTTTGTATAACTTAATTTTCATTTTATTTTTCTTTGTTAATTAATTTCTTAATATTGATTTCTTAAATCATTAGCTTAAATATTTAACTTCATTCTGTTAGTAAAGCTTTTTAGTATTGCTTAAGTTTTTGTATTTTCTTACTTATTTTGTTTATATTGATTTTATTAAATAAAAAAATAGCATGAATATCAAAGTTAATGTCCTTTTTTTTGTTAATTTAACTTTTTGACATGAATTTTCATTTTAATTGTATTGACAGGTTGCAAAAAATAATTTGATATTTTCATATTTGATATTTTCTAAGATATAGGTTATCAAAAATTTTAGAAAATAATTTTATTTAACAAAAGAATTTTTTGCAAAAAATAATTTCATATTTGATATTTTCTAAGAGATAGGTTATCCAAAAAATTTGAACATGGCAATATGATATAGTTTACAATATAGTAAATCCAAGTTTATAATATTGATATTTTCCTTTCCACTAAATGAACTTTTTTAAGTTTATTACTTACATTTGTATCAAATTTTCTTTTTTACTATATTGATGATGTTGATATATACTCTTTTCGGTATTAACATATTGATAAATAGTTTTTCCTTTCCATTATTAAAAAATATATTACTATTGATATTTGCCTTTATTAATATTACAACTAATTAATTTAAATAGATATAATTAATTATCAATGCTGATGTGTACCAATAGAATTGAATTTTTAAATCCTATGTGGACACCCTTAGAGGTATTTAGCATCAATTTTTATTAGTAATAGATATATTAACATTATAGTTCTCTAAAACATAAGGAATGAGAAGGAATCATGTGTACAATATATTCCTTTTAAATGGTGTAATTTTTAAAGAATGATAAGGAATTTAATATTCTCTTTCATTCATTATGGTCACCAGTTACAGTCTTTGTTTATCACTGTTAGAAAAAAAAAGAGTCTATTAAACCAATATAGATCTACAACTAGTACTCATATGCTATCATTGTTAGATTATATATTAATGGTTAATGGATAGTTTCTTTAAAGACTTTAATCAATGTCCATTAGAATGTGCACGTGATTTCCGCAATTCATTTTTTCCGCCATTCCGTAATTCTACGATATAAAAAATGTGTTACCAATCAGAATTTGTGAAAAAGGTTGTTAATATAATTTGTGAAAAAGGTTTTTAATGTAATTAAACCGATATCATATCATTTATCATTATAAATTAAACCCTTTATCCAAAAAAGTTATCATTATAAAATGATAATCATTTTAAAGATCTTCACAAACCTAAAAGATATATGAGAATATTCTTGCAAGTTTCCTATAATGTTCGACAAAGATCAAAATAGAAAATACTCAGCGGGAAAATTTACAACGCAATCCTTATTTATATTAGGTTAACACATAAACATATATTATCGATAAAAATACAGGTGTCAGTCCGACGACTTAGTTCCAATTGGACTTACGTACTTTAGGTCATACTTTATGCGAATAAATTAACATTAAGATGGATATAATGTTCCCCTAAAACGAGCATGTTGGACCACTTTGGATATCAAATTTTAATTTAAAAAGTCTTGTTGAAAGTTGAAACTGAGGTTATATATGTATAAACTAAAAACGTATAATATAAAATCAAGTACCTGAATTGATTGGTTTTAGCAAGAAGATGTATTTTGTTAGCATTTGTTGACTCGGACGACTTGTCCTCCTCCTCCTCGTAGCAAAGGCCATACTGGTGGCGCGTGGTGCTCAGTCGCCATTTTTTAGAGGCAGCGACGATGACCTGAGCAACCCTCGTGAGAGGGCTTCCGACAGGAACTTGTTTTCGATACTTCGGAATTCCTATCAGAAAGATCAATATACCTATCCCGACACTTCCTGCTACTACGCTGAATCCTACCGCCCAGCTCACTCGTTCCTGTGTAATAAATAAAATGTGAAAACAATATTTGGATTTTTTGTTTTCTTTCCTGGTTCTTGCTAATTAATACAAAAATAGCATCTGAAAAAGTTATTGAGATAATTATGATCGCAGTTGCACATCATTGTACGATGTTTGATATATAAAAATACCATAGACAAATAATCGTGTATTTTCAATTATTCAAATCGAAATTGTATAATAATATTACTATTTATCTCTTAATGTCCTGCCAACCATATTACTTAATAATTACTATCCCAGCCAGCTTTTAAATATGCAGAACCGAAGACCCCAAATAAACATTTCTTAATTAAGTATTTTAAGGCAGAAAAATTAGTTTTTATTTTGTTTTGTTTTATTACATAGTTTCTGAAAGATCCCAAAATAAACATTTCTTAATGAGTAGTATTTTAAGAAAGCATATGACGATGGCCAAATGCGAATAGTTTTTCAGCTTGATAACGTGATTAATTATTGATACCAGCATATGATGAATATATCTCATAGAACAACACATACTTAGATCACTAATCCTGCTTTCACAGCAGATAGATTAACTTTTGATTTGAGATATGTAAAATACCTGAATGAAGATGAGGGCAAGAACAGCTATGGAAGAACCAAGAACGATGGCCATATACCAATAATTGAAGAACGATGTCTTTGCTGCCTTCTCCTCCGTCGTGGCTTCTCCGAACTGGTCAGCCGCGAAGGTCATGACGCATGGCTTATGCCCTCCTTCTCCAACCGCCATCACGTACAACGCCATAAAGAACACTTTTTCTCTCATCCGCGATGCCACCACCGTCACCGACAATGGCAACATAACCATTCCCTAAAATTTTATGACATTCATGTATTAGTAGTTTCATATTAGTTTGGGTTTCGGCTTGAAATCTTAATATGATATATATAAATGCAGACCAAGAGAAAAATGAAAGAAGACAAGAGAACGGTTTTAAAGCGGCCTAGGATCGAATCTGCTAGAAACGCCCCAAGAATGGGGAAAATGCAAGAAACGCCGATCCATGTGTTGATCTGCTTGGCTGCGTTGGCCGTGGACTGGCCTAGCTCGTTCGTTAGAAATGTCATGAGGTTGCTTGCAAGACCGTAGAACGCAAATCTCTCTGTCATCTCCACAACTGCAAAGATCAATGAAATTGCGTGGTCTCATCAACTTCTCTAAAGATTTTGATAAGAAAAGAGTTTTCATGAGATGTTTACCGATGATGAAAACGGCAGCGTTCCAGCCTCCTTTTGTAGTTTTATCAATGAGAGAGGTTGAATCTGCCATGGCTGATCGAAGCAACGAGATGGTTGTGACTTGTGAGTGTATCTGGACGTTTTTCTATAGGTTTGGAGATTGTCGTTGTGATCACCGATATGTCCTTTTTATATTTGAAAATGGTACTCTGATCTCTATGTAAGTTTTTTACTTTTTTTTCTTTCTATTGCATGTACTTGTTTAATATATACACACTATTAAATGTATGTGATATGGTTCGTCCTCGAGAAAAAGGTTTATGAGATTTTCACTTGTAAAATTCTTAATGATGGTGGGTAGTACATGTAATCTCTTTCGGTTGATAAAGTTTATAATTCTCCAAAACTTTATGTAAGTGCACAAATGTGACTGTTATTGTATATTAGATATCAAATTATATAGAATTAGTATCATACATTTCGCTTATTCTGATATTTAAATCGTTGTGTAGATTCAAACGCTTTCAATGCAAGCTTTTGTGTTGATAAAACTCATATGGGTCGGTTGTTAAAGGGTTTTTGAATGCATAAGTTTGTTAAGCATCTTCATATTTCATACACCAAATTAAATCCTGAAACTAAAATTTATAATTAGTTCCATCAAAAACTAGTACTTAAAAAATCATTATTTTATATAATCACAATCAGAATATTTTTTGGCAATCTGATAACTCCTAAATCATAACTAAACTGATGAGAGCAAAGAAAAAACTAATGAGAGCAATAAATTGAGTTTTGATCATGGACGTAATCAAGCGTACACGACGCCACGTGGTTGAACTTACACAAGTTGTCGTTTTGTGACATAAGGATATTCCAGTGTATCTCTCCACCTTGAGGCTTCTTCCATCGGCAACAAATGGATCAACCTTGATCCTTCCTTTGGCGACCTTCTTACTTCGAAATCATTCATTCTTCTCTTCTGTTCCAGAAATTCACAGCGAGTAAGCAAGCATCATGGCTTCGCTTGCGGCTCAAATGATTCTTCCCTCCGAAAATGGGTATAGAGTTTGGGAGGATCAGACTCTTTTCAAGTGGCGCAAGAGAGACCCTCATGTCACCTTGCGCTGCCATGATTCCGTCGAAGGTAGTTTAATTACCCTAAACCCTGAATGGTTTCGAAGGAAGTATGAAATTTCGATCCTTTTTTTCAATTGAAATTCTGATAGCTAAAGGGTCTTTTCTGATACTGTATAGCTGAAATTTAAGCTCTTTCTCTTTCACATTGAGTCTGGGTTTAACTTGTTGTTACAAAATTAACTCAGAGGAGAGAGTATAATGGCATTTTAATTTTTTTGGATAGGGTCTTTGAGGTACTGGTATCAGCGAAATAACGTGGATCTCACTGTGTCAAAATCTGCTGTTTGGAACGATGATGCTGTTCAAGCTGCCCTTGATAGTGCGGCCTTTTGGGTTGACGGTTTGCCGTTTGTCAAGTCTTTATCTGGTTACTGGAAGTTTTTCTTGGCTCCTAGTCCTGCAAATGTTCCGGAGAGATTCTATGATGCTGCGTTTCCCGATTCAGATTGGAAAGCTTTGCCCGGTGAGTTTTGTTTTCAGATTGTAACACGAGATTTTGTAACCATCAAGTGTGTTATATGATTCTGTGGCCTAGTAGCTGGTTCAGTTTATAGTTTTACTGTTGTATTTTGAAGGAGCAGATTTTGAAATGGTTCCTTGGTTTTGCAGTTCCTTCCAATTGGCAGTGTCATGGCTTTGATCGGCCTATCTATACGAATATTGTGTACCCTTTCCCGAATGATCCTCCTCATGTTCCTGAAGATAATCCTACTGGTTGCTACAGAACTTACTTTCAGGTTCCCACAGAATGGAACGGTATGTGACTAAATCTGACCAAGGGAAATCAACTTTCCTGCTCCGTATCTCATTTTCATTTGTTTTTTTCTGAATAAAAGCTGACTCTTTTTGGCAGACAGAAGAATTCTTCTTCACTTCGAAGCTGTAGACTCCGCATTCTTTGCTTGGATAAATGGCCACCCTGTTGGGTACAGGTGCGATATTTTTCCTACGAGGACCAGGCTCCATTTTATTGATCTTGCTATTTACTCGTCTTTAGTCCTGTACAAGTATAGAGAGGCACTGTCTGTCTTTTGAGCCCAGCTTGAGTCTTAATTATCGAAGAAAACTGACGAGGTGTATAATGATGGATAGAAAAATATATGCCGAAATTTGGATATGCCAGTTTCTAAACAAAGTTAAAAGAAAAAGGTAGAGCATAGGGAATGAGCTTGCAATTACTGAAAAGCTAGTGTTCTGTGCTCTGTAATACCTTTGCTTTGGCTACCGAATCACAAAGTTGATATTTAACTTGGAACAAAGAATAGTTTCATTTCTACTTCAATTGTGTGCTCTTTTTGGCAGCAAAGTTCATAAGTAATACATTGACAAACTGTCTATTTTTTTCTTTTTTTATTAAACCAGTCAAGACAGCAGATTGCCAGCTGAATTTGAAATATCTGACTATTGCTATCCATGGGACTCGGGGAAACAAAATGTTCTTGCCGTCCAAGTCTTTAGATGGAGTGATGGTTCATACCTTGAAGACCAAGATCATTGGTGGTTGTCTGGTCTTCATCGAGATGTGCTTCTGCTAGCAAAGCCCAAGGTTTTTTACTCTTGTCTCATTAACTAGACTGTATGTCAAATTTATTAATCGTCTTTACCATATACGGGCATTGATGCATAATCGGTTAACTTCTGTTTATGCAGGTCTTCATTGCTGACTACTTTTTTAAGTCCAAATTGGCAGATGACTTTTCATACGCAGACATCCAGGTAGCCTATCCTATACAAGTTGCTTCTTATGATGCAATTCATTGTACCATTCTCTTTCAATCTCAGCACTCACTTCATAGGTTTTTCTTTTGGTATTAAAACCTTTTATGCTTAAAGTTCATTGTTTATAATTTTACAGGTTGAAGTAAAGATAGACAATATGCTGGAGTCCTCAAAGAATCTTCTTCTGTCTAACTTCATCATAGAGGCTGCCGTATATGATACTAAAAGTTGGTACAACTCTGGAGGATTCAGTTATGAACTTTCTCCCAAGGTGGCTAGTTTAAAACTTAATCTTTCTCCAAGTCCAATTCTTGGATTCCATGGTTATTTGCTTGAGGGAAAACTGGATTCTCCAAATCTCTGGTCAGCAGAACAAGTAAGCAGCTCACTGGCTATCGCTTTGGTTTTCTGGTTCAGCTGCCTAAATTTTGGGATTTGCTTATCAGTGCAGTAGAGTACTATAAAAAAGTACCGTATTAGTCAGAGTTTGTAAAATGAGAAACCTAATGAAGTCTATCAGGTTAGTACCGGCTCTTAAGGAAGATATGGATTGAAACCCTGCTGATTTTATCATTTAATAGTATATTCAGAGTTTACGAGTTCATTGAATTTGGGCAATCGGATTCCAGTGTTGGGTTCTCTGCATAAAACTTGTAGGGTTGTAATACCATATCTTCTTCGTGTACTTTTATCTTGATAACGTGCAACATTGAAGTGATATTTCCAAAAATATAGTGGGAAGTTTGAAATGAGAAGTGTCTATAAAGTATTGCGTCCTGATGTAAGTTTGATATAGTTTATGTACTGAAACCGGATTTACTAACTCATATTTTCCTCTTTAATTTATGTTTGTGCTCAGCCAAATGTTTACATACTCGTTATAACCCTGAAAGATAAATCCGGGAAACTCCTTGATTCTGAGTCAAGCATTGTTGGTGTTCGCCAAGTATCAAAGGCCTTTAAACAGCTTCTTGTAAATGGGCACCCAGTCACGATAAAAGGTGTAAACAGGCATGAGCACCATCCACGTGTTGGGAAGACGAATATAGAGTCCTGCATGGTCAAGGTAACATGATTTTTCTTCTCTTGTTCGGCTTTGCTTTCTCCCTTCCTTGGTTTACTTAGTGATACCCCTATTTAACTTGTTTACTCTATTGTGATTTTGATTTATCCCTTATACTGTTCCCAGGATTTAATCATGATGAAAGAATATAATATCAATGCTGTGCGAAACAGTCATTATCCTCAACATCCCCGCTGGTATGAATTATGTGATTTGTTCGGCATGTACATGATCGATGAAGCCAATATCGAGACACATGGTTTTGACCTCTCTGGGCATCTGAAGCACCCTGCAAAAGAGCCGAGTTGGGCAGCTGCTATGTTGGATCGTGTAGTTGGGATGGTTGAGAGAGACAAAAACCATGCGTGTATAATTTCTTGGTCCCTAGGAAACGAGGCCGGCTATGGGCCTAACCATTCTGCCATGGCAGGTAAGCTGTCCAGTTGAATTCTCTGAAAAGCCTGTGTGTGTTCTCTCTTTCTCTATGTGCTTTACCTTTGATTGGCAAATTTTTTTATCTTCACATTTTTTTCTTTTCCTTGATTTGATTTTCTTTTCCGATTTTAAAGGCAGTGCTACGTGATTTTATATTGATAAAATTATCTGTAAGTCTAGATCTGGCCAAAATCCTGAAGTAAGAAGTTTTGTGAACAATTTGAAATTTTCTTGATTCTTGTTGTTTACATTTCTGATAGAGGATTAGCTTGCATATTCTTGTAAATGTCCAGTTCTATCCATTTTGTCTTAAAGCTATTGTTTTTTAACTTCCGGAACAGGTTGGATTAGGGAAAAGGACCCATCGCGGTTGGTGCACTACGAAGGTGGTGGTTCCAGAACAGATTCTACTGATATAGTCTGCCCTATGTACATGCGGGTTTGGGACATCGTCAAGATTGCACTTGATAAAAATGAACCACGTCCGTTGATATTATGCGAGTATGTGACATCAGTTTCTTCAGGCTTCCTTTCACTTTTCCTGAAATGCATTGGCATCATATGGTGACAATGTATTGCATCATTGTTTATATTTCATGTTCTTTTGTGTCTGCTTAAGGAATTCTCTTCTCAATAAAATGCAGGTATTCACATGCTATGGGTAACAGCAATGGGAATATAGACGAGTACTGGGAGGCAATTGACAATACCTTTGGCCTGCAAGGAGGTTTCATATGGGACTGGGTTGACCAGGTTCACATCTTGAATTTCAGTTTAAGTCGATTAGTCATACAATAATGCCTATAACAAATTATTTAAAAACTGTTAGTCTCTTACATTACAATGATCCGAACGTTGTTATTCATGTAACATTCAGATAATAAGAGATCGTTGGTAAGGATCAATATGTACCAGGCCACTTCAGTAGCTTATGGTCAACCAAATCAATGCATATGATTTAGAAAAATACGCTTTTTTTGTAAGTTGATTTAAACATCAGTCTTCTTCTGTGCCATTCAGGGGCTATTGAAGCTGGGGTCAGATGGCATTAAGCGTTGGGCTTATGGAGGGGACTTTGGTGACCAGCCTAATGATTTGAACTTCTGTCTGAATGGGCTTATGTGGCCTGACCGAACGCCTCATCCAGCACTCCATGGTAATGTCTCGATAGAGTTACAAGAGTCACAAAAGAAAACCAAAAGCTTTTCCCTAAGTTGAAAATTGATATAGTTAGAAATTGAAACAAATGAACTATAAAACCTAAATTGCTAGAGACATTTCCTCTGGCAAAGCCGTTAACAAAGCATAATAAAGCTTTACCGACGGTTTAGAACCAATCCCTCCAGAGCTCTCTCTAAGCTTGGATGAGTCTCACAACCAACCGAGATCTTATCCTTATTTATACTAAAACGTAAAAGCAAAGCACTTTAGTAAAATAAACTAGAAACTAATGAAGATATAGAAAATCCTAAGGTACATAAAATAAAGACACTGCTTGAAGAACAGCATTGTCCTCAAGGCTGGACTCAAAAAGTGACTAAGAAAACCAAGGAGTTCATTCCAAAGCACTCCCTTCCAAAACAATGCAATCATCCTCATCGGAATCCAAATGAGGTCGAATATCAGTCAAAACTTGTTGGTTTCCACAAACAAGTTTGGGCTGTTGTTCCACAGAAACTTGAGGTTGGAGCTTAAATATGACAACTTCTCCATCTGTATCTAAGTCGGGAATCTCTGCTGCTTGAGCATTGAATTCTTCAACCTTCTGTATGGCACATTTGTTTGTTTTTATAGGGATTACAACAAAATCTGCAGGCGTTTCTTGAGATAGTTCAGATATCGTGCCCTCTTGAATTGCAGCAACCACTTCTGTTAGCCTCAAAATACGATCTAAAACATCCTTCAAACCAGCTTGAATACCATCCAACTTTTCACCCAGAATTTGTTGATTCTTCTCTAAAGCATCCAAACATCTCTCTGTTCGAGTAGTAGTCATGCCTGTAGTCATTTGTCCGTGGACCAGTTGATAGAGGTGAGATTCACACAAAAAAAAACAAAAGCTCTTCTTTATTGAAATCGCAACAAATCAGAATTTTAACACCAAAACCGTTAAGCCTACAACAACGCTTAAAAGCTTTTTTCCGGTTGAAAAGAGAACTGATATTCCTCCAATGCTCTCTCTCTAGCGTGGATGAGTCTCACAAACGAGATCTCTAGATAAAGCAAACTAGTAAGGAAATAGTTAAGAAATGGAAATCCCTAAATATTTTCCTAGGTCAAGAATCAGAAATTTTAGTTTAATAAGGGTACATAAATTTAAAGCGTATCAATTTCACATCTGTTTCCATATTTCTATACTTGACCATGTTACATTTTTCAAATAGCACTGATTATCTTCTGTTTGCCTCTGTGTTACTCAAGAGGTTAAGCACTGTTATCAGCCAATCAAGATTTCATTGACGGATGGCACAATGAGGGTAAAACTTAATAAACTTCACCTCAGTTGGTTCTGGTGTTAATCCTATCTATGTAGCTCAAACTGTATCTTTGCAGGTAGTAAATGCTTACTTTTTCCATACAACAGAAGGATTGGAGTTTAGCTGGACAATTAATGGAGATGGTGTTGAACTTGGATCTGGGATTCTCTCTATTCCTCTGATAAAGCCACAGAATAGTTTTGATATGGAGTGGAAGTCAGGTCCATGGTTTTCTTTCTGGAATGACTCAAATGCTGGAGAATTGTTTCTGACAATAACTGCCAAGCTTTTAAATCCCACTCGTTCGCTTGAAGCTGGTCATATATTGTCTTCAACGCAGATTCCTTTACCAGCAAAGAGACAGATAATACCGCAGGTATTTTCCCAGTCATATTACTTTTTGCAAAGATCTCTCTTCATTCCGCTAGAAAATATGAAGTCATGACACTTGTAAGTGACCTCCTCTTCTAGGCGATAAAAAAGACAGACTCTACTATCACTTGTGAAACTGTTGGAGATTTCATTAAGATCAGTCAGCAAGATTCATGGGAACTAATGATAAATGTCCGCAAAGGAGCCATTGAAGGCTGGAAGGTAAGTTCTTTTCTGTTTTATATCTTGATTGGGAAGCTCTTGAACTAGTTCTTAATGCACAAAATTATAAGGAATAAGTCTTTGAATAGTGCAGACATAGAGATTCCCCACGTAAATGATAATGCCGGAGTCTGAAGTTTGATATAACCGCAATAACCAGTTTCCTGATTTATTTAAACTCATTTGGGGTTTACCGATGACTTAGGATAGGAAAAATGAACCTAACTAACAAGCAGAAGGAAAAAGTACAAAACGTATACAAGAAACCTATTCAATGTTGAAGTTCTTTTCTTGGTTGGTATTTTTATGGAAGTTGTACATTTTTTTCCAGATTTAGTAAGAATGTTTTGGTTTTAAAGATAGTTTCAAATATGACAGGTGCAAGGAGTTCTCCTTATGGATGAAGCTATACTGCCATGCTTTTGGCGAGCACCTACAGACAATGATAAAGGTGGAGAGGACTCAAGTTACTTTTCGAGGTGGAAAGCAGCTCATATGGATAATGTTGAGTTCCTTGTTGAAAGCTGTTCAGTAAAGAGCATCACTGATAAATCCGTAGAGATAGAGTTCATCTACCTTGGTTCTTCAGCTTCTGACTCTTCGAAATCAGACGCCTTATTCAAAGTCAATGTGACATATACGATATACGGCTCTGGAGATATCATCACCAATTGGTATGTAGTACCAAAGCCTGATCTTCCACCGCTACCACGCGTAGGCATAGAATTTCACATCGAGAAGACGTTGGACCGTGTAGAATGGTATGGAAGAGGTCCGTTTGAGTGTTACCCAGACCGAAAATCAGCAGCCCATGTGGGGATATATGAACACGGTGTTGGAGACATGCATGTCCCTTATATTGTCCCAGGAGAATGCGGAGGGAGAACAGATGTTAGGTGGGTGACATTCCGAAACAAGGATGGTGTAGGAATCTATGCATCAACATATGGTGGCTCTTCCCCAATGCAGATCAATGCTAGTTACTATACAACCGGTGAGCTTCATCGTGCAACGCATGAAGAGGATCTTATCAAAGGACAAAACATCGAGGTAAGAGTAATCTTCACATCGGTACTTTTGATGAGATGGATTTATCGAGCTTACTTGCTGCACCAATTCGTCTCGATTGAGTTGTTTGTGTTTGCATTGTACTTGGTGTTTGTTGTGCAGGTGCATCTCGACCATAAACACATGGGGATTGGGGGAGACGATAGCTGGACTCCGTGTGTTCACGACAAGTATCGGTTTCCACCCGAACCATATTCATTCTCTCTCAGGTTGTCTCCAGTTACTGCAGCCACTTCGGTCTTGGACATGTACAAGGATCAACTTCCCTCTTAGAATCTCTTCTTGCATATCAGCTGAATTATCTACTACACTAGCAATGTTTGATTGCTCAAGTGAAACCTATTAAACATAAAACCTTCCGCTTCCATGATTTTTCTGTGATATCTTTGTTTGTTCTCAACACTATCTTCTATTGTTAATAACCATACAACACAGAGATACACTAATAAATCATTTGATCCCAAATATAATTGGTTATTCTTGAAATACCCTCTCTTACATTTAAATTAAACCTCTTAACGAATGCATCTCTAACTAATAAACCCAAATTCGAAAATAATCACTTACAGTTTATATAAATAGGAAGATTAACCAAAATTTCAGTAGAGATATTGAAAAGTTGACTATCGAACATAGACGCACAAAGTGAAAGTGGGATATTTAATGTGGCGAAAAAGCCAATTTAGGCGGGTGCTTTTCCAATGAAATGGGACCCACCCACTTAAAACGATAATAATTTCATTTTTTTATTTGCAGACTTTTTTTTAACCATTAGAGAGAGAGAGTCATGTGACCACAAAACTCTTGTCAAAAAGAAAAAAAAAAACAATTCCTTTTCTTTTTCACTCATCTTATTGCTATCTCTCTCTCACACTACAACACTAGACTCCATAGCTAAAGCTCCTCCTACGAACTCTACAACATAGCACTCCTCCACGCGCTTTATAATTACTGCCACAGTGGCAAACCCACCTTCTTCTCTCCACCCATGGCCACCGCATCAACCATCACCATCATCAACACCTTTCTCCGCCGCCATCGCCGCACCTGATCGCTCCTCCTCCTCCTCCGCCGTCGGAATCTGTAGTCCAGACTACATGTTAGGCCTCCGGAACACCCTTCTCTTACCGCCACCACCACCACCACCGCAGATTACACAGCCCTCGCCGGTAAATTTCGCGGCGGTGGAAGGCAGCAAGGCGAGCAGTAATGTAGAAGAGAAAGTGTGCAGAGATTGTGGGAACAGAGCGAAGAAAGAGTGTTTGTTCGAAATGTGTAGGACTTGCTGCAAAAGCAGAGGCTACCACTGTGCCACTCACGTGAAGAGCACGTGGGTTCCTTCTTCTCACCATCGCTCTTCTTCTTCTTCGTCTTCCGACAGGAGGAAGAAGCTCAAAATCGATTCCTCCTCCGACAAACCCAATCCTTCAAATGTCTCGATCGTTCCGACAGCCACTTCTCGCCAAGGTAATGAATTTGACTCTGAAAGTAGAAACAAATTATAACAAAACAAAAAAAAACCTCTTTTTTGGATCTGAATTTGGGGATTTTGTGTGGGAGTTGCAGAGACAAGCTTCAAAGAAAGGTTACCGGGGAAAATTGAAGCCCCGGCGGTTTTTAGACGGACGAGAGTAACAGCGATAAGCGACAACGAGCAAGCAGAGATCGGTTATCAAGCGACTGTAACCATTAGTGGACATGTCTTTAAAGGCTTTCTTCATTACCATGGTGTTGATCACAACAAAGCTTTTCCATGTATTTCTCAAAAATGAATAATGAAAACTAGTTCATAGAATTTAAGTACATAAGAGTTTGCTCTGTTTCAACATTCTCAAGTTTTCTTTACTTCTGTGGATTTTATATAATTAAGGGACCAAGAATTATAACACTGATGTGCCATTACATACTTTATTTCGTTCAATGTAGTATACACAGAAAATAGATCAGTAGATGTTTAATTTGTTAGCAAGTGAGGTTGTTTCCGGGATCAACACCAAGCTGACGACAATAGTCGGTATAGTAGCGAACCCTAGCTTGAACGGTGGCTGTGTTTGCACCGTCGCACTCAAGAGCGCCGTTAATGGCGCGGATTGTTGCACCAAAACCTTGAGATAGAACAGGCTGAACCCTATTGGTCCAGTACCATAAGGCGGTCTTGAAGGCTATAACTGGATCCGTAGCTACTGTCTCTGGTGCATTGAGACCGTCGAAACCAATCGCGGTTCCAGCTGGTCCGTAGTTGAAGTTCCAAGAGAGCTGGATCGGTCCACGACCGTAATAGCCTTTGTTAGGATTGCATGGATATTGTGTTGCATCCTCGCTACAGTAATCCTTTGAGGCTCCATCTATCTCTTCTATGTAGCAGAAATCTGAAGACAAAAACCCCAAGTTACTATTTGGTCGACGAAACGACTAGAGAGAAAGAAAAAAGAAGAAGCATTAAGTTATACTTACGTCCTGTTTCATGTGTGACATGTGCAAAGAACGATGCGATCTCACGCTTAGAATCATCAACCGAGCCAATCCTACCGAAACGAGAGAATGAGTCTAAGGCTTCAAGAAAAGCTCCTCGGCTGTAAAATCCATTGCCTGCGCAACTAGGCTCGGCTTGACTGATGATTCCGTCGAAGAATTCTTGAGTAACAATCTCAGCAACGGACACGTCATTCGCAGGAGGAGGAGCGAAGCAAGGCCCTTGTTGACAACCAACACCACAATAGTCTGAAGTGTTGCCACAAAATCCAAACTGACTACAACATAGGTCCGACGAACAACCGCAGTTTTGAGCCTTTGTTGTGTAGTAAAAAGCTTGTAATACTAATAGAATGGTTACTATAGAGATGGATTTAGAAATGTGAGTTAACATTCTGATTTTTGTTGGGAGATTGGAAGAAAAAGTAATGGTGTTTTATGCCTAAATATAGTGTGAGACGTTATGTAAGAAAAGTCGTAATGTTAATGTGTGGACGCGATAGAGCCACTAATATTGTATATATTTCACAATTCACACAATAAGAAGGCCGAACAATTTTGAAAGTCGTCTCTTGTGCCGTTGTGCGATGGAGATGTTTGCCTGATTTTTTTAAAATTTATAATTCTTCATAGTTGACTTTTTTTATTCCATGACTTTTCAAGAGTGTTTCAGTTCACATTTGTGAAGCATCAAGAAATTTATAGGCCCAGCTCAAATGAATAGAACAAATATGCCCAGACTACTGGGTCAATGAGCAATAAAAAAATAAAATAAAGGCCCATACTATATCTTTAAAATGCTCCAAAAAGTTTTCTGGTCATATTAGCAAACGAATAACCATCAAGAAAACCGAATTATTCAAATATCAAACGGATGTATTGAATTCACGTGACCCTTAATCTTGATTATCACATTCAGTAAAATCGTAGTTGGCTAATCACATGTTTAGGTGCAGACCTTTTAGCAATAACACTACCCAAGTAAATTTGGATTTTAACGCCATATGTTTAACGAAGAAACTTATAGATATAATCACAAGTTATAGTTAGGATGAAATTAGATACCCTACAACAGATCACACACTCAACTCTAAGAAACAAACAATAATGGAAATACTTTACAGAATTAAAACTTTGAAACGAGAATGAATAATTGATGGACTGCACCAGAGAGTGGAGAAGAGGCCAATGTGAGAGATAACCCACCACATGGTAATGAGTATTGAGTAAGTTTGGTACATTCCATATTAAGCAACAAAACATAATGCATTGATGTCGGTCTTCCACTAGCCATTCCTTGTGATACGTTTGACATTTCTCATTGTGTAAAATACTAAAATATCAAACTCATTTCTCGTATCTCTTAAGCAATACTAGTCCACACGTTCCTTTGTATTTGGAATAATTCCCTCTAAGAATTATTGTTTAACCAAATATATAATTATCCCATCAAAAATGTAACTATTTTTGTTAGAATGGGCATTGTTTATCAATAGACTGATTAATATCATTTCGAAGTTTGATTGGATTTATCGGATTGTAACATTTAATAAATGGACTCGAATGAGCTAGTAAGGGATCATAGTAATTTGTCTGATGAGAGTTGGTTCTTTCCAGTTTCCATATGAAAAGTAAAAAAAAATAGGAAGTTTTAAAAAAAAAGCTTTTGGGTGCTTTTAAACGTTAATTTCGTCATTATGGGTTTTCTATTGTGAATTCAGGAGCAAATAGATAAATTAGATAGATATACATAAGTAAATTTTGATTTTAAATTTTTTCAAATACACTACAATTATCAAAAATTATGTATTACACATTGCTTAATCAAAATTGAGAAAAAAAAATCAATTGGTATTAATACACAAAACAAAAAATTACAACTCCTTGACTAATGAGTTTTGTGGAGGGAGAGCAAAGCATGTCGATCGAGCAGAGAAAGCCAATATTAGAGTGGACCCAAATTAACAGATAGAAACAAACAAGTAAATAGGAGATGGAATACAGTCTGTTCTCTTAGATATAAATAAAACCCACTCTTCATTATTATATTCTTATTACTTTGTACAAACTCACTATCACTCACTATATAAACACACACACTCACAAGTCACACAAACACTAAAAACCACAGAGAATATCAAATCAAGATCTACAAAATGAGAACCAGTCTACTTTTTTTGTTCATCTCTCTCTTAATCTTGAAATCTGAATCACTAAACTGCAATGAGAATAATCCACAGGGTCATCCCTCAGATCTAAGAGTGTTCCACATTGACAGTCCTTGCTCTCCATTCAAACAACCAAACACTGTCTCATGGGAAAGCACACTTCTTAAAGACAAGGCTCGTCTCCAGTACTTGTCAAGCCTCGCCGTTGTTGCTAAGAGACCTTCCGTCCCAATCGCCTCGGGACGTGCCATCGTTCAGAGCCCGACTTACATCGTGAGGGCTAACATTGGGACACCGGCTCAGCCCATGCTCGTGGCTCTTGACACTAGCAATGACGCTGCTTGGATTCCTTGTACTGGCTGTGTTGGATGTGCTTCCTCTGTTCTCTTTGACCCTTCCAAGTCAAGCTCTTCTCGCACTCTTCAATGCGACGCTCCTCAGTGTAAACAGGTATTGTATTATACATACTCTTGGAGTAGACTAGATCAGAACGCTAACCGTTATTCTTGTTACCGAATAAACCATAATTTGTCTGAAACTAAAACTACAAAATATATAAAATGCATTTAGTTGTTTTTATTTTACTAGTTTTATAATTCAAAACCAAACCAAAATTAAACAGAAATCTTGGAAACCAAACCAAATAAATCTCGGTTCTTATTATTTTTTTGATTACCAAAAAAATTCTTGGTGAACATACAACTTGTTCAGGTTTGGGAGCAAAACATGTAAATTTGATCATTTTCCCAACACATCGAGATTCGAAACTTTGAGTCTCGAAATCTTTCCCTAGTAAAGGATAGGGTTCTTACTCGGGTTTAGTTTTCACAACACGAGAAATCCAAAACCGAAATGAAGGACCACATAATTTTGGAGTCTAGTCTTAATTATACACACAAAGCCGTGAACTTCGTTTTGGCGGTGTTATATGACACCATCATCGAGAAGTCTAGTCACGGACTCACGGGTTTTATATAATACTATTCATAACAAAATGAGTCTAGTCACGGGCATTTTTTTTATACAGTATCAGATTCGTTAACTTTATAAACAATACCAACTAGTAGGGTACATTTTACTGTCTGATCTATGTTCTTTGTCGTCACGCTGGTTAGTGTTTGCTTATTCTACAAAATAATGAATTAAAAATACGTAAAACATCGTTATTAGCGAATTATAATAATGCTTCCATAGCCAGATCCAAGATGGATAAAACAATTCTTTATGGAAAGTACGTTGTAAAGTGAGAATATTCAAAGAGATTAATCTATAAAGTATTTTTCTCCAGGCTCCAAATCCAACGTGCTCCGTAAGCAAATCATGTGGTTTCAACATGACCTACGGTGGTTCAGCCATTGAAGCATCCCTGACGCAAGACACACTAACATTAGCCACTGACGCCATCCCAAGCTACACCTTTGGTTGCATCAGCAAGGCCACTGGAACATCGTTGCCAGCGCAAGGGCTCATGGGCTTAGGTCGTGGTCCATTGTCTCTAATCTCGCAGACACAAAGCCTTTATATGTCCACATTCTCGTATTGCTTGCCTAATAGTAAGTCAAACAATTTCTCCGGATCGCTAAGATTAGGACCTAAGTATCAACCAGTTCGGATCAAGAGCACACCATTGTTGAAGAACCCAAGGAGATCATCGCTTTACTATGTTAACTTGGTTGGGATTCGCGTCGGGAATAAAATTGTGGATATTCCTACAAGTGCACTCGCTTTTGATCCGGCCACCGGCGCCGGCACCATCTTTGACTCCGGTATTGACTTCTTAATCTCCTTTTTTTTAGTTCTGAAAAAAATGAAAAGCGAGATAAACAAACCATAACCGAAAACACATTGAATGTACGCACGCAGGGACCGTGTTCACGAGGCTAGTTGAACCAGCTTACGTGGCGGTGAGAAACGAGTTCAGGCGACGTATCAAGAACGCAAACGCAACATCACTCGGAGGATTCGACACTTGCTACTCCGGCTCCGTCGTGTACCCATCGGTGACATTTATGTTCGCGGGAATGAACGTGACTCTGCCTCCGGATAACCTACTCATCCACAGCTCCTCCGGTAGCACAAGCTGTCTCGCGATGGCGGCAGCTCCGAACAACGTAAACTCAGTCCTTAACGTTATCGCTAGTATGCAGCAGCAGAACCACCGTGTCCTCATCGACCTTCCCAACTCCAGGCTCGGCATTTCCCGTGAAACTTGCACCTAATCAATGCCGGATATATTGTGTGTTGGTCGATTTCGTATTATCTCTATCTTGTTTTAAAAAATCTTGGAATTTGAACACAATATAAATTTAAGATTTTGTTCTTGATTGTTATCATCACTTGAATCTTTTGTACGAATTTTATCATTGCTATTCGCTGTTTTCAAACACAAGAAGCGAATAGAAGACACAACATGCGTACTTCCAAAAAAAAACATGCGTACTTTCTTTTTCTACGAATTTTAATACAAAGTTTTGAATTTAAATTCATGACACTGCGATCTAAATTATCTGGACTACTTAACTGGAATTAGTACGCGAATTAGATTTCATTATTTTCATGTGTTTATCTGATCGCTTTCTCTATGACTAAACAAGTGTTGCCTTCAATTCTGACACAAGTAAGTAAACGTGCTCCTCAATGATGCAAGTGACCAACGTGGATCATCGGTGCTGTAAAATTCAACGTAACCATAGTCTGAGTTAGGTTGGTCCTCTTGTTATGATAAAGTTATGAGTAAATATATTAAATCATTTAGAAGAAATTTTTATGTAATAGAAATATCAAATTCTTGTAGAAATGAACACTCAAAACGAATATAGGATCTTACAGCAAACATGAGAAGAAAAATAGAAAGGTTGAGAGAGCGACACGAGTAATCCACATATCAATCTGGTCCATTACCATCTCTCTTTTCATAAATGGTTTTGCGGTTTGGCTTGACATCAACGCTAACAGCCAGACTGACTCCACCATACACCCAAAAGAAAAAGCATTCAAAAGGGAAACATTTTATGGCTACATGAATCGAAGCATAAAATATGAGTATAAAGGTTTTGTAATCACACATTATTATTATCAAGGGATCCTTTTGAAACAAAAAAAAAATCAAAAGTAAAAAACATACTTCATGTTCTTTTGTTGGTTGATAAAAAAAAAAAAAACCCTATTTTAAGTTGACAAAAAAAAGAAAGTAAAAACCTATTTTCCAGGGTTGTGCACTTTCTCTCATATATAGTATCTCTTTATTCTCTCCATTATTATTGTGGCGGGTTGCTCCACTACGTTTTCTGAAGCAAAGTGTAATGCAATTGATATTTTTATGAAAAAATAACAACGGAGGCAGTTTTATCTGATATACTCCATTAAACAAATAAATCGTGTAATGTAAATGTAATTGCATTATGCAAGCCTTAAATTGAAAAAGAAAAAAAAAATTCAGATGAGCAAAACTCGAAAAAACAGTTCTTTAGCTGTAATTCACGACCATCGAAGATGCGAGAAACGCGTGTACCGAATCTCATCAGCGAATTCCAACAGTCTCATTATGACTCACTTTGTTAAACTCCATTCACTCTCTTCTCCACTTCCTCAAAAAGTTTCCATTTTTCATTAAAAATTCCTAATCTTTTTTCTCTCCTTTTTATCATCACACTCTTCAGTCTTGTCTCTGTTTTTACTCGCCTGAGGAGAGGATACATGGAAGACGGAGATTCTAACCAAGAAAATCCACAGTCTCTCCACACAAACCACGAAGACTCCTCCCCAAAGAAACCATCTGCATCCTCCGTCGTCGTCGTCGACAGGCTAAAGCGCGATGAATGGAGCGAAGGAGCTGTTTCGAGTTTACTTGAAGCCTACGAGACGAAATGGGTTATCAGGAACAGAGCCAAGCTCAAGGGTCAAGACTGGGAAGACGTGGCTAGACACGTGTCCTCACGCGCCAGCCACTCCAAGTCCCCCAAGACTCAGACACAGTGCAAGAACAAGATCGAGTCCATGAAGAAACGGTACCGTTCCGAATCCGCTACCGCCGATGGATCCTCTTGGCCTCTTTACCCTCGTCTCGATCATCTCCTCCGCGGAAATGGTTCCGCCTCCGTGCAGCCTCAGCCTCAGCCTCAGCCTCAGGCTGTTATGCCTTTGAACTGCTCTGTTCCTTTGCTCCTACTCGAGCCGCCGTCGCCGGTTGTGACTCATCCGCCGCAGCCTGCTCAGATTTCTTACGGATCCAACGGCGTCGGCAGGATTCCCAAGGTCTTTGTCAACGGAGAATTAACCAAAGTTTTGTTTTTACCAATCTGGGTGGTTTTCTGATAGAAATTTTGGTGCAGGAAGATGGAATCAAGCCGAAGTTATCGGAGCAGAAACCGGAGAAAGCGGCGGAGATGGATACAGACAGCAGCACGCCGGTGATCTGCAGAGAGAAAGCGAAGGCGAGACCGAAGAAACTGAGGAGAAGATACAAGGAAGAGAAGGAGGAGATCGCCGGAAGCATACGGTGGTTGGCGGAGGTGGTGATGAGGTCGGAGAGAACGAGAATGGAGACGATGAAAGAGATCGAGAGGATGAGAGCTGAAGCTGAGGTGAAGAGAGGAGAGATGGATCTGAAACGAACGGAGATTATGGCCAACACTCAGCTAGAGATTGCTAAACTCTTTGCGGTTGTAGCTTCTGGACACAACAAAGGTGTTGATTCTTCACTAAGAATCGGAAGGAACTGAGTTATATATTACGCGCTCCAGTCTCCTTTGTGTGTGTACATAAAAGTTTGGTCGACCAAGTGTTTGTCAAAATTCCTGAGAGAGTAAAAACTCTTCATCTGCCCAAATAATTGTTTACATTCCCGCCAACAAAATGTATGGTTAATTATGCTTTATGGATCGAAACTGCAGATGACATTTACTGTCTCAAATATGTGTTCACTCTTCGAATCTTAAGACACAAATATTGTAGAGAAATGGTTGGTTCAGTTGCATCAGTTTTAGTCCTGTTCGAGAATCGAGTGATAGAGAAGAATAAAGTGTTCAAATCTAAGAAAGAATGCGAGACAACTGTCTAGTGCTAGTGGAGATATATCAGCTTTTTTCTCTTTGTCTAAACCTAAAAGCAAAAGACTTTTTGCAGTTCTAATACACTATACCAGAGCATTGTTGGGGGATTAATCGAGTAATTGACTGTTTAATGGTTTGAATTTACTAATGGACATAATGGAAAGTTGCAATAACATAAGTGGTTCTCGTCTGTTGAATGTTAGCAATTTTAACCACACGAAGAAGTATCGCTTCTATAACTCTTGTCATGGCTAGTTGAGGAAAGGCACGCAAGCACCCTAAAGGCCTAAACGGTAATGGTGGACGGTGGACACATTGTTCTTTCATGTGCAGAGAGTGGTCATGGCTATTGGGCCCCCACCCACCGGCCTAAGCTTGCCCGGGTGATTAGGGGTGAATTCTTTTTTACAAACCATTGAAAACCGAAAACCAAAGTTTTCTTTATAAATCAAATGGTTTAATATTTTGAAAGACAGAAAAAAAAAACAAAACTGATTATAGTGATACCGGATCATGCCAAATGTGGAATTTGATGTTCTATAATAGATGATTAAGATTGCAAAATGTGTACAAGTCGGAACCGGTATTGGACTTATTGAACCAAACCAACTGTGAAATGCTTGGTTACTCCGTTGGATTCGATTCAATTTGAATCTAGTGAACCGGATGTAACTAATTCTGTTTTATCCGGTTCTCTTCCGTTTACTGCAAACGGGTTCGGGTAATATTTGGCTACGATTTGGTTCGATTCTTCAGAGTCTCTCGTTGGAAGAAAAAAAGGAAACATACATCTCAAACTCTAATCCATGAATCGTCGTAATCGTGGCTCTTCTTCTTCTTCTTCTTCTTCTTCTTCTTCTTCTGCCGATGCTTCTAGGATTTGGAAAACTCATGGGAATCGTCAAACCTCTGATAATCCGATAAACAGCACGATGACCGGATCCGACGGCGGAACTAACGTTTCCTTTCGGAGAAGATCCGATGTTCCGCGGAAACGTAACAGTGATAAAGCCGAGTCAGACAATAACGGCGGATCAGATCCTGCTGACGTTTCCTTCATCGTCGGAACTTGCTCTTCTATGTGTCCAGGTACTCATCGAATCAAATTTAGACGCAATTTGACCTGAGATTTCGCCACAACTCAGCCCTAGATAGTGCCTGAGTCGGATACAATTTGGTGTAGCTCGTTAGGGTCTTGAGCAACAATTGCTGAGGACAGAGAATTGTTGTATCCATGGGGGAATGAGTGTCAATCCTCAAGAAATCGTTTTATGTTGAGAAAAAAAAACTAAATTCGGTTTTCATATATTCAGCAGCAAAAGCTTCATTTAATATGTATTGTTATCGTTATTAACAGAGCGGGAAAGAGTCGCAAGAGAGCGCTTGCGTGATCTCGCAGTGTTTGAGAGGCTTCATGGAAACCCCGCAAAATCATCCACAGATCTAGCTGTTAAAAAGGTGAGCTTGAGCTACGACAGTTTTGAGTTTCATGTCTATGGTGCTAACTAGCTCATAGAGAGTGACTATTTACTCTTGAGAATTTTTCACCTTCAGCGGAAGTTTCAGCTTTCTATATTAGACATATCTGACTGTGCAGCTTTGGGTTAGATGTGGTATGCGAGAGAACTCTAATAAAATCAAGCTTTGTGATTGAACGAAATTTGACGTTTAGATTCCGCTTCTATGCCATAGCTTGGTTCTACAGAAGAATTAATATTCTTTCTAAATTGGTCAACATGAATAAGTTTGTGATTCGTACTGGGAGATACCAACTGCCCTGTATAATGGGACTCATTTTTTGTTCTTGCCAAAAGTAGTTACTCTCTGTGTGTGTTCTTGCTAGTTTTGCAGAACTCTTTCAGCGGCGGATGTTCAGGCATCGGATGTAAGACCGCTCCCGGTATTAGAAGAAACCCTGAGATACCTTCTAAGTTTGCTGGACTCCACGGAGCATTCGTTTGAAGCGGTTCATGATTTTATTTTCGACAGGACAAGGTCTATTAGACAAGATCTTAGCATGCAGAATTTAGCAAATGAGAGAGTGATCCACCTTTACGAGGAAATCGTATGTTTTTGACATGTTTCTTCTTTTCTCTTTTCCGTTTTTGTTAGAATTACTTCCCTCAGTTTTTTTTTTAAAAGAGTCATTTGTGTGTTTACTCCGTTGATTTTATTATTCTGACTCTCAAGTGGGTTCTCATACAGGTTAAATTTCATGTCATAGCTCGCCAGAGGCTTCAGAGTTGTAGTACTACAAGTATTAGCTCAATGCATCACTTGAACATGGAGCAGCTAGCAAAAACTCTTACTACTTTGTATGATATATATGATGCAAATAGGAAACCAGATTACATCTACCAAAATGAAGCCGAGTTCCGTTCACTCTATGTGCTGCTCCATCTCAATCCCAGTAGTGGAGTGATGGTTGTTTCTCTGTTTCCCTTACCTTTTTATTCGTTACCATGTCTCCTTTTCTCCATTAATATGAAACATTTGAGATTTTGATGTGCAGGGGGAACCAATGGCTTTGTGGTTTCGTAAGTTGACTTCTGTTTTAATAAAATCCAAGGAAATGTGTTTCGTACGAAACCTTTTAAGGTAGGGGTTATGCTGTACAATCCTTTGTGTATGAGTTGTTTTTGTTTATATACATCTAAGAAATTTGAATGGAAGTACGATGGTACTGCTTCTTCGAACATTTTCCTTACACAGATTATATCGGATGGGAAATTACAAGAATTTCATTAGTGCATTGGCTTCTGAGGCGACATACTTGCAGTATTGCACAAGTGAACCCCATATTAGAGAGGTGAGCTTGTATGGATAATAAATATGTACTAATGTCGTTATAGCTCTCAGAGATAGTCTTCGTAGCAGTAATTGGTGCAGGCTCTATGTATGTTAAAACGGCAATAACTGTGAGAAAGATATAAAATAAAACTGACTGGAAAATATTACTGGTTAGGGAAGGAAAAAAAAAAGCTACATGGAATTGTATATGGGTGGGGTACAAGTGTGTATACATGTAATAGTATATTGGAGTACAATTTTCAATAATGTTTGGTCATTTGCTGAATGTTTTCATGGTAAAAGATGCGATCATTGGCTGTGCAATGCATAAACAATGTTTGCTACAAGCTTCAACCCTATCCTCTCTTGCGGCTATCTCAGAACCTGATGATGAAGGTAATATATATCTCTTGCGGCTATCCCCTGTGTTTCTTTTTGTATTCTTATACTGTTGGTGAACTTGAAATATCATAAGCCAAACTTTAATAATTTCAGGAGGTGGATGTTGAATCTTTATGCCATGAGTGTGGTCTTGAGACATGTACTGATTCCGATGGGTGCATTGTGTTGCCGACGAAACAGCCAAACTTGCGTAGACCAGAGGAAGGTTTTAAAGGTTATGATTTGATTGGATTTGAAATGAAGAGGCTGTTGTGAAGCTGGTATGTAAAAACCATTAAGAACAAGGGACTTTTGCACACAATGTGAGTAGTATCCTATCCTTAGCTGAGATCGATCTGTTTTACACTTGCATAGTATCCTAACTCGTGTTCTCGAACTTAAAGTAGCAAAGAACACGAGTTAACCTGTAACTACACACGATACTTCTTCACCCAAACCGTTTGCTCTTTCACGCGTCAAGGAGTTATTGAAGAGCAAATGGCGTCTCCAAAACAGACTTATAGCACTGTAATAATTATACATGAAGTCATAAACAAAACAAAACAAAAATCAGAAACCCCTTTCCTTAATGATTTGATAATAATTTCTTTTTATAAGGGGCAAACATGGTTACATGATTGAAAAAGAATCAGTTGTATTGATCGCTCCATTAAACCGATTCAACCCAAATTTAGACTCCCGCCCTTCTTACCCTCTTACCCTTTACCACGACTCCCTTCGTTTGAATATTATGTTCCGACCGGATAATGATATATTAAGCATCAATCGTAATCCGAAAACAGCAAATGTGTCTTTACTTTAAATGGGTAGTGCCTCCTTTAGGCTTTTACCCAAACTCCCTTTTTTTCTATCTGTAAAATAAAAATCGAAGGCCCAATATAATGCAGACAGATCCATCGTTCAATAATAATATCTTTGACTGACAGAAACACAAAAACTCCCACAGAGACGAGAATACAAAATCTATAATCATCCTCCATCGATCATTGATTGCAGAGAGGACCCCGCTTAAGGACATCTGCATCTAATCTGAGTCTTTATCCAATCCATATCAGGTTTATTCATCTCTCTCTCTCTCTCTCTGATGAGCTATTTCTGAATCGCTATCTGCAATTTCAGTTTCCCGAAATTGTTGTCAATTCAATTTAGCTGCGATGTTCAACTTTTTTTCAGTTGTTACGGATTTGGTTTATGGAGAAGTTGTATCAGCTAAAGAACCATTTTCAGCAATTTTAGCGATTTTGGATTGAAATTTTGGTTTTGAGGTGTAGGGTTGTTGGTATCATTTCAAGAATGACGACTTCTGTTTGCCCTTTCTCGAAAGCTCCTCGTCCCGACGATGCTTCTGCTCGAAAACAAGGCGAAACAGCTGCTTCTGGCTGTCCTTTCTCCAAAGCTGCTCGTCCTGACGACGCCTCTGCTCGCAAACAAGGCGAAACGACGGCTTCTGCTTGCCCTTTCTCTAAAGCTTCTCGTCCCGACGACGATGCCTCAGCTCGAAAGCAAGGCGAGACGGCGAATAAAGGATGTCCCGAAAACGAAGGAAGATTGAATAAGGACTCTACTGATGATTCTGCAACTGTGCCTGCCAAGTGCCCGTTTGGTTATGACTCCCAGACGTTCAAGCTTGGGCCTTTTAGCTGTATGCTGTGTCAAGCTCTTCTATATCAGAGCAGTAGATGTGTGCCTTGTACACATGTGTTCTGCAAGTAAGGCCTAGTTACTCATCATCGCCCTTTTTTCGTTTTTTGGTTCATGATTGATGGTTATTGGGTCTAAACTTTTGTGTTTCTTGAATGCAGAGTGTGCCTAACACGGTTTAAGGACTGCCCTCTATGCGGTGCTGACATTGAAAGCATTGAGTCTGATGAAAACCTTCAAAAGATGGTTGATCAGTTTATTGAAGGCCATGCTAGAATCAAGAGATCTGTTGTGAATAGCACAGAAAAAGAAGAGGTGGAAATTGATAATAAAAAGGTGATTTACGCTGATGTTTCCATGGAAAGAGGTTCTTTCTTGGTGCAACAAGCTATGAGGGTAAGTTCCATCTCTAGATTTTGTTAACCTAAAGTTTCAACCAATTACGTTTACTAAAAATGTCCTGCTGTTGAGTTCTTGTTATTGACCTTGTTTTTATTCAACTTGTATTGTATGCGCAGGCATTTCAAGCCCAGAATTATGAAAGTGCAAAATCAAGGTTGGCAATGTGTGCCGAGGACATTCGAGATCAACTAAGGAGGGAGGGAAATACACCAGAGTTGTGTTCACAGCTTGGTGCAGTCCTTGGTATGCTCGGCGACTGCAGGTATGGTTCATTGTCTCCTTTTTAATCCCATTTTTTCTTCTTTTCTATTATCATTCCGTTCTCGAGTTTCTGTGAACAAATAAGATCAGCAATGAAGGGTGCTTTCGAATGTGGTCACCAATATGCTATGTTTTGAACCCCCTCCTACCTATGTCTATCATTTGACTGATTATAGACACTTTCTTGTCCATAGTGATTTTCTAGTTTTGGAGTTTCTCAAGTGTGTGGCCCCTCCATTGCAGTGTTCTGAAATGATATTTGAATGTCCTTGAGTGTTAGATGTAGATGAATGTAATTTTATTAGTTATTATACTACTGAAAGTCTGAAACAGTCGATGGTATAGAATGTACTTTTCTAGTTTTGAATGTTCTGGAATCTGATAGTTGCTATCATCTTGTCGAGAGTATGCCACATTGAGGTGCTTAGGCTGCACATTACATTGTGGAATTACTACAAATGGGATGGGCTTCTGGTTTTGTGGACGACATCTGTTTGCACTAATGGTTAGAAATGTTTTCATGTCTTCACCTTTTGCTGTGTCCTCTTATCATTTGCATGCATTTATCTATGTGGCCCAATCAGCCCGTTCAGAATAAAGGGAAAGAAGAAGCTACAGTACATGCCTCGTTCTGAAAACCTCTATTATACATATTTTCCCCCTCCTAAACTGCGTTATACTGGCCTAAATGTTTGTTTCTGGTGTGTTGATCCTTTCTGCTTTGGGCACTTAAGTTTGATGGTTAACTTATTTATCTTGTTACTGCAGCCGAGCAATGGGGGACTCAAGTTCTGCAGTCAATCATTTCGAAGAGAGTATTGAATTCCTTATGAAACTGCCGATGGATGATTTGGAGGTTTTAGCACATTGTTTTTTTTTGTTATATTTTGATTTGCAAATTATTACCATTTTCTAACAGTTATTGCTAAACTTGCAGATTACACATACACTTTCTGTATCGCTCAATAAAATAGGAGATCTTAAGTATTATGACGAGGACCTACAAGCTGCAAGGTCGTATTACTGTCGTGCTTTAAATGTTAGACGTGATGCAATGAAGCAACACCCAAAAGCTCCTTCACAAGTAAGTGTGCCTCCATGCTACTTCAGTGTTGCCCTTTTTTGTTTGGCCCAGTATTTTGTTAATTTCTAGCATTTTGTTTCAACGATAAACCAACAACCAGTGTCACTAACTATTTTACAACTTTCCGATCAAATAACCCTTTAGAATCAGGAATTAATCTTAATTCCTTAGAAATGGCAAGGATAAGAGGAATTTAACTGGCTTTTCTTAGTTTCCGTACACATTGCAAGGTCTGGCAGAAAGTACTCTGGTGTTAATTAAGTTATAATAGCATGTGTGAAGGCTTATTTGCAGATTACAAGCTATGTTTCTATATAAGCGTTTGTAGAGCATAAACTATATATTTACGTGCATTATAATGCTTATGTTTTGTTGCTTGGAAATTTTCTCTGTCGTTTTCTTATTGCCACTTGATTTATTGTCTAAGTTGGAACTGAAAGATAGAAAGCAAGGTCTGTCCTGAAGTAGCAACATACTTTATGCGTACCCTGTAGTCATATTTGTATTAAGAACTCTCATATTCTTGGATGTTCATCTATGAACAAGGGATGTGCATCTTATAGCCCAAGTTAATAAAAACACATTATCTACTCTGAATGTCTCAAATCTCGTTGGTGAATAAAGAAAGTAAGAAACCTTTACTGAGTTTAGTTGTAAATCTTCAAAAAATTTTTTTTGTAGATTTTGGATGTGGCAGTTTCCTTGGCTAAAGTTGCGGATATAGACAGAAGTCTACAAAATGAAGATGCAGCCACAGATGGTTTCAAGGAAGGCATAGCACTGATGGAATCTTTGAAACTGGACTCTGAAGATTCTGCTCTCGAGCAACGAGTAAGTTTCTTGCAGGACATCCTTTCTTTGGCTTTTCTAATGTTACTCATTGTCAGTATAACAAGGTATCTGACAATATGATTTTGACATGAACGCAGCGTCTCTCTGTGCTTGAGTTTCTGAAGAAGCAAGTAGAGAAGCCTGAACAGTCTGCAGAAACTGCACTCTGAACCAATACAGGCTTATGTAAGTATATATATAGACTGTATACCTAAGTACTTCCCTGTCGCATTTTGCTGAATAAAGGAACGAGAAAGCGAATATGTTGTGTTTGCACTTAAGGGTCAAAGAAACGGAGTGCTCTCTGTGTCTTGTGATGGTTTCAAATGCAGTACTCTTGCAATACTAAGCATTAGAAAGCATGATTGTATACACTCTACGCTACGAGCTTATGAAAAAAAAACTATGGATTAAAAATGTAAGAACCTTCGATGAATCTAAGTGGTTGTTACTTGTTATATTTGTATTTTCTCATATCGGAAATATTATACAAAGTTTTCAGTTTTTTGTTTTTGTTTTTGATAAGTAATAATAAACGTCATTTGTATAAAACACAGAAGAACTCCAACATAAATTATTCAACTTTGGTTTGTGATTCTACGCGATTATCTTATTACAGCAAAAAAAAAAGTTGCTTCGTGACAGTTCCATGCCATCACGTTCATTTAGACCGGCTTCTTGGAAGAAGTTAAACCGGTTGTCTGGGCTCGTAATTGGGTTCTTTCCTCAATACCAGGGAATTCAAAAACTGGTTTTGGGCTTTGGCTCGGCCCATACTGTTTTCCCAAAATTGTTTCCAATAATTTTTGGGGAAACCACTACGCATCTTTGTCGAGAACCCCACCACCGCCGGGCTCATCTTCTTCGAACCACCTCCTCTCTCCGATCTGGGGATTCCCCGAGCGCTCTTCCTCTTGTGCTTAATCCCCTTCTCTTAAGACTCCACTTGAATCTTCACTCGCGAGTTTCCACTTCCTCTTTATCTCAAGTTTGTCTAGAGATCCCATTTTTAATACCCAACAAGGCATAATCGCCATGGTCAAGAGCCGCCAAGCATTTTATCGCCGCCAAATCGGCTAACTCTGCAACGAAGACTTCCCCATTTTGGTAATTAGGTTTTATGTGCTGTCACCATCTCTTAGACCACTCCTACATGAAGCTTTCCTAAGAGAGGAGAAGGTCGAACATGGGAGCTCTTGCTCAAATAGTACCGTGGGTTCCAGAAGACGACCTGCTTCTAAAGAACGCCATAGAGGTGAACTCTCGTTTCCTTGAACTGTGTCACATTTCTGTTTGCAGTATCTCTATTACTAGAAAATGGAACATCTGATGTTGGATTGAGCCACGATTTCAACAAAGGGTTAGACATGGTTTATCTGAATGCTATCATGTTTGCAAAGTGGTGCTTGTAGAGTAATTGCGTTTTTCTCCATTTAGCTTGTTTAGAAATTAAGTGAATTGATCTATTGCAGGCTGGTGCATCTTTGGAATCGCTTGCTAAAGGCGCTGTGCAGTTTTCTAGAAGATTTTCTATCAGAGAGCTTCAAGATCGATGGCATGCGCTACTATATGATCCTGTTGTTTCTGCAGAGGCGTCGTTTCGGATGACTGAGCTCGAGCGTACGAACCCTAATTTTCCTACAAAGTTTGCGAGAACTGGATATTCAAAAGAGTACAAGACTTCATCTAGGAAGAGGACAGCTGAAAAGCTCAGGAGTACTTATCATTCCTTGCGCAAGAAATTTCGCACCGAGTCATTCAATTCCTTGGATCTAGGTTTTCTCGTCCCAGCGAACGACACCCATTTCATGGATAATGGTGACGCAACACATCTTGGTCTTGAAGACTCTCACATGGATATTATCCACAGTGCGTTCCCAGATATCTTGGGTGATGACGGCTGCGTGACGAATCATGTTGTGCCAGAAGATAATCTGCAGGGAAACATCTCCTACGTAGGAGGAGAAAATCTCACCTTTTCTGAACATGCTGGTCCTTCTGAATGTGGCGCGGTTCATCAAGGTTCCAAGCAGAAGCTAGAGGTTTCTGCTCATGAGCCGAAACCCACAATGGGTAGTACTGATTGTTTCCTGGCGCAGCTTTCAACTTCTCTTTTCGAAGACGAGGAACCGTTCATGGATGTAGATGGCAAAGAAGTCGACAAGTCGTATTATGATGGTCTTAGCTCACTGTTGGTGAACCAGACAAATGATACAAATAGCGGGGCGGCTTTGCTTATTTCCACCACCGAGCATGATCCTTCCAGCTCACAAACTCATCCAGTAGGTGCAGCTCCGGATGTTCATGCGATCCCTAACTCCTCTGCTTTAGATCCTCATCCTGAGATTGTTGATGGTGTTATCTGCTGTTTACTAAACCAAGAAAGTCCTGATATTCCGTGTAATGATGACATTTTTCCGTCCAACAACTGCCATCCAATGTCAGTGTCTTCGTTAGCGAGGCGGAACTTTAAAGATACAAATAACCCAATAGCTTCATGTGTTGCCACTAGTGGAAGGCATGAAGTCCAGACACATAAGAAGACACCAGGACGTTTGCAAGGGTCTTCTCAAGCAAAGCTAGAGATAGGTCAACCAAGTCAAGGTATCAAATCCAGGGCGTTGACTAGTCATGAGTCACATAACACTGCTGCTCCTTGTGCTTCTACTGGTTCTACACAGGCTTCCTCACTCACTCTGCTTTCTGACGGTGCTGGTACGAAAGATGGAAACAGAGAGATGGCCGGTGGAAACCTTGTGGTCAGATTTGATAGTCATGGAAACTACAACGAGAAGGATAGTGGAAATAGTAAAGAGGAACAAGATGTACTACCTGTAATTGAAGTGCCACATGCAAAAGATGCTGATGTTGGCCTGATAGAGATTTCAGACCCTGAGCTGGAGATCACTCAAACAGAAGCTGACGGGCATGTTTTTGAGAGTGACGAGGACTTACCGAGTTATTCTGACATTGAGGCTATGGTAACTCTCGACTTTCACCCTTGTTCTTGAGCTTTATGGCTCTATGATACATTTACTCCTAAACAATAAAACTCTATTGATTTCAGATACTCGACATGGACTTGGATCCTGATGACCAAGATAATTTTGATCTTGAAGGTAATTTAAGCATCCCTACTCATTCAGCAGAACTCTTGTTACTTTACTCTACGTACATTCTTTAAACGTTTTCACTTGCAGTGTCCAAGTATCAGAGCCAAGACATGAAAAGAACGATTATAAGACTCGAACAGGCTGCTTATTCATATATGCAAAGAGCCATTGCATCCCGTGGCGCATTCGCTGTTTTATATGGTAGATATTCAAAACACTACATCAAGAAACCTGAGGTATTATGATCCTACTCATTTGGTAGTCTTTAATATGATTTAAACTTCTTGAGAATTATAGTATCACTTGTAATAGTGGTTGTTTCTTTCTTGGTACAGGTTCTGGTGGGTAGATCAACAGAAGATCTCTCGGTGGACATTGATTTGGGAAGAGAAAAGCGAGGCAGCAAAATATCTCGACGCCAGGTTGGCCAATAGTAGATGCTTCTATTTAAAATTTCAAGTGTTGGATTGTATAATAAGAAGCAGAACAAAAAAAAAACCCACAATTTGTAACAGCCTTGTCTTTGTGGCTGTTGAACGCAGGCGATCATACGATTGGGTGATGATGGATCGTTTTATATGAAAAACCTGGGGAAGTATGCAATCTCAGTAAATGAGAAGGAAGTAGATCCTGGACAGAGTTTAATCCTCAAATCTGATTGTCTGATTGAGGTTTGATCCTGGAGACACGTTTTGATCATTACGTTATAGATAGTAACTGACGCTTCTATGTCCTGAAATCCGCGAGTTATGTCATTGTTGCGCAGATACGAGGAATGCCTTTTATATTTGAGACAAACCAAAGTCGGATGAAAGAGTACCTGAGGAGAACAGGGAAAGTGAATTAAGACCAGAGCGAGAGTAAGTGTTCTATGTGTATTCGCTTGTGAAGTTGAATGATATATCTCTTGTGTTGTGATGTTACCTGAACAACATGTTTTGTAGATCTTTTATTTACGTCTGTAGTTTTGCAACATGCATAGTTGACCCTGTTTTAATTGTTAAATCTTAAATACAACTCGACCGCAACTGAACTTGTTGTCTTTTAACCAAAAGAATGAAGTGTTCTTGGAGTTTTGTTACAAAAAGAACTTGTTGGATGTGTCGTATCAATGTTAAATGATTGGTTTCGATTTTCTTGACTCGCTCTGATCCCTCAATAAAGAAATAGTAGTCAAAAGTGATTACATTACTGTGGCTAATTAAGTTCCAAAACGATACTAAACTAAGTTCCATCACTTGAAAATTGGTTTGGCAGTAATTAGGTTGTAAATCATGTTAGTGTATCTTTGTTTACATAATTGCACGGTCCATATCTGATTTGGTTGATGGTATCCATCAAAGTGTACAGAACCGAATATCGATCCTTAACCAGAGCACTCTTCTACAAACAATGACTTTTCTCCTAGCTTCATTATTTCCTTCTTAAATTATTGGTTTGGATTTTCTCTGGATATTTACTTAAAAAAGCCAAATCTTGATAGTTAGTGTAATCATTTAAATTTAGGAAACAGATATAAGATTACATGGAACTCACATCAAATCACAAACAAAAAAAATAGTTTCTTAAATGAACAAACAAAAGTACACTCCTGGCTTTTAACAACAAAATAAAAACTTGATTCTCACTTAAAACTTTAGTTTACTTTAGGGTAAGGGCAAAAAGCCAACCCAATCCACCTGCACGGATTTGACGTTTTACAAACGCCGCTTAGTGTGTTGTCAACGTGTAAACATAAACAACGTAGAAGCTAACGGAGCTCCGTTAATAAATCGACGGAAAGCAAACTAAACCCGTTTATAGCTTTGGTCCCCATCTTGCACCTATAGAGACAATTGATTTAAGCAGTGTCTTGTAATTAACCATCATCGATGTCCGATTCAACTTTACCAAAAAGGAAAGTTCATCACTTAGTTTTCATCAACTTCTGAACTTACCTTTCATGGATTCGGCAATGCCTACTATTTTTAGTATCTCATAGTGGGTCCTTTACTTCTCCAACTCTCTCTTTCTTTTCTCTTTCACTTGTTATTATATCTCTTTGTCCTCTCCGCCATATCTCTCTTCAACTATCAAAAGTAAACAGCAATTAAAAAAAGAGAGAGAGAGAGAGAGAGAGAAGAATAATGGCGAGAGGGAAGATCCAGATTAAGAGGATAGAGAACCAGACGAACAGACAAGTGACGTATTCAAAGAGAAGAAATGGTCTATTCAAGAAAGCTCACGAGCTCACTGTTTTGTGTGATGCTAGGGTTTCGATTATCATGTTCTCTAGCTCCAACAAGCTCCATGAGTTTATCAGCCCTAACACCACGTACGTACACGATCCCTCTAAACACTACGTACTCATAATTAAATCAAACAAAATTGCGTTTGTGTTCTTTTAATTATAAAGACTTTGTGTGTGTTTGTTGGTTATAGAACGAAGGAGATTATAGATCTGTATCAAACAGTTTCTGATGTTGATGTTTGGAGCGCTCACTATGAGGTTTTCTTCTTTTTAGATCCTTCTTGTTGTTCTACTTCTTGATATAAATTTTTCTGGTTTGGTGAAATCGGTGATTCGCTTTTGTAGAGAATGCAAGAAACCAAAAGGAAACTGTTGGAGACAAATAGAAATCTCCGGACACAGATCAAGTATTTTGTTTCTTTCTCTTCTCTCATCTCTCACTTAAAAGGCAGTTTCAATTACGAAACAAAAATTATCTCTATTCTATAAGGAATTTACGAAAATCACGAAATAAAGAAATTTGTTTTTAATTGTAGGCAGAGGCTAGGTGAGTGTTTGGACGAACTTGATGTTCAGGAGCTGCGTAGTCTTGAGGAAGAAATGGAAAACACTTTCAAACTCGTTCGCGAGCGCAAGGTATCATCATATTTTGCCCTTATCTAGGGTTTTAATTAACAATATGTACATGTTCTTTTTCATTTTCTGGTTTTGTTGAGTTTAGTATAATAGAGATAAATGACTTTTGTTGTGTTAGGTGTTAAAAACGAAACATTTAGTTTACTCTTGGATAATATATGTGAGCGTTTTTTTAATAATTAATCAATTATGTACATGTACATTGTACAGTTTAAATCCCTTGGGAATCAGATCGAGACCACCAAGAAAAAGGTCATATCTTCTTCTACCTTCACTCACTTTTGCATTTTATCATTACTATTTTGTCTCAATATTTTTGGGTAAATTGAAATTATGCACTTGCTAAAACTGCTAGTGTAGCACTGTTTCCTAGGAAAACCCTATAACGAAACCTAATCATGTCATTTTGAGTGGGCTTCCAACTTTTCAAACATAACTCTATATATATTCCAAATTTTTTTCTATAATGTTGTCTTTAATGCTTAAAAAGTATATTTTGATCATGAAATTAGTAGTTCCTTCTTTTTAATCAAAATTTCAGTTTCTTGTTTTGGAAACTGTCGGATAAAATCAAGCTCATGGATAAAAGGAAAAAAAAAAACAAAAAACACAAGCGTGTACTGTTATGGCATAATAGCTAAATGAAAGTAAAGTGGATTAGACACTTAAGAGTCTTATTCATTTCTGTCTCTTCATAGTTTTTCTTGTGGTTTACTCAATTGCAGAACAAAAGTCATCAAGACATACAAAAGAATCTCATACATGAGCTGGTAATATCTCTTGCTTCCCATTTTTGTTATCCTTGCATTAATTTTGTTTTAGCCACTTAAAAAGGATATAAATGTGTGGAGATTCAGCAACTACATATGTTTACTCTTAGCGAATGAGATTATATATAAAACAGGTCATGTAAACTTGAGTTAACAATGTTAGATTATGTGGAATATGGCTACTAATTCTCAATATCTTAAAATGTCATTGATGAAATAGGAACTAAGAGCAGAAGACCCTCACTATGGACTAGTAGACAATGGAGGAGACTACGATTCGGTTCTTGGATATCAAATCGAAGGGTCACGTGCTTACGCTCTTCGTTTCCACCAGAACCATCACCACCATTACCCTAACCATGCCCTTCATGCAGCCTCTGCGTCTGACATCATTACCTTCCACCTTCTTGAGTGATCAAGGGCTAAAAGGTTTCCTTGGTGATATCATTATCTATCTAATTAAGAACTACTTAAAAGCATAAGAATGGTGCTGCTAAAACCTTAAACTGTCATGTTTCTTACTTACGTATTTTAAAAACCTCAAGAACTATGTATTGCGTGATCAGTAGCTTGCTGCTTAGACTTATTGTTGATGAATGTTTTCAAGACTTTATGTACGATATATGTTTATGTTGACGAACTTAAGAGTAACATTCGAACAAAAAAAATCAAAATCATTTTACTTTACGTCTTTACGAGTCATACCTTGCAGATGTATTTGCATAATGGTATCATTTTTGGGGCTGGGCCAGGCCTGTTGGGCTATGAAATCTATCAACATCTCTACTTTTCTTCCAGTCTAATGGTTCGTTTAGTTTCTAAACTTTAAACATTAGAAGAGAAGAGGTGAAAAAGAGGCCAAGACATTGATTGTTCAGAACCAACGAGTAAGCCCTGAAATGAAATACAAACCCTAGCAGAACCCAACAAGATGAAGAAGAAGCAAAAGAAATAGATATTCAACCTAGAATGCAAAGCTCTCTCTCTCTCTCAGACAGAATAGTTACATGAAACAGAGGTTGTTGTTGTTGTTGTTGTTGTTGTTGATGAAGCAGAGTCAGTAGAAAGGCAAGACAACGGAGAAGACGAAGAGGTGGGGCTTTCTCTCCCAACCGCAACAACGTCGCAACAACCGAGATTATCCAAGCTCAAGCAGTCTGTAGTCTTGCCTTCGTCGAACATGAAGTCAATGTTATCCTCAAACCCTATCTCATTGAAAAGCTCCGGATACTCATACTCGATTGGATTCTCGTTCGAGAGCTTTTGATCTGTCAGAAACGGAGCAAACCCTGAATCCATCATACAGAAGTTCCAAGCCAGCTCATTGCTGTCCGAAGAACGATTCATCTCCATAATCGCTGAAGAATCTATGCAGCAAGTGACGACAGCCTCTTCTTCCTTGTATCCACCAAACTCTACTTCTTGCTGCTCTGTTTTCTCTTCTTCTTTTTGTTCTTCTTCCACGTACTGTTTCACTTCTTCCCTAGGCTCTTCTTTCGCTTCGATCTCTTGTTTGGCCTCAGCAAGAATTGCCTCTTGATGATTGGTTTGGTTCACAGGGAACGGGAAAACGCCTTTCTTCTTTAGCCGGTCGATGTAATTACTAATGTCGAAATTCGTAACCGCGTTCGCTCCTCTGTATTCAATCGCCGCCATGTCATATGCCGCCGCAGCTTCCTCCTGCGTATCTGGTAACACCAATAAATCACAAGTTTGTAAGCAAAAAACTTCAAATCAAGATGTTTAAAAGCAAATTAGTCAGCGTTTTGAAGTTACGGTTACGCAAATTGTTATTCCATCACAGAGCTGCTCATTTGATTGCTATCCAAATAAGCCCAAACATGTGTATTTATTTTGTCGTTTCTTTCTTGAAATATTAGTATTTATGATACCTAATAAAGACAAAAATCTAGAGAATGGAGTGACGTGTTGGTGGGGACAACTAGGGTTACACTATTTGTGTGATGCGTTTAGAGCTGAGGCGTGTACGAGACCATTTCTCCTCCACTCCGCCGCTCTAAACTCTAAAATGAGTCCAAATTTCTGTATATAAAGTAATAACACTAACGTACGATTACTAATTATTTAACAATAAAAAAACACATACCTCTAGTGTCAATAGCTATCACTATTAAGTAGCCAGTTAAGTTAGGTACCTTTGTGATTTCCACAATAATCTAAGCTATTTTCTTTAAAGTAGAAGTTAGAAGACGATAATTTTATATTTAAGATAATAAAATAAACTAAAGAAGAGCAGATTTTGTTCGGAGGACAAGATGAAAGATATGGTAGAGAGAGAGAGAGAGAGAGAGTGAGATCAAAGATGCACGTGAGGGCTCGTGACTCCTACTGAGAACAGTCTCTCAACTCTTAAACTCCATTTTATATAAACCAGGAAAAAGAAAAACCAGATCGACCTCGAGTTTGGTCCTAGCCTCTGAACTATTTTGTCCTTTTTCATAGAGTTAAGAGTGTTATCACGTGACCTACGCGCTACACGCGCCTTTACACTTGTAACACTCCATTATTCTACACATTTTTTACTTCTACTAATTTCAGTTTTTTGTAATTATGCACTTGCCCTTCTCCCTTTTTTTTTTTTAATTTTAAATAAAAATATAGTTTATATGTAGAACACTTAACACTGCATATATTTTTGCAAAACTGAATCCGAATTAAAAAAAAAAACTTCAATTAAAAAATTATGTAGTTTGGGGTATTAGTTTGAAGAAGAAGACTAGGTCCCTTAATAATCTAAGGACCCGATCACAACAATTAAAAAAATGGTAAAAAATACTTTTGAATAAAAGAGTTGGTAATATTCCTTGTGCAGAGTTCTCAGTTTTTTGTATTCAGAGTATTGGATCCACAAAAAATGCAGAATTTAAAAGGTAATTATGCAGAGATCAGGTAATTAAAAAAATGGATGGAAAAAGAAGAAAAAGTTGATTTTGATTAAAAGATAAACATCAATTAAGGTGAGTTGAAGGGACATGATGTCAAAACTCTCGCCTCACGTGAGTCGGTGAGTGTGTGTAATATTCAAAGCCCACTGTCTCCCCATTATAATTATCCTAATTGTCTAACTAAACGAATTCATAATAATATATGCAAAGAGAAACTCTTGTAAAACTAGTTCAGAAAAAAACATTATCACACTAAGACGAGATTAATTAAAAACAAACAAAAGGATCCGTTATGCCCGGTAGTATAAAAATATTCGATTATGCTAACGATTTCTAACAATTTTTTCATTGTAAATCTGAAAATGGTTAATCAAATTAGAAAAAGGGAAAAGTAGGTACGTACTATAGGTGCCGAGGTACAAGTACTTGTTTCCAAACACTCTTCCAATTCGAGCCTCCCATCTTCCGTTATGGTGATGCCTGTAAAATTTACATCTTTTATTTATAAATTTCTTGTTTTCCGATAATACGAAAAGGATGAAAAAATAGTAGAGTACTTCATAAAAACAAGTAGATTTTTGCAGGGAAAGTACTCGAACAAAAGTTAATTATGATTTTAGTTTTTTTTTTTTTTTAAATAAGGAAAGCGAGAATATTCTAAAAGCAAATCTTCAGGAAGAAAAAGGTCCAACTTTTTACTTTTTTATTTTCTAAATTTCCTAATTTATATTTTGACAGTGGGCTAATTACTCAATTTCGGCCGTAAATTTCCCAAAATCAAAAGTAAACATTTTAATTAAAAGGGAAAATGACAAAAAAAGGGGGAAGGAAGAACCTAGCGACGCCGCGATATTTAGAGACGCCTCTGGAGAAACCACTGCTCTGGCGGCGGAGAGAAGCCAAATATTCCTCCTTTGTCACTCTCTGCATTTCCTCCAGTTCCTTTGTGTACGTCTCGAGCTGCTCTTCCCCATAGATTACAACAACAATTTTATTAACACCAAATTCGAGATTCGAACATGCATCATCATCATCATCAATCTGATCTTCGGACTTGCTTCCAATAAAAAAAAATTTACCGGAAAATTCAAGATGGTGTCGGGTCCCCAGTACTTGAGAGCAGCTAGATCGTACGTATGAGCTGCTGCTTCTTCGCTGTCATATGCCCCTGCAATTACGCGTGAGAGCAGTTGAGATTCGTTCCTCCTCTGACCAAATCCACTCTTAATTTTTGGTTTTTTTCTTTAAAATTAAAATATAAATTGATCTGATTTAGATATCATCAGAATATCAGAAATTACCCAGATAAACTGATGAGTGGAAGAAGAGTCAGTGATGAAAGTTGAGATCAAACCGGAAAACAAAACAAAAGGAACAATTTGTCAGTAAAAAATCCAGATCTTCATTACAAAGTGAAGAAGGGTTTATGTGAAATTAAGAACCTTGTTTGCCTTTCTTGTTCTGAATCGAATTCCAAGAGCTTTTGTCCCATAGATGAGCCTCGAATCTCCCAGTCCATCTGTGTCTGTGCACATACATGCAATCGAAATGCAGTTTAGCAAAAAAAACCCCAAATCCAATTCCAAAGAAGAAACAAAAAAATGTTAATTTCAAACCTAGTGACTCCTCTGTAGATAGAACTGCGACGGGTAGAGGCAGGACTGGTCGGATTCTGGGGTTTAACATCGGAAGAGGATAAAGGAGGAGAAGATTTCTTAGCCCTTTTGGCTCGTTTAGGCCTTGGCGTCTCCGATTGAGTCGGAATGATGCAAGCGGAAGAGGAAGAAGTAGAGGAAGAGACAGAGGAAGAAGGAGAAGAAGAAGTGGTTAAGGGTCTCTTCATTAAACTCTGAGAAATGAGAGCAAAAAAAAAACAGCTGATTTTTTTGGTTTTGTTTTCAAGAGTTAAGAGGAAGGGGGAAGTGGTTTACCAAAAGGAGGAAAGGAGAAAGGGCAAGTTTAAATAAAAAAACCCTCAGGAGTAAAAGGGCTTTTGGGTTAATTAACTAAGAGTTAAAAATATACTTGTAAGACCAAACACTTGGCCTTCTGTTGCAGCCATGCTACCAATAGCTTTACTCTCCCACGCTGTCTTATTTTTGTATTTTGTACGTTTGTTTTTTATACATTAACTTTGTTGTACGTTTTATGTTTGGCAATTATTGATTTTTTTTTTATGGTAAATTTTATTTTGGTGAAAAAAAAGTTTGAATGAAAAATTGTCTTAATTTGGTTTTGTTGAAATTCTATATTTGAAATTGTAGAATCTAAAAGGCAGATTTTTTGTTTTCAGAAAAAAGGAAAATAAGAAAATTTTGATTGTATTTTATGAAAGTTGAATAGTGTTTTCCACTTTAGAGAATTCAAATGTCTGTATTACCTATTAAGATTCAAATGCCTTGTTCTTAGTATACTTATATATTTTCTATCTTCTTTAAACACTCCAAGTTGGAAGTGTCCATTGTTTCAAAATTACGAGGTGGTTAACTGACGATAATCCAAAGTCTATCACCATAGTGGTCTAATTATAATTAGAGCATATATAAGGTTAGTCGATTCAGTGTATATCATCCTGAAACATTTGTATATTTAGATTGTATGAATTGAGATCAAATACTATGATTTGTAAATAGTAAAGTTTTAAAAAAAAATCAAATCTCAAATTTAATTGAAAATTCTTAGTCATTTCAATATGGACTAGAACAACTTATTGCTCAAGTTAAAAATGACAGTAAATACATAATCATTAAATCATAATCACTTTAAAGAAATTATAATCATATTTTTCCACAATTAATAATTATAAATTTAATTCTAATAAAAAGTAGAATATAAACAAAAACAAATAAATATTTGTCAGGTTATGAAAATTGATAACGTTTATAGAAGTTTGGATTTGTCTAAAACCTTCTATATTCACTTGATAACAAAACCGTATAATTATAACATTTAGAAAATAATTATCATGGTCGAAAAAAAATTAACGGCTAAATTTTAGCTAAACGAACAGTTTAAAGTTTAAACCATTTATAGAACATGAATTATTATTTTTTCTTATGATGGCTTTATTTTAATGAATTAAACTTGATTGACTAAAAAACAATTTTGATACAATACTTGTAAATTTTCTATAAAAGATAGTAAATAAATATTAAAATATTGTTGTCATTGATAAAAGGCCATTTAAGTCATTTTAAAACACTGATTATAATTTTTTATATATATACGGTGTAGTGGTTTAGCTTAGCTTCATGTGATGGTTTTGTTTGAATGAATTAAGATAGGTTTGGGAAGAAAACATCTGATTAGAATACTTTTAAACTCTTCTACAAAAATAAATTGAAATTTAATTGTTTTCTTTATCTATAATGTTCTCTAATACATTTTGCTATACAAAGTTATCACTGAATTCTGAATTTTCTAAAATAATAGAGATTCCTCTGAAATATCAAGAATCATCCAAACGAACAGGGAGACAAAAGGCCAAGAATATTTCTGAATCAAAATGGTTGAAACAATTGTCATACTCTTGGAGCACAAGAATTACATTTGTACAGGAGCTATGTGGATACTTACTTAATTAATTTATATCACATGTAGGGGATGTCAACTAGGCTTCAAAGACCGCAGGTAGTACATAAACTCCTCTTTCACGGTTTTGGTGTATATTCAAAATACATTATAAATCATTATGTTTCTCAAACAACGGTAATTATTTTTGCTATCAAATAAGCTAAAATAACACATTCAGTCACATCTCTGGACAAATGGCTAGTGTTTTGACACATTTCTGTAACCTAAGATGTGAAAAAGATGATTAAACTAAATAACAAGGGAAGGATGATCAATATTGCATTTTCCGGTAATTCTTTAATACTACAATTTTTTTGAAAAATATATCATGCACTTTCCCGAACATCTATCTAGTTTAAATGTTTAATACTCCCGAGTTAAAAATGATTTAAGTCGACGTTCCATCATAGGGAAAATGAAAAACTAATGAGAAATCAATATGTACTTTTCCAAGGCGAAAAGGCCATTGATAAAGACACGGAACCTTTTCGTCTCTTCCACTTCACTTCACTGTGTCTTTCCGGTTTCCTCTTCTCTAATCGTCGAACAGATCAAAGGTATTGTTTCTGTGTTTCTTCTTCTTCTCCCACTCGTGGCTTCTCGTGTCGGAAACATGTTAATATCCTTGATCATATGGTTTTTTTCAGAGATGTCGTACGTTCCACCACATAAACGACATGAAAATATTGCAATCAGAGCATCTACTCTTCCACCTTTTCTTCTTACAAAAGGGAATATTAATACAAAGATAATCTACGCAAACGATTGCATTTCCAGATGGTTTCTCGTTGGTTCCGAGGATAACAACAGCTTTCAACTTATGCCCGCTTCTTCGGAATGGAAGAGAGTTGCAGAAGACAAATCGTTGGTAATCTTAGTGAAGAGCGATTTCAGGAAACTGGAAACTCCATGGCTTTGGGTAACAGAGATGGTGGAAGATGATCTTGTATTGGGATTTGGTAGGGCTAAGAAGACGCTTCTACGTTTTGGATCAGAGGATGTCAATCTCAGATTGATCGCTCGATTCGGGAAAGTTGTATTCAATGGGTAAAAGATTTTTTAACTTTTCCTCAATTTTCTTGTACTCTCTCTCACACACACACTGTATTAAATGGTGCAGATTAGTGATATCTCATAAGCCTTGTGCTGGTCTAAATCTTATGGAGGAGCATTGTAGTTACCTTTTGTGATTTGTAGTGTGTAAATTGTATCTGAGTCGTTTAGTTAGAGAATAACAAGTTAGAACGAAGTTTAGGCGGAAAGAGTTAGGATTTGTGAATTGAATTAGCTTGGATCGAACACACCACCTTCACATTAACGTGTGTATCATATGGTGCAGAGCTAATTCATCAGAAACTTTAAGAGATGGTCCGTTAACTAAAAGGGCATTGGAAAAACTGAAGAAATCATTTCATACAAATGTCCCAAAGTCTTATGTCCAAAACATTGGACTTGGAGCTGTACCTAAGATGGGGTTTTGTGCTGATCAAGAGACCAAGGAGTTGTATCACGTGAAGGTAGGTTGTTGTTATTTTCCTTTCGCAAGATTGATAAATGCATCTCCAGTTTCATTTGAAAAGTTTTGAGGTTTGGTTTCTGGTTGTCTTAGGTATCAGACAAAACTCGTCCTGACGTAACCATCTCTTGCAAATGTATGGTTGACCAACAACATAAACGAGTCAATTTCTACAAGGCGAGTCTTTTTTCTCTTTTCGTTTCCCACATTTTTAAACATGACATTTAGAAGTTGTTTCATTGTTTCTTCTACAGGCTGAGCTTAATGCTTTGAGGCACTTAATTCTTGATGTATCTTGCCTTGGTCAAGATCTTGACATGAGGCTTACGGTTGACTCAAAGAGGACATTAATCAATCTCTCAGTGAGTTTACTTTGTCTATTCCCTATGTATAGTATCCAAGATTATGAGATGAAGATATTATTTAACAAGTGGTATAGATTAACATATGAAACATGGTTCTTTGGTTGTGTCCAGGAGAATGAGATTAAGAATCTCAAAGAACTAACAGATTCAGCTGTGATAGATCCAAGTGTGAAAGGTGGTTTAAAATGGCCGCTTGGGAAATCTTCATGCGCGGATCGATATAGCGTTTGCGGCGTTTGGCATACCGTAACAACTACATACAGAAACTCGGATTTAAGGCTTCAAGTCCGAGAGGCTGATCGATATGATTTTAGAACTGGCATTGGAGGAACCTCAAGGGAAGTATATCTCAAACTAAGAGCCTTAAGCAAACTACTAAAGGTGACATTAATTATTTTTGTTTTTGTTCAAAAGCATCATGCTTCTTGACTTGTATCGTGATGATCATTTAAAGTGACAGTGGTTTTGTTGACAATACATCAGGAGGAAAATGTGGAGAGGAAATGTGTTTCAGACATGCTAAAAGATTGTCTGAAGCAAGTGTGGGGTTGCTTTTTGAAGGCACAAGTGTAGTCACTGTGTTTTTGGTTTGTTTGCCAGTTTGTGTCACTTACTCCAAACCTTGCTGTCTTTTACAGATTTTGGCTCAACTAAAATTGTGGCAATATCCACAGACCACATATCTTTTGGATTGGAGAAAGTATTTGATATTAAATATTGCTGTTTGGATTTTCAACTTTGTTTGCGTGTACGTTTTTATCAATTCTATAATGAGATTTTGCGGATTTAGCTTATATATATAGGACATGTTGCTATTGATGAATTTGCTCACAAAAGGTATGGATATTAAATTAAATTAAAAAAATTTCACTTTTGTAGTTTACAAAAGGTTTACGAAAGTTAAAAGAATAGGAGATAAATATTTTCTTGGAATTTTTCAACCACTCAATATTAACCAAATCTGGTTAAACCTAATTGCGATATGATCTAAACCTAAACATCCGAAAAATGAAAATAAACCGGACATAGTTACGGGTTATTCACTTTTAAACCGAAAAGCTATGGTATTATCTAAACTGAAATGCGGCAGAATAGATATGGTTTAAATCTTTAAACCAAAGAAAGCATGAACCGAAATTAATAAACCGAAAAACAACCAAACCAAACGATATTTTACGCTAAGTGTTTTTTTTTGTTGTTTTAATTTTTCGTAAAAAAATGTTGGAAACAAACATTAGTAAGAATTAATGAGCATTAAGTAATGCCTATTCGTCTCCGGCTAAAAAGAATAGTCTCTCTGATAAGAATAGCACCATCTCTTGCAATCCTGAGAATTGGAGCCTAATCCTTCATCACCAAGCAAGTCTCAAGGTAGAGTCTCTCTCTCTCTCGCTCATGTTTGTTCTGCTGCGACAACTCGTAATCTAGTTTCATTCTCGTTCAATTTCGTCTTCTCCTTTCATTCGATTGCCTGTCTCTGTACTCTATCTCCTGGAACTCAAATTAGCTCCGATCTTTGAATTACGTCGTTTGTTTCACGTAATCGGAGCATCAGATCATGTTTTCCGGTTCTGAATCGTTACCTCGGTGGAATTCTTCTGACTTATGTATCGCTCGTCGATACGATCAGTAATTTGCATCCCGATTTAGCGATTTACTGTTCATCACCTGGGTGTTTTCCAGAATTTTGTTTGCTCTATATGTAGTGAATCTATAAATTGACTAGCACAGTTCTCCGTTTGTTTTCCTTCTCCTTATTTAGTGGATGATGAATCCAGTTTTATTTTACGCATTCCAGATCTGATTGTGGATTGGTTGACTTCTTCTCTAGAGGCTTCAAGAGTTCCAAAAATGAGTCAGAAGGGTTTGATATACAGCTTTGTTGCGAAAGGCACCGTTGTTCTAGCGGAGCATACTCCTTATTCAGGAAACTTTAGCACCATTGCTGTTCAATGCCTGCAGAAGCTTCCCACGAATAGCAGCAAATATACTTACTCTTGCGATGGCCACACCTTCAACTTCCTTGTCGACAATGGTTTTGGTGCGTGTTATTAGCAGTTTTTGTGTGTATTAGTTTAAGCTCTTTTTTTTTTGTTCTACTTCTGGTTTGATGATGCTCTTGTGATTGTGTATAGTGTTTCTTGTGGTTGCTGATGAGTCCACCGGAAGAAGTGTTCCTTTCGTGTTCCTTGAACGGGTCAAGGAAGACTTCAAGAAGCGGTATGAGGCGAGTATAAAGAATGATGAGCGCCACCCTCTTGCAGATGATGACGAAGATGATGATTTGTTTGGAGATCGGTTTAGCATTGCATACAATCTTGACAGGGAGTTCGGGTCTGTCTCTATAGCCCATGACTATTCTGACATCGGCTCATTAGTTTGAAATTGCAACAGTGGTCTTAAGTCTTTTCTTCCTTCTTCTGTTCCCTCTAACAGGCCTATACTTAAGGAGCATATGCAGTACTGTATGAGCCATCCAGAAGAGATGAGCAAACTTTCGAAGTTGAAGGCCCAGATAACTGAGGTCAAGGGAATCATGATGGACAACATTGAGAAGGTATGCTTTTGTAGTTATAGGAAAAAGACGAACAAGCTGAGACATTTTTAATATCTATAGTAGCACGAGGGTTTGTATTAGCTTAAGCTTTTTTTTGTTCTACTTTTGGTTTGATGATGCTTGTGATTGTATATAGTGTTCCTTGTGATTATATATAGGACTTGTTTAGTATCCTTCTCTGCTAGATAAAACTTCTATGACCTCAAACCAAATATATAAATAACTAAGAATTTGTCATAGATTTGTCAATAGGTGCCTGATTATGAGAAACGACGAGGCGATACAGCTCTTTTTTTTGATGAGTCTGTTGTTGATGTTAACAGGTTCTGGACAGAGGAGAGAAGATAGAACTTCTGGTTGACAAAACCGAGAACCTGCAGTTCCAAGCGGATAGCTTCCAGAGACAAGGGAGGCAGCTAAGAAGGAAGATGTGGATACAGAGCCTGCAGATGAAGCTGATGGTGGGAGGTGCTGTTTTGTCCTTTATTCTCATCGTTTGGGTTGTTGCTTGTGGAGGTTTTAAATGCTCCTCATGATGCTTTCTTTCGTTTGTTGTATCTGTTTGATCATCACCTTGTTTACACACATCAAACGCAGGCTCATGTTTGTACATGTTGGAACTTATCATAACATATCATCATCATCATCATGTCCACAAGCTTATCCATAATGCTATATATACAAAAAAAAATCTTTTCTTTTTGTTTTCAGCGATTTCTTTTATGTAGTTCTTCAAAATTCGTGTTTTTAGAGCATCTTTAACCCTCTTCTATTTTTCACTCCAAATGCTATTTTGGAGTAAATTCTTCTACAACCCTACTTTATTTTCTACTTCAAGTAAACCTAATTTTTATTCCATATTTAGAGTAAACTTAAACTCTACTCCATTATAGTGTTAGACTTTTTTTATTTATAAACTGATCCCTTAAATATTCAATAATTTTATTTTATACTATTTAATATTTGTAAACATTATAAAATAGATAAATATTAATATTTTAACACTAAAATTATTATTAAAATTATTATTAAAATGATTTCAAAATATAATAAACTTAAAATACAAAACAAATTCTGAAATTAAATAAGCAACATAAATAAATTTAACATAACAAATACATTTTTTAATAATCCCCTAAACCACTTTCTGATCCACCAAGATCATTCAAAAATTGCTCAAATAAAGTTGATGGAGGAGAAGATTGTTGATCTTGTTGTTGAGAATTCCGCGTCTGTAAATTTTTTTATGGAAAAAATTCAGTAATGGTAATATTTAAATAAAGTTTTCTTATGTTTTTATGATATTATGTAATTTTTTCATTATTTAATAAATATTTAATTTATATTTTATTAAAGTTTTGCAAATAATAATATAAATGGGGTTTATTTGTAAATTTTAGAAATAAAAGACATTAACAATAAAATAAAAATAGAATCTATTTGGAATATTTTTTTTAGAGCAAAAAATGAAGATATACATTGGAGCAAAACTCAATTCTATTTTGGAGTTATTCTATTTTAGAAGAAAAAATGGAGATATACATTGTAGATGGTCTTAGAGCATCTCCAATGGTGGACTCTTAAAATTATCTTTCTAACAAAAAAAATTATAAAATAATAAAAAGCAAGTAAGAGAATGAAGAACACCTCTTATTTAACCAGTTTGGGAAGTGACTCTCTTATTTTAAAGAGTCTCATCTAATATATGATACTTTCTAATTGGATTTTTTTATAGAGATTCTTGAGGTTTTCATGCGTTGGAGATGGTCTTATGTCCTTGTTATATGGTTTAAGACTCATTTATATTCAGCATTTTTTTTTTGTATAGGGGTCTCTTATTTACCTACTTCTTTATTCATGAGAGAAATCCTGGTAAAACCCATGAATATGAAAATTCATACTCAATTTTTCAACATGTATCTTAAAATCAAATAAATCCAAAATATATTTTTAAATGTTAAAACCCAAGATTAGGATTTGGAAAAGCATATTTTCTTATGTGCCTTTAACTCTGTGGATGATGACGCAAAGATCAAAGGCGAAGCGTAAAGGCGAGTTAAGTAGGGGCGAATATCACATGGGGGAAAGAAAAAGAGACAAAAAGTCATTCTCCATGTCTGATACTTGTTTCTCGTTTGTAAAGCAGATATGGAATCAATTTCATATTATCTTCGCATGTATACCCACATACGTAGTCTCTCTCTACTATATTATTGGCTTCGTTTATATCATGATTGTGTGTGGTCAAAATTTAGAACCAAACAATGTTCAAAAAGCAAATCATATTTGGCATAAGTGGAAGGTATTATGAATAATAATTATTCAATGTAAGAATAATCAAAAGAAACATCAAAAACTATAAGCCAAAACGGATTGAACATCTTAGTAAAGCTTTAGTTTAGGTACATTGACAAATAAGAACATACAGAAAACTGATAAAAGTTTTGTCTACAAACTAGCAAATGATGAAAGCAAAGTAGATGAAAGTTATGTTGAAAATCGTCTTCCATATATATATACCATCAAAACCATTTGAAATGAAGTATAAGTGTCTCTGTTTCCATCGTTGTGAAATTCCAAAACTTGCTGCACATACAAACCAATAGATCTATTATGGCTAGGATGACAAGTGTAGACTCAATTGGGCTTCAAATGGCAACTAAATTAATCTTGGTTTAAACTGAGGAATGTACGTGTTTGATGACAAACAATTAGAAAAAGGCTACAATGTTGATGACTAAAAAACAAAACACAAACGTTTTGAAACACATCTTTTCTAGGATCAATCGTTTCACTAGAAATGTCAAATGCATGCATGAAGTTCTTTTAGTTGCATATCAAGAGAGAATTTTATTTATGCTAAATCTAAAAGACTCAAGAAAATGAATCACAATCTCAGAACGGCAGAATAACTTGATTTCGAAACAAACAAAGAACTGTAGTTACATAAAATTTACGCTTTGATCATTTGGGGAAGACCTTTCAGCAACATAGAGTGTATCTCAGATTAATTACAGAGATCCTACAAAATTGATAATTAGATACTAGATGCCATTCTTGAATTAACTACGGAGATCTCTTTCTCCACTATAAAGGGAAACAATTTTTTATAACACTTAAAACAAATATCTCAACCATAAAGGAAAACAATTTTTTATTTCTCTTTTCCTCATACAGTAAACTGTACGAGTCAACATAAAAAGAGAAAAATCTTTTTCTCTCTAAATTGGTCACTATTGTCTACTGTATCTCTAGAATCTATAATCAATCAAACATTTCAGTCATACAAGCTTAAAATAATTGTATAAAAAAAACAAATCTCAGCAGAGCATTAAACGCAAATGTGAAGTCACGACGACTTATGACAAGTGATCTCGCTAAATCCCAAAGACTCGAAATCTCTCTCAATTTTGTTTCGTTTATTTTGTTTTTTTTTGTAGATAAAAGAAAACAAAAAAAAATGTTATATACAATTCAATTTTGGGAAACACTTTAATGGGGAAGAATACTAAATTCATGTTCCTAAGCTTTTGGCGTTTGATAATGGCGTGACACCTTTTTCTTCTCAACAAACGCGCCTCAATCTCATCTTCTTCTCTCACTCCAATTTCTTGCAACTCACTCCTTTTCTCTCTCGCTTTCCTCCTCCTTCCTCTCTTAGATTCTAAATTTCGCCGACACGTTTTCTGCTTTTTTCGAATTCCGTCACAGGAAAAAATGGGAACCTGCTTCTCGAGCTCTACCAAATCCACGGCTGAGATCGCTCCGTTTGACCTCGTCGTCAAACCTCCTGCCGTCGTAGCCTCTTCCGCCGCCGCACGAACTCGCGGCTCGGCCCAGGGACTTCCAATCGCTACGGCAGTGACGTCGACGGCGACGGCCAGCTCCGCCGTGACAGTGAGGTTGAACGGACCGCCGAACAGTCTGGTGACTTCCTATCTCCGCTTCGCTCTCCTTCACAAGAATGTTCAACTCCGTTTCGTACCATCGGGAGACCAAAAGACGACGATCCAGGTCGGATCGGAGACGGTGTCGGGATCTCAGGAGGTTCTGCTCCGTTACATCGAGGAGAAGTTTCCGGAGCCGCGGCTGATGATCTGGAAGTTCAATCTAGAAGGTTTCGACGAGGCGACTCCACTGATAGTGAGGACGATTTGGCTTCAGCACAGGAGCATGGTGTGGCACATGGAGAGGATGTTGAGATGGTCGGAGGATCTGGCGGCGCGTGGAGGCAGAAGAGCGGTGGATCCGTCGGTGGGGACGCCGAAGATGGAGATTAGGAAGTTCGCCAAGAGCTATACGCAGCTTCAAGAGCTGATGGTTGAGCATGCTCAAATGGAAGAGAGAATCCTTTTCCCCGTTCTCGAGTCTGTTGATCGAGGTTAAAAGATTTTAGGGCTGAGTTTTGTGATTCACAGGATTGGAATTATGATGTCGAATGTTGAAATCGATCTCTGTCTCTGAGATTCTGAGTTTTTTTTTTGGAAGGGATGTGCAAAAGTGCAAACGAGGAACACGGGAGAGAATTACCAATGATGAATGGAATCAAAGAAGACATCAAATCCATTGGAGTTTTGAACTCTGGAATCTGTTCAGAGGAACTCTCTAGCCTTGCTTCTCGTTTCAAGTCATTGCAGGTAAAGAACAAAAAACAATCCTCACTGTTTCTGTGTCTTCTTGTAATGAAATGAGCCGCATTGTCAAATACTTTAAGGTGTTTTTTGTTGGTTTAAGCAGATGATGTGTAAAGCACACTTTGAAGAGGAAGAGAAAGATTTGCTGCCAATGGTGGAAGCTGCAGAAATGGGGAAGGAGAAGCAGAAGAAGTTGATGAATGAAAGCTTGGAAGTTATGAGAGGGACTCACTCTCATTTGTTTGATTTCCTCCTCGAAGGTCTCACCCCGCAAGAAGCTATGCAGTATATTGACTTGCTCATGAAATTTGGTGATCCAGATCTTATCTCGTCTTTTCTCTGCCAAGACATTGTTGACTGATCTTTTTCTTCAAGCTCACTTTGTGAAAACTGTTGTTGCTGGTGGTTTGGGTTGTGCATTTTGTGTAAATATAGAGTCAGATTATCGATCAGGCTGCTCTGTTTTTTCATTCCTTTAAAAAATATTATCAACTCGTAAGAGAGCAAGTAATGTTTCCCAGGATGGCTAAACTACACATTTAAGTTTTCAACAAGGTTAATTCGATTTATGCAGTTTTTATGTTTGTCCAGAATAAAATTCCCCAAGAACTATATCTGATTAATTTAAGAAAACTAGGGGTTGATTCGGGCCGCTTTTGAGAAATTTGTCAATTACTCTAAGAGCAATGCTTTTTCTTTTTACCAGTTTTTTCGCCTCAAGACTTGAACACCGACAAAACAAAGGTAACGGAAAAAGTAAAAGAAGAAAAACATAAACTACCTATAAAAGCTGGAAAAGCAGAAGAAGAGGAAGAGAAAAGCCTGCTAAAAAGCTCATTTACACGATTTCAGAATCACTACAAAAACTACTTTGGCGGCCACAAACATTAGACCGGTCGTATTGCCAAAACTAACGACTCGATGTCTCTCCTCCAACCTCCAATCTCTCTTTCTCGTTTTCTCCTTTTACAATTTTAAACTAAATTCTTCTTTATGAATCTAAAAGATTGAACCCAAAACAATGGAGAAGAAGATGAAGGAGAACAAAAAAAGAGAGAGTGGATGTTGTAACCTTTTTAATGTGTTTGGAACGTCAAAATTGTTGGTTTTCCTGAATCGAGCTGAATAAATATGTACACACATTCCTAGTTTTTGGCCATTACCCGTTTAGCTTAGCTAAGAACTGGCTAAGATTGTATTCTTCTGTGTACTGTGATTGATCCCACAGTTCCTCCAAGTTACCCAGAATTGCCTTTAGTCCCTTGCCAGTTCCACTAATATGATCACTATCCTCTGATCCCTTCGTTGAAGACGCACCACCCTACAATAAAGACCGATTATTGAGGATACCAAATCTGCTTCTTCAGTTCGAGACTCAGGAGCAATTAAAATTAATGTTATACCTTCTTCGTAGTTTCAGCAGAAGCAAATAAGTCGAGCAACTGATCAGTGTTCATTGTCTTCATACTAGCATTCTCAGCATTGATTACCGTATTGGCAACCGACACTTTGAATCTTTGGAGACTCATCACCTTTTCTTCAAGTGTGCCACGCATTATGAGACGGTGTACATTTACAACTCTCTTCTGTCCCAATCTATGCGCTCTATCCATCGCCTGCCACATTTTTTGTTACCTCTATATTAGCAAAACCCCGCTACAGTAAAATCCATTCAAGTGCGTGATTGATAATATTCTAAGTCTTTCAAATAGAATATGGAAGAGATGTGAAACTCTTCCTCCTTGCTTACAAGCACAAATCCAAAGAAATTCAAAAATATTCTACCTGATGATCACGCATAGGATTCCAATCATGTTCCATAAATACAAGCGTGTCAGCAGAAGTCAGGTTCAACCCAAGTCCACCAACTGAAAGAGGAAAAATAAGTTATTTCAGTTAAGTTGGTCACAGTATCTACCATAGATAGCACCAGAACATCAGTGCTAAATGGAAAAAGCATACCATGTGTTGTCAGGAGCAGAACATCAATTGTAGGATCTGAATTAAAAGCCTTCACAATCTCAAACCTTTTCTCCGGTACAACTGAACCATCCAGTCGCATATATGTGACACTGCTTTCAAGTATAAGGCATAAACAGATAAGCAACATACTGAAGAAGCCAGTTTTACGGATATATAAATTAAGATAGGAACACGGGAATCACAGCAAAATAGTTCAGCACAAGACAACATAAACATAGAAGGCTCATCATTTTAAGAATTTTAAGTGAGAAACTAGGACACCACTTAACCAATAAATACTCCAATAAACTAGACTGTGACAATAAGAGGAGTAAATTCACAAGTTGAACTCGCCTTTTCATGTGGGCCTGAAACAAGTCCTTTTCAATGATGTCCAGCAAAGCCTGCATAAATTAACATGGTTAGATCTTGGACAATCTTGAAACAAACATAACGGGGAAAAATTGGAAGAAATTAGAGATGCGAGAATAATCGATATATAATTACTTTGTGCTGTGCAAATATCAGAACTCTGTGCTGTCCTACACTAAGAGTGCCATCTGAACTAGAAGCATCAGAACCTATTCCACATTCTTCTAAAATTTCCTGAAGAGCTACAAGCTTCGGAGAGTGTTGAACTTTATGAAGCTCGGTGATAATGTCCGAACATCCATTTATCATTGCTGACAGTTCAGAAGCCACCGGCTCTGTAACCTTTTCGCCAAGAACAAGAAGCGGATGACTGCAGAGTTTAAGCAGGTACTGCAGTGCCTGGAAAAGTAGAGATCAAACATAAATCAGGTATCCCCATACTGTAAATGTTTTATAGGTGGCAGTGAATACAATTGTTGCCTTCAATGCCGCAAACAATATTGTACCTGGAAAACGTGTGTGGATGCTTTTGTTGGCGCAACATCCACATTGCCAGAATCTGCTGATCCATCAACTTTTATGATAGTAGATATTTCTTGCTTAGCATGTGAACCAGAAAATTGCTCATAAAGCTTCAACTGGACAGGACTAAGGTCACAGTATCTGTCCTGAATGATCTTTTCTGGCAAATCAGAGAGGACTTCCTCTTTCGTACGCCGCAATAAGAACGGCATAACCTACGTGATGCAAAGATGTTATCAGGTAAATGATGTTAGCATAAAGATCACAACAGTTGCAACAACGAAATATAAAAAATCAAAAGCTGCAATAGATGAACTTCAGAAACAGCATTACCTGCTTATGGAGTGCTTCCATCGCCAGTACACCCGCTTCAGCATCCTTAGCAGAGCATTTAGGATCTCTAGCTGCCAGCAGTGGTTTTCCATAAGATGCTTGAAACTGCCCAATAAAGAAACATATTTCTCGTTAATGACAACAAAGGGAGTTCAGAATTACTTCTTCAAAGAACAGCTTTCAAAAGTGACCCCGAAAATAAGTAACTTCTAACAACATAGAAACAGATAATATAAATAAGCGCCTACCTGTCTCTCTGTACCAAGAAATCCAGGCATCAAAAAGTCAAAAAGAGACCACAGCTCCATGATATTATTCTGCAAAAAGGACACAATATTACTCAGAAGGTAAAAGCATGTATTAATCTTTCTGGGAAATCCAGCACTCTTATGTAACCTGTATCGGCGTTCCACTAAGAATAAGCCGGTGCTGGGCCTTCAATTGTTTCACTGCTGAAGTAATCTTAGATTTAGCATTTTTTATAATGTGCCCCTCATCCAGAATACAGTAGTTCCATGAGAACTGTGTCAGATAATCAGCATCCTTACGGACCACATCATAAGATGTGATAATGACATTGTGACTGTTGAACTGTTCACGGAGAGAAACGCGGTCTTGAGCAGAACCAACATATTGCAACACGCTTAGCAGAGAAAGGTCAATAAACTTCTCAATTTCAAACGCCCAATGGCCAACTAGTGTTGAAGGGCAAACAATTATAGATGGAAAAACATCTGGTTCATCTGCTGAACCACGACGCTCTGCTGCATCCGATGCCACAATTGCAGATGCTTGAAGTGTCTTACCAAGCCCCATATCATCGCAGAGAATTCCATGGAGCTTAAAACGTTTTAGAAATCCTAACCAATTGATTCCTTCTTGTTGATACCTGAAATCAGAAAACCGATGAATATTCAAGAAAAAAATATATCAAAAGCAATACAGTTCCCTCTCAAATCAATTCAACAATATACAAAACTTATTTACGTTATGGAATACATATAATCCAATCAATCAAGGACCGAGCTAAGCACACATTTTTTTTCCTGAGTTCTAAATCAACAATAAGTGCAATGTCCTACCATTGCTCACAAACCAAATCCTCATTTTCTATAGGTGCAACTGAGAAAACCAACGCAAAAAAACGAAAAGAATGCCAGTGAAACGACCAAATCATATATAAGCACAGAGACACACAGAACAGAGACACAGCTTTAATTTAATCTGGACTTCGAAAATTACCTTCTCAATGTAACTTTTAACTCAGTGCAAAGCTTGTAATCATCTATATGGGAGTTGTCAAGTAGCTGCTCCAAAAATTTGGCGTCCTCTGCATTGCTGGATAGATCTTCGCTCAACCCTACAGGAGGGGGAACCCCACGTGCTAATGGAAGCATAGGTACAAGGGCAGCAAAGCTACGTGTCACGCTCTGCCTGACTGAACTGTCAACATCGCTCATGCATCTTAGGAGGGGAACAACCAATAAAGGAGAATATGGAACCAGTTCTACACCCAGCCCTTGAACAAGCAAACCAATGAGCATCCCTGCACCTTGTCTGGCATTAATGGAGGTCGAATCTCCCAACATTGGAATGGCATTTTCCACTACTGCTGCCATGACATTGGTTGTCATTGATTTAGCCATTGTCATAACACATCTAGAAGCAGCCAATCTAACAGCCACATGGGAATGGCGAACGCATTTGAAAATACAAGGCAGGAGACTAAGTAGTCTAGGTTTCAGTGTTTCCTCCATCACTGGAGCTAATGAACGTACCACCTGGAAAACAGATAAAATAAAAGACATCAACTTACGGCTCTGCATATTCAATAACAAGCTTCACTGTTTTTATCTTAGGCGTATGATGGCCAATCCCTAAAACTAAACGTTCAAACAGCTCAAGAAAAACATCACCTACTGATGCAATCTGTTCATTAGTGGGATCGCTATGCGAGCTATGTTCACACATTTCCATGTAGCATCCTAGAAATGGTACTTCTAGAACAAACAAATACATTCTTTGTAAAAGTATCACAGAAACAAATGTCTATATCATGTAGTGTTTCCAGCTTCAGAATAAATAACACATCAAATTACTCCCTGCCTATTCAAGAATAACCTCTACCGTGTCTGTTTAAGGAAATATAAAATAGCCAGTTAGCTATTTAGTAAAACATCAAAACATCTGCCAACTGACAGAGCTCGTTAAGTAGTAAATTTGCTATGCAAACCGTTCTCGTTCCAATATCCATCCTATCAATGGCAGTCTACAGAAACAGTTGCTAAGACTGCCAGTTTCTGAAAAAGAGTTTTTCTAACATGTAAATCAAAATTACTCGTCACGATTTTACTAAGCACACTCAAGGACATAAATCTGGCGCACGATAATGAAAAATCATG